CACACACACACACACACACACACACACACACACACACACACACACACACACACACACACACACACACACACACACACACACACACACACACACACAAGCACACACATATAGATCTTTTAGCCTTGTAGCTGACAATGATTCAATGGGTTTTTATTTTCAGCTCAAGTTCTGATACACAAGGTCTTAACTGTGAGAGCTTGATAAAGGATTGTGTTATTTAACATAGATTGTTTATTTTTAGAACCGAGAGAAAAATGTCCAGTTTGTGCCAAACTAAAAATCAACAATAAAATGTTTTGAAGGGATAGAAAACTTCTCTCAGGGCTGGTGAAAAGTCACATTGTGCTCTGACCCATATAGATAAAGCTGTCAGTGGAAAACAGGCTGAATCAGTGACATGTTCATGGTGCTGACTGACTACTGTTCTCTTGAATTATGTGTGTATGTTTACAGTATCGGTCATTGATTTGCAGGAACAATTTTCCACATTATAATCTTCACCCGTTTCGCATGTTATGGAAAAGATTTAAGATCAGATTCAGTTCAAAGAGTTGAAAAACATCTTTACTGCTACAATTAGTATATCTAAATAGCTTTGTGTTTTTCTGTGTAGAAGCTCATTTAAAAAAAATGTTCACCAGCAGGCGGCAAATCTTCAGTCTAAGCCCCCACAGACCATCAGTTGCATCTTATTTGGTGTATAAAAATAAAAACAAAAAGAAACACCGGGTTTTGAACTTCACACACTTCAAACAAAGTTGGCTCACTGCCGGGTTGGTGTAATGTTACATCATACAGATTAAGAAATTAACAAATTTATTCCACATTGTGGGATTTAAAATACATATTAACATTTAAGTAAAGAAAAAATTATGCAAAGACAGCTCTTGTTAGCTTAGTGGCATACAGATGAATACTTGGCATCTCTTCACCCTCAATTTATTCCCACACAGAAGAGGGCAGCAACGTCAGAAAACTCTGTTAGCACCGCTGCCTCAAAGCCCCAAAGCAGGAATGCAAACACCCGAAAGGCTCTTCCAAGAATCCCCAGTTGAAGACTTTTCTGGAATGTCCTAACAAGCCTTCTCTGCTGTGTTTACAATTCTGCACCAAAGGCAGCCCTACAATCTCTGCAGATCTCAGCGTATCATTAAATCTGGACTTCTCAAGGGAAGTGCAGAGAAGTATTTAGGAGAGAATTCTTCTCCATAACCAGATGTTTTAAGGAAAAAATTTGCATGTAATTAGGCAGTTTTGAACCTTTTTTTCAATGCTAGAAGATTTCATAACAAACAGCTGTAATGCAGAGCACTCAGATTCTTGTCAGTTTGTGTTACAGATCTTCAGCTGTTTTGTTTTAGCAGCAAACCGAGAAAATGTCTGAATTTTTTCAGTAAAGGTAAAAAAAATGTATCTGAATTACAGTTAAATTAGGTTACAAGAAGAGCTTCACATTAAGTGAACAAAAAGCACAAGTGTGTGTGTGTGTGTGTGTGTGTGTGTGTGTGTGTGTGTGTGTGTGTGTGTGTGTGTGTGTTCTGAGCTGGGAGATCAGAAACACAAATAAGATTTTGGACCTTGCTGACTTTGGAGCCCTCTTATATAACTCAGGAATGTTGGCACTGAACCGTCTCATTAAACAGCCAAAGGTTACTGTAAAAGGTCCAATCCTGCAGGGTTTTTAGAGAAAAACAAGTTTTTTTTTCATCCGTATAACAAAGATCTAAAAATGAAATGTAAAGAAAAAAACTGAGTTGTTTTTATTTACTTCTGGGTGAGTTCAGAGTTCTGTAAATCTTCTCACCCTTCATACAGATGTGTTTTCAGCATTTTAGGCACACTAGCCTTCATTTTGTGTGTGATTTTGTGCGGGAAATTAACAGGAAAGCTTTTGAAGCAGATGTGGGCAATCCTGGTCCTCGAGGGCCGATATCCAGCAGGTTTAGTTGATTCTCTGCTTAAACACACCTGGTTTGAATCTGCTAGTGATAACAGGCTGCTGCAGAGCCTGATGAGCTGCCGAACAGGTGATTAAATTTGGAATCAGGTGTGCTGGAGCAGGTAAACAACTAGAACCTGCTTGATAGTGGTCCTCGAGGACCAGGATTGCCCACCTCTGCTCTACAGTATTTAGAGCAAGTTCATATCTATATATATATGTATATGTATATAAAGTCCTTGGACGCATGACAAGAAATTCCTGTTTCATCCAGGACACAAGAAGTAATCTGATCATTACTTGAGTTGGTCAAGCCTGATGTGTTTTCATTTTGTTCGTTTTCCTCTTCTTTTCCGGGTCCGGGTCATGGGAGATGCGTCCCAGACAACCCTCTCCCTGGCCACCTCCATAAACTCCTCCGGGCCAAGGGTGCTCCTGGGTGGGCTGCCAAGCACAGGCACCACCAGTCCCTTCAACCACCACCAGCAGGCAAGGTGGATTAAGTGTCTTGCCCAAGGAAACAATAGCAGAATTCTCTGTCCAGAGCATGATAGAACCTGCAACCTTCCAATTACTAGATGACCTTCTCAACCTGTTGAGCTACTGCTGCCCCAATCTACCTGAACCACCTCAGCTGGCTCTTCCCAATGCGGAGAAGCAGCGGCTCCGCTTCGACTTCCTCCCGAATGTCCGAGCTCCTCACCCTGTCTCTACAGCTGAGTCCGCCCATCCTCTGGAGGAAACTCATTTTGACCTCTTGTATCCATGATCTTTTAGTAATTAACCAAAGCTCATGACCATAATTGAGGGTTGGGATCAACTGGTAAATCGAGAGCGTTGCCACTCTCAAACACATGTTGATCGGTTGTGCAAACCCCCCCCCCCCCCCCCCAATCATCCTAGCAAGGGTAAAGAGCCAGCCCACAGTTCCACGACCAGGACGAAAACCACACTGCTCCTCTTCTATCTGAGATTCAAAACTGCCTTTTGTTCCCCGGTAACATAAAATCTCTCCATGGTTTAAAAAAGAACACAATGAGCCGTTTAGATTGGAGGTAACGCTGTGCAGAACCCACATGTTATGTCCTGCTACACAACAGAATGAATGAAGAAAAAAACATTTTGACTTAAAAATCATGAATGCTTTATCATTTCTGACAAGTTGCCCAAATACCAGAAACCTGCCAATATTCCTAAAATAAAAAGTAATAGATGCCTGAAATGTGGGAATTTTCTCTGCGTTTTAGCCCCCCCCCCCCCCCCCCCCCCCCCCCCCCCCCCCCGAGAATTCCAGTCCTGTGACCAACACAGCTGTGATGGAAAGTGTGTGTTTAAGGAACTTCACCTTGTGACTTTTCCCAAGTTGCAACAGCCTGTTATTCAGCCCAAACAGAAAATGTTCATCTGAGGAATATTATTGTCATTAAATCTCTTAAAACACCTAATTTGGCTTTTAACCCGATGAATCAGTGAGGTTAAGGGTGTGCTCAGTGGTTACAGACAATAAAATAAAGTCATGACTCAAGTCTTAATCAGCACCCGTGAACTTTTTCTCTCATGTATCAAGAAAAATAATTATTTGGATGTTGTTAGACAGGAGAGGAGAAATGATGCAACAGAGTAGACGATGAGACACTCAAAATCACCAAGATGGAAACCTTTCAGCCAGATTCCAAACTATTTCTGCTTTTTCTCTCCTCTTTTTTCCCATTTAAAAAACAAACAAACATATCTTAGAAACAAAAGCAATTCAGATGTGCTTAATTTTTTTCACTACAACTAAAGTAGTAAACTGGGTTTTGTCAAAATTTACCCTGCAGGGTTTAATGTTCTAATTAAAGGTGAAACACTGAAAAACATTTTAAAAATCTTTTTTTTTCTGACTAGAATTGGTCACTTTGAGTTTTCCATGCAGGCTGAACATGAAAATAGTCTCCTACACCTATTTCCTGCTTTAGCTTCTCATAGAAAATAGACGGTGAAACTCTAGGATTTGAAAATCCTGACAGATCTACATCACATTCATGGACTCACCCATCGTGGCTCGTGATGGGGAAGGTTGTTGTTGTTGTTTAACCATCCAGGAAACAGCGGAGAATGCAGAGTTGTTAATAGAAACATTAGCAACTCCACCACACAGCAGAACTGTGTTAGTGGAAATGAAACATCAACGTTGCAAGTCAGTGGCAGAATCGCGTTGCTGTTGTCCAATCGAAGTCCAAATATCAGGAAATTAGACTCCAAATCCTGCCGTCTGGAGCTCCGCTGTGATGTGGATTATTTCTAGTTCCTGGAAATGGTGCACCAGTGTTCTTTTCTTCCCGAGTATGACTTACAAGGTTCATTCCTACAAATGCATTAACTAGACGAGTGTTGAACAACTTTAACATAAAAAGCACAGTGTCAGACTTACTGTATATAAACCATGTTCAGTTTTTTTATTTATCTTCTGTATCTTTTTTTTGTCAAATATGTCAGAAAAAGATGATTATACAATTTCCTGATAATATGACCTAAATTCTGAAGCTCAAACCCAAACATTCCTCCTTTCAGCTGCTTGTTACGTGTCACACATTGTACTCTTAATTAATAATTATCTTCACTGAAGTTGTGAATCTGCAGCTCATCGTAAATATGATGTCTAATGCAGAGCTGCTCCATTGTTGTGCTAAATTCTGGGCAAATCCTACTTCCCTGTCAGCCAAAACAAGGCTTGTAGGAGGAAATACTTCCTCTTATCATACTGCGATTGGTCCTTGGAAATGTTGGTAGAGTGGATTCCTGCAGACAGTCAGATGGGAGCTTCCTTTTGGTGTGAAAATATTTCAGATTTTGTTTTTTGAGCAAATAAAGCATTTTAAATTTGGATTCCCATGCGGAAAACAACGTAACTTTGTGAAAATTAACGTTAGGTAAAAGTGCTGCAATTTATCCAAAAACAAACCTCATTTTATTGCTAAATGTTCTCAGATTCTACATTTGGAAGACAGGAAAAGTTATTAAAGCTGTCAAACATTCAATTTAACATAACATGATTGAAGCAGAATCACATTTGATTGCAATCTTTTTATTAGGTTTTCTTTTTCTGAGTCAGTGAGAACTCTAGTTTGCAAAACACTTTGTTGTTTATTCATCCAAAAATGGTCTGATAAACCAGACTAATCTGCACAAACACGCGGCAAATAATGTGTTCTTCTCATCCTCTGTTTTGGGCCCGAAGGAGCAGGGCGCCATGGCAACCAAATACTGGGAGGAGAGGAATCCATGAGCTGCTCGGCCAAGTTTCATCCTACTGGCAGTCATGCTAAAACTCATGAATTGCATGACAAAAACAACATCTCATCTACGTGATACACTCCACAAGGAATTCATGTCAAACAGAGGCATTTCTCAGGGCGCATACCGAACTGTATTAGAACCATCTGGTGTAGCACACTTATGCAAACTCTGTTACTAATCTAAAAAGACGTAAGAAAGAAAACATCTGGAAACTTCTGTGCACACTGGATGAATCTTTTTGCATTAAACTCTGTCCAGGCATGAAGCCTTTCACATCTTCTGTGTGGTGCAGAACAATGGCAAAAGTTAAATGTTGGTGTAATTCTGTTTGTGATAATCCGTCATGCCTGAACAGAGAAGTCCATGGCCTCCTGCCAGCTCTCCCACGTCAGTGCTGACCCCGGGCCTGTTGACTAGTTCTCTGAAACTGTGAAGAAATCCCGGAAAGTGCAGGGTTAAATATTAGGGCAAATATTAGAGAGGCGGAACAAGCAGAACAGAAACTCTTGGGGTTATTCTGGATTCCTAAATGAGGCAGAGATGAAAGGTGAACAAATTAATCCTCTTATTTATTGCTGTGAGATTTATTTTACAGGCTGCTAGAAAAAAACATTCAGTATCAGGTGGCTCATCTTATTTTATTCAGTGAGCCTTTTTTCATTTCACTGTCTGATGACGTTTCACTGGTAGCATCCCTGAGAGTCTGGAAGAGGCTGGGGGATGTTGTGAAAAGCCCACTGCATCAGGCCTTCAAGGGAGCCATGCTGTGGGAAACACACACACACAGTTAGCACAGAGTGATTGGTTATTATTTCTCAGTTTATCAGTTTATCTACGTTCTAACTTTCATCTAAACTTTGAGTAGAAAGAATGAGATCACAGATAAAAGCAACTGAAATGAGTTTTCTCTGCAAGGTGTCTGGGCTCTCCCTTAGAGATAGGGCGAGAAGCTCGGTAATCCGGGAGGGGCTTGGAGTAGACCAGCTGCTCCTCCATATTGAGAGGAGCCAGTTGAGGCTTCTCGGGTATCTGGTTAGGATGCCTTCTGGCTCCCTGGTGAGATTTTCTGGGAGGAAACCTAGGAAGAGGACACGCTGGAGGGACTATGTATCTTGGCTGGTCAGGGAACGCCTTGAGATTCCCCTGGTGGAGTCTGCCTCACCTGGGGAGAGGGGAGTCTGGGCCTCCCTGCTTAGGCTATAACCCCTGTGACCCAACCTCGGATAAGCAGCAGACGATAGATAGTTACTATTTGGTTTTGATAATGTTTTAAAAACAGTTTCTGTTAATTTCCCAAATCAGTTTCTTCATTTTCAGAATCAGTAAACCACTGACTTCATTTACTTCTCATTTGTTGCTCTAATCCGAGGTTCTGGGTTAGGCTGTTAAAATCTTTACCTCAAAAAATATTTAAAGAAACAAACACATATTTTTTAATAACCGACATAATAAAAAAGCCTGTTTACACAGTTTTTCAACTGCTTTTCATAATGACATATTGAATTTACACAACACAATGACACAAAAAGCACCAGTAATATTTTTACATCTACGCTTTTTTAACATCAATAATCAAAAGTTTTATTTATTTTTTCTTTGATTTTAGAATCTAACAAACAAAATGCAAACTATGTTTTTTTCCACAAATGTCAACAAATCTCTTGTTGTAGATGTTCAGGAAAAACATAACTTTTTTTGGCTTTTCTCAGAAAAACAAGAGTCAGAATCCTGATTTTTATCTCATAAATCTGTTTTTTTTTTACCCCGGATTTCTCATATTCTCAGAATTTTCAAAAGGTCCTGTAACAGCTGCAGCTCTAAAGATGTTTTACTCTGGTGGACCGAGGGGAAACAGCTCTTTGTGTTGTATGGGTTCTGGATCTAAACCTTCTGTGGTTAACCCCCCCACCCCCACCCACCATGAAGAGCACCAAGGGATGGGTTTGTCTCAGCTGTTGGATGTGACGGATCATATCTTAAGCAACAACTTTTCTTGATTTTTGCATGCTTCTTTCTAGTTTACTGCTTAAAAAAGCACCTTGTATCTTATTAAACCAACAGCAGGATTGACTGTTCCTCCCATCCCGCTGCTGTGTAAATCAGAATCAATGGCTAAAGCTATACACTATTATTTCATCATTACTAACTCAAGAGTAACATTTTCCCAACCCCCTGGCAGCTTTTTTCTATATCTTCATCACGTCTCATTTATAATTCCATCAAAACTGAATCTGTTGTCTCACTCACGTCTCCCAGGATGGAGTCCAGTTCCTCTTTATTGACAACCGGCTCGGACATGAAGGAGCTCTGATCTTGACTGAGTGTGTTTTGGACATTTTTTGTGACCTGAACACAAACGAACAGGAGAGATTTTGCATTTGTTAAGGATTTTTGTTGTCTGTGTGTTTGTTATAGACATAGGCAGTAGCACACACCTGCAGCCCTCTGGCCTCAGCCTCTTTCTCTGCAGCGCTGCACCATGGCTGGCGGCAGGACACGCAGATGGATCTCCCTCTTGGAGACAGACAAGCACATTTAGAGTGAGTCGGGCTGCACACTTCCGTGGTGTTTCAGGTTTCAATCAATCAATGTGTAATTTGAGGATCACACAGATGCAGCTGCAAACCCTTTCATCTGGAAAACTACACGCTAACTCTTTGTGGGTTCGTTTTCAAGAAGACTGTTTTTCAGGTTGTGTGTCTCCGAGTAAAATCATGATTTTTTGTTAATATTCATAAAAAGTGAAAGGTGCTGCAAAAGTTCATGAAACAAGTACATCTTTGTATTTATAATGTCCATATATCAACCAGTTTAGTAATGTTATTGATCCTGAGACACACAACAGCTGAAGAGGTCCATCTACAATCCATTAGCTGACATTTCCTATAATGACAATCATTTGCTAATGCACGCTTTGATTGACACTAACAGGAGAAGGCAAGAGCTCTCAGAAATGTTCTTTACAATGTCAACGCTTTTTTACAAGCTTTTCCCTTTTAATGATCTAAAACTGGGAAGTGATCAATTACTTGGAAAAGTGGCAGTGTGTGTGGAAACACTTCAAACACTGAAGGCAGTGTGTCAGATCTCCTCCTCCATGGTGACAAACTTCACAAACCTCCATCTCACCAACCAGCTCTCCACCTGACTGCTGCAAACACAGTTCATACATGTGAGATTACAGGAAGTATAAAAACTCGAGGAGAGAGGATGAGAAGCAGATAAATAAATTCTCCACCTGGTTTCTGTCACCTGACACGTTCAGAGAGGTTGTAACGCTGGTGATGGAGAATGATGGAGCGGAGCAGAATAAACCGCCTGTCATTGAGATACTGGAGGTTGTGTTTGTTTGCTGAGGCTGGGCTGAAAGAGTCTGAATGCAAAACATTCACAAAACAGTTTTTAAAGCTTCGGATTCTTAATGAAAATTAAATAACACTAACTATTATTGCCATTTGTATTTTGTCTTTTCTGGATATTTAAGTTTTAGTTATTTCTTGTTGATCTTTCTTGTTCCATCTGTGTGTAAATGTTGCCTTCTCTGTTTTCTCAAGTCCTTCATGTTCTTTTTGCAGAAGTTTGAGACTTGTGTTTGTTTTATTGTTGCTGCCTCACAAACAGGTGAAACTCAAGAAATTAGAATATGGTGCAAAATTCCATTTATTTCAATAATTCAACCTAGACTGAGAGACCATCTAAAGGCTCAGGAATCCTTTGCAGGTGTTTCGGATTCATTAGCTGATTAGGGTGGGATGCTGTGTCTAATTGTCTGAGATTTTGAATGTGGGGATTTCATAGGCTGTAAACCATAATCATCAAAATTATAACAAATAAAGCTTGAAATATATGGATTTGCATGCAATATGTTCACCTTTTAAGTGGAATTACTGACGTGCTATATAAATAAAGTTTGATTTGATCACTAAATTTTCCTTTTTCCTTATTAAATATTCATGCAGAAGTGAGAGGGAAATAGATAAGAGCCTGCCTCTGCTCTCTCTGAGCTGACCCCACACACTAACTCATTCAGACGGAGCACATTCGCCAACTCTCTATGCTCTATCAAGTGTGACGCTGCGCCCTCTGGAGGCAGAGATTAGCGCTGCCTCTGTTCTCACAGAGCAGTGCTGCACAGTCACTGAAACAGGAAGTTGGCGCATACTCACTGTTGTCTGTCTTTACATCGCCAACATAGTTGTTTAATTTTCATATTACACACACACACATAAATACATATATATATATATGTATGTATATATATATATATTTATATACATACATATATATATATATATATATATATATATATATATATATATATATATATATGTATGTATGTATGTATGTATATATATATATATATATATATATATATATATATATATATATATATATATATATATATATATATATATATATATATATATATATAAAATGACTGTGTCAGACAAATTTAGTCATCTAAGTGGCCATAAACCAGAGGTGCCTCCAGAAATTTTTCAGACGGAGCCAAAAAGTTTTTGGGGTGGCACACCAAAGTGGTAACTCTGGGAGAGTTTAGCCTGTGTATGGTATTGCTCCTTTATTTTATATATACATATATATATATATATATATATATATATATATATATATATATATATATATATATATATATATGTGTGTGTGTGTGTGTGTGTGTGTGTGTGTGTGTGTGTGTGTGTGTGTGTGTGTGTGTGTGTGTGGTTCAAAATGAAGGATTTATTTAAACTGGACTTTCAGTCAGAATAGAAGATGTTAGAGGATGATTCAGCTGAGTGATCATGGAGATGTCAGGTTTATGGACTTCATAAACACATCAAGGTAAGACAATACACGATTTTCATGGGTAATAACACTGTTCCATGAATCATGAATACATTATAAGTCAATATTGCCCTAATATTGCTAGTGTTTTGTTGAATAGTATGAAATTGATTCAGTTATAACCAAGAAGATTTAAACCAATGAATTATTTCATTCAAGATCAAACATTAAATACAAACTTTTATATCGGGATCATATTTGTAAGTCTGACTCCAGAGCAGTCAGAGCCTCCCCAGTCATGAACCTCATCGCTCGTCACCGATAACAGCAACGCGAATATCATTGACTCTCTTTGCGCTAATGTTTTATCTCTATAAAAAACACAACCATGGAGGAGTTCTGCAATGTCACTAACTTGCTAATGCTAATGGTTAGCTTCAGCTAGTCAAGACGCTCTCTGCTGTTTTCTGGACACTAAACCAACAACAGCCTTCCCCGTCACGAGTCAAGATGGGTGAGTCCATGAATGTTAAATGACAGCATGACGTAGATCTATGAGGATTTTCAGAAATTCACCAGAAATTCAAATATAAATGTATCGTTGCTCATTATTTACAATCTATAAGACACAGACTTACCTTTAAAGGTTGTGGGACATCCTCTCCCTTCAGTCTGTGTCTACAGCACCACTCACACCGCCAAGAGCCGCTGCAGATTGAGTATGATAACATGTAGAACACTGAAGTGTGCTTTCTTAAATAAAACAAATAAGGAAAAGATGAATTTGAAATAATAAGTTGCACCCACTTAACTCCTTGCTTACATGGGTATGGAAGATAGAGGAGGCTTGAGACAGGCCAGATGGAAGGCTCGAGGGCAACCATCACAACAGATCAGCTCCCCGCCATCTTTACACACAGCACACTCGTCATCATTACAGTGACTCTAAACACACACAAAGTTATATTTATATATATCATATATTTTTGGTTAAAAAACACACGCATGCACTGGAGTCTGAGTCTCTGATAGTGAGTACCATGCTTGCAGCAGTCTCCCCCTGGTGGTTAAATGAGGTCCTGGCAGACATTTCACTTTTTGTCTCATCTGCTAAACACTGAGCATAAAACACTTCAGGAACTTTGATGCACTTCCTGCTCAAACCTATCGATTTAAAAATAAAAAAGTGCTGTTTTTGTATTTTGTCAGACAAAATCATAATTTATCTAATAACTGAATTTCAAATTCTGCATCTTATTTCCTTTAAAAACTCTCATTAAACTGATTCAAAATTACGCTATAGAGTTTTATTTGTGTTTAAAAATGAATAAATAGTATTTCTGATGGATTACCGTCTAATGCGTACTCTCGTTTGATCTTTATCTTTTCTTTTTTCTCACACCTGACAGATGGATCTGGTGACAAGGTGGAGGAGGAGGAAAGTGGGGCTCCTCTCTGGGCTGAGGAGGACACCACCTGCAGACCTAAGGAGGACACTTTGTAGCTTAGTAACATAGAATAGTTATTTCATAGAACATCATATTTTATTGTGACTGAAATACCATTTTCAGGTGCGCGAGCATCACTCTTCACTCTGTATAACTTAACTTTACTCCCTGGAGAAGAAAACATGCCTTTAGGACTATAGTGTTGCATCTTTCCATGAAAATTAACTTAAAAAGTTGAATCTGATTTATTCAAATTTCACTTTAGTGATTAATCTACAGACCTGTGCCATCATTTTTCTTGGACTGATACTGTGATTGCTGGGAGTTTGCTCCTCTGTCCTTGTGTCTCCTCTTCTTGCTGTGATTGGTTATGATTGGCTTTGGAGCATCCTGGCCTGGAGAAAATCAGATGAGAAACCAAACAACCAAACATTTCTAAATTGTACATTTTATTTAAATGTGGATGTTAAATACTGGATCGCAGGTTAGCGAGGAGATTCTGCAGCCTGGGATAACTGTCCGCATTGTAGTCTTTGGATAAGTTGCTCCAGAAAGCCCGGATAGTGGGCATGCTCTGCTCCAACACCCAGGAGAGGAGGAAGTACACAGCTTTGTGAATCCCCTCACTGCTCTCCTTCTCCAAAGTGTCCTACAGAAGAAAAAAGTTAGTATTTATGAGTTCAGAAGTCACTTCATTTTGAAAGAAATTGACCTATGTTGCTATAAATCAATGTCAAATGACATTAAGTTACTTTTGAGTGATAAGAGTTAACATTTCAGCTCACTTCTTTATATTCTTTTAGTGTGTAATACCCCCCGATCAATATAAAACTCTTTTCTGTGCCTTTACCTTCAGCAGCTTCTCGGTGATGATATTTTTATCAGCCAAGCCGTGAACAAGAGGGAAAGAATCATCCACAGCCATGGCGATATCAGTGCGAATTTCCCTCAGTAAAGCCTGAAGGTTGGATTCCCTGAACACCTCCACTCTGGACATGATCCACTGGAAATCAGGCACCAAATGACCCGATTGGGCCTGAGTTCGTACGTCAAGTCTTTAACTGAAGGGGGGCGTGTCTTTCTCAGGATAGAAAACAGGAACACTTTTCTGTTCATTTCAATGCAGATGAAATCATATTAACTGTTTTTCATGTTTTATGCATCATTCATGAATTGTACATTATAATTATCAGTGTCAGTGTATGAGACCTTTAATCTGACCACCTTGTCAAATACCTCTGTGGAGTTCCACTAATGACACCAACCGTCTTCATCCAGGGGAATACCTGTCCTCTTGCATCAGTAAGGTGACCAGGTGGATCACAGCGACAGTTTTCCTCCTAAAAGGTTCTTTCCAACACAACTTCCCCTCACCTGCCAGGTTCACAGACGCTGACTCATCACAGAAAAGTCAGCATCACTTTGCAGTGGTTGGGAGAAAATGTGAACAATTTTCTGAATGTCAGCGTGACAGCATGACTGGTTAGCTTGTTCCTTATTTAATAACTCTGATTTTGGTTTTGTCAGCAAGCTTTGTGAATAACTAAAGATCCGAAAAATAATCTGTTCACAGTCGTCATCTACAAGAAATAAAAGCTAACGACGTGGCAATAAAACGGTTTGGGTCAGGCTTCACTAGCTGAGTACATCCTGACACTTTTTCCTTTTGCTTAGGATCAGGATTTTAGCATGCTAACACACACACACACACACACACACACACACACACACACACACACACACACACACGCAGGGAGAGAGGAAGAGAGAGAGCTAATAGAAATAGAAATTAAAACCTTTACCTAACGTCCTGAAATAAAGAAAAATCAAGTTCGATCAGCATGACTGATAAAAGAAATATATATATATATTTTTTCTTATTTCTTTTTGATTGGCCAGAATTATTTATTTATTTATTAGGGACGTTCCATATTATCGGCCTATCGGATTATATCAGTTTTCAGTCCTTTAATGACACAGCTTTTACATGCCATACACATATTATACATCAAACTCTTCAGCTACTTGTCCTCTCTCTCAAAATGTCATCATATGACCGATAAGTAAAAAGTTTGAGACATTTTAGTATATTTGGCACAACTTGTGAAGTATAAATTTGCCCTGTGTAGTGAGCGTATGATGTCCTCACAGCACATAGCTACATATAGCTAGACTGCTAAAAACATCAAATAAATGTCTGCAAAATACTTTGCACCAGCAATGGCGTCCGCTATACTATGTGACTTCTTGGACAAAGAATCTTCATACATGCATTTTCCCCTAAACCCAAACAAACCGAACTGTTAACTTTGGAAAAGCACATTCTGGGTGATGCCGTCATCTACTAGACCTAATCAGCCAAGATCTGTGTTTCACTCCGTAATAATACTGCTTAGCAATTAAATGTATGCAGAAGTACTAAAGTTATAGTAATAAGAATAATATTAAGAATAATAGACCTCTTATCTGGCACACGAGTGTCGATATTCAAGAGAGAGAAGCCCTTTAATTTGTAATTTATTAATCATTAAACATTATTACATTATTCATACTGGTGAACAAGGACCACTTCTACAGAGGGACGTTCACAACATACATAGTATTATATACAGTGCAGTCTATTACAGTGGGTTGATATAAGTGTATCACCGGGATGAAGGGATGAGGAAAGAGGAAGGAGAGATAGAGGGAGGAAGGAAGGAACAAGCCAGGGTTATCTGGAGGGATGGTGAGCTCCTTCTTCTTTTAAACCACGGTGTAGTTTGATCTATAAAAGTTGAACCTATAGAGAGATAAGAGTGCCACGTTTTCACAGCTACTGTTAGGTGAGACTACTGGAAGTTGTGGGAATATCAAATGATATAATTATTGTTATGAGATGTTATAGAGAGATGCTAGAAAACATTCTAAGATAGATAGCCTCCTTGCAGGGCACGGAGACCCCGGAGGGCAGGCCACAGGTCAAAGATCAAAGATCAGAACGGCGTGCATGCTGCTGCAGACATTCAGATGTGTTCAGCCTTTCTAAAGGACAGGTGACCCCCACCTTCCCTCCGACTTCACCTCCTTCTGTGTTTAGGAATCATTTTTGGTGCTTTCCTCGATTTTATATATAAAAAAATACAAAACATAACAGTGAAAAGAACTTTACGTTGTCCTCTTCTTCTCCCCTCGTCTGATATTTTTGTTTAGATTTTATTTTTTTTCTTTGTTTTTCTCCCCCAGTCACTTACATATTGACAAAGTTTACAATATCTTACAACTGAACCAGACTGAAAGATGTAATGTTTGACGTGTCCAATTGTAAACGAGGCTCCGATCATATTTCCAATTAGAGACGTTAACTAGGAGCTAACCAGTATTAAGCAACACAACAAGCCTATGGTGTGAAGGGAGCTGGCCAATAGTAGGTCTGCATTAACATGAGCATCCGCCCTCTGGGACAGATGGTTCCACTGGTTTGTCCAGCTTGATGTCGATCACTGAGAGGTGAACTGTTAAGGTAAAGGCACAGAGTAGACAAAATAAATTCAAACATAAACAAATATGTGATTCTTAGTGAACGTTTTGCAAATTTAAAGATGTGGAACACTGAAAAAACATTTTTAAACTATGATTTCTGATTATAATCGGTCATTCTGAATTTTTCATGCAGCCTGAACATGAAAATAGTCTCCTACACCTATCTCCTGCATTAGCTTCTGATGGAAAATAGATGGTGAAACTCTCAGATTTGAAAAGCCAGACCACGCTACTTCACACTGTCACTGAACATTCATGGACTCACTCATCTTGACTCACAACGGCGAAGGCTGTTGTTGGTTTAGCGTCCAGGAAACAGCAGAGAACACCTCAACTAGTAAAGGCTAACTGTTAGCATTAGCAACTCCACCACACATCAGAGCTCCTCCAGACTTGTGTTATTTGTGGAGATAAAATGTCATCGTTGCAAGTTAGTGGTAGAGTTGCATCGCTGTTATCCAATCAGAGGTGAGATGTCCAAATGTCAGGAAATAAGACTCCAAAACCTGCCGTCTGAAGCCTAGCTGGATCACTTCTAGTTCTTGGAAATGGTGCATCGGTGTTTTTTGCCCCCCGAGTACGACTTACAAGGCGTCCATTCCTACTGAAGGAATTACCATCTCTTTTTCTCTCAAGCATTAATATTTATCCTTTTCCTTTTACCTTATTTATATGTAGTAAATTTAAATTCCTAAAATAATTTCCATTTATCCACGAACATCTATTTTTTTCAAGTTCTTCACCTTTTCTAAAGTCCTTCCTCCTTCACACATCCTGCTGTCACTTCCCTTACAACCAATGTGTGGCGCTCCACCTTTGCATCCACAAATCTTCCCTTCTTTGAGCATTTCTCTCCTCTGAAGCATAAATGGATTAATAGCTGATGCCTTTGCAGACAGTTGGCTGGTCTGGCTGTTTGCGCTAGTGCCAGCAGCCACTAAGAGATTAAAAATAAGCAGCCTGTTTCTGAGTAAGTCGGTCCTCGGCGCAGTGATTCAGAGTGGCTGTAAAGGATACTGCCTTCAGGATTTGCATCGTCCAGGCTTTCCATTCCAGGTAGGGCGGCTGCAACTCGACGAAACAGCTGGGAGGAGAAAGGGCGAGGACAAAAAGGAAGAGGAAATGTGAAGTAGTCATTGCTAACAATCGTTGAGTCTTTTGTCTGTTCATTATTTCTAGATGTATCACTAGACTTTTGCTAGAAGTACAATAGATTATTTCTTAAGAAGTAATAAATGACAAACTGCATGATTTTTTTAGAATATAAGCATCATAATAAAACTGCTGTCAGCATTGTAGTGTTTTTATTTTGTAATGTGGTTATAAATTATTATCACCACTATATTTTTTCCACAAGGTTTTTAAAGTTACAGTAAAAGCCCCATTAGGCATCACACACTGGTGAAACTGCATCTCTGCATTTGACCCATCCCCATGGGGAGTGGTGAGCTGCAGCTGTGGCTGCGCTGAGGAACTAGTTGGTGGTTTACATTGATTCTGTTAAAAAAAGGCAATTTCTGATTCACCAGTAAAGCTGACAATCATTTACAATCATGTAGACTTAAAAAATAAATTTTACTGCTTTAAAAACTATTTAAATGAAGCCATTGTGTTCTGATGCTTCGTACTTAAAGGGGCATTATGGAAGTTTGACAGCCAAAACATGTACAGAAATAATAAATTTCTTCTTCATACATTCCCCTGCAATGCCCTGGTCCTGTAAAATGAGCCCTGGCATTTTTACTGTGATTGCCTATTTTTCTGTAAAATCACAGAAAAAGAGAGCTGCTCGGGTCGAGCAGGCTGCTTCATGCGCGTTCACGCTCAGGCATAGCCCTCCAAACCGTTCTTAAATGGTACAGATACAAAAACATCACTGGTGCGTCAGCTTGCCTGGTAAGACATTGGACTTTTGTGCAGAAGACCTGGGCTCGATTCTGGATTTGAACATAGTTCATCTAGAGTTTCTTTTTTACATTAATGGTATATTTTTTTAAAGTAAGATGCCCAAATTTTTATTTGAGACTCACCAAACGGCATTGAATTCACAGATAAAAAAGATGTGGGTTCAACTTTCATTTTGGAACAATTTTTCAAGAGCATGCAGGAGGACTGACCCATCATAAACCTTTGTCAGCTGTGCTGAAGAGAAAGGTACAGAACCAAATTATTGAATTAATTAGCTGCGCATTCTCCTGTCCTCTGTCTCCCCCCCCCCCCCCCCACACACACACACACACACAGAGCTGACTGTCTCAGCTGTTATTTTCGTTAAGGACTGTGCACGTACAGCATGCGCACGAGCCTACTATTGAAGCTGCCGTTATGCTTTTGGCCTGAGGGGGCAACTGCGAGCATAAAAATTCAAAACTCCGTAACGTCCCTTTAATCATCGTTATACTGTCTTGTACATTTGATTCTACGTACTTTAAAGGGAGTTTTGGCTTGCTTTTAGCACCACATAGTGTCAGTTTGTAAAACAGAAAGCAAAACGTATCTCCTTGTTGTGCGTTTGTCTTTTTAAAACCTCAATCTAACTGCTGAAATGTCTCCTCAGCCTTCCTTAATGTCTACAGGAGTGATTCATCACTAAATTAAACAAATCAGCTGTGTTCATTATCTAGAACATGCAGGAAACGTGCTGGAACCAGACTGCAGCGCCAGGTATGTCAGCTCAATTTTTTCTAAGCCCAACAGACTGGACCAGCATATTTAAAGTTGCAAGTGGGACATTCTGGCCACAAAGGGCATGTGGCCTTTCATTAACCCTGTCAAGGGTCATTTTAGCACATACTGGCTCAAGAAAATTATTTTGAAATATGAAAAGTTGCATATAATCCCTTTAGCAAAAATACCAATAATCCAGTTTTTCTTCACAGTGTCTATTCAGTTCGGCTGAAAAATGATCAACAGCTGCAGTAAATCTGAGCACTGCCCAAAACGCTGTGAAATGTGGTGAAACTGCAGCAATCACCTGTTTGACATTGGAGCCTGTCTTGGCACTGGTCTCGATGAACATGACGTTCAGCTCTTTGGCTCTCTGCTCTCCTTCTTCGATCGTGATTTGCCTGCAGGAAATTTAGGCCAGACTCAAGATTTCAGGCTGATTCATTCAGCTACTGACGCTTTGCTTTAACGGCAGCTAAATTTCGTGTTTTTCTTTTCACCTCTTCTCCTCCAGATCTGTCTTGTTGCCAACAAGCATGATGATGACGTCACTTCCTCTTTCGGTCCTGACGTCATCGATCCATTTGCAGGTCTGCTGGAAGGAATTCACATCTGTGGAGACCAGAGCATCACTTTAGGTCCACTTTCTTGCATCCCAGTGATGTTAAAATAAACAGCATCAATACAGTTAAACAGGAAGTCATTAACACACACTTGTAATGTCGTAGACAACCACAGCTACTGTAGAGTCCCGTATGTAGCTGGGAATGAGGCTTCTGAAGCGCTCCTGTCCAGCTGTGTCCCACAGCTGCAGCCTGACCTGCAGGAGCACATACACACACTAAATCAGCTTGTGCATGAACTATCACACAACGCACACAAACCAAAAAGCTTTTGTCTGTGGGATAAGCTAGTATCTGCTCATGTGCAGGCTGGCAGAGGATAGAATCCCCACACACAAATAGCATTTACACTTGCTAAAGAAGATAATCCATAAGTAAGGCTTATATGTGGGAAAAAGTCAATGCACAAAAGCTATTACTACCAGAAATAACTGTCAGATAATCACGTTAAAGTGTGAAGAAGGCAGTAAATGGGCTAATCAAATCAGGGATTATTCAAAACAGAGTGGAAACTGGGACATTTGAAGACGATGGCTCACTTGAACCCGGAGTTTACACGAATTCATGATAATCTGATGCTTCTACATGCAAAATGTAAACCACAATCAAGATTCCCTACTGTTCGGTCTTCCAGGTACATGGTTTTTGACAGGAAGTCGATTCCAATGGTTGCCTAAGTGAGAGGAGAAAACAAAAGGAAATGACTCATCGGGAAAATTCTGATTTTTAAACTGAAATGGGATTCTGCACAATGTGACAGAGTAAATGCAATTAAATGAATGCAGTGCTTAAAATTGGTGTAGGTGGGGAGATCCTGTGATGATTTAACACAGTGAAACAGAAAAAAAATTCTCAAGATTTAGAATAATAGATCATTTGTTTCTTTTACACTGAAGATCAAAAGCAGTATTCCTACTAGAACTTCAGTCAACCTTAAACCTTCCTAGTGACCTAGTGGTAGAGTGTCCACCCTGAGACTGTGAGATCAGGGCTCAAATGCCAGTTGGGTCATACCAAGGACCTTAAAAATGGGACCCAATACATCCCTGCTTGATGCTCACCCTTAAGGGTTTGGGCAGTTAAACAACCAAACAGCCACAGCAGCAGCTCTCCACTCCCCACGGGGATGGGTCAAAGGCAGAGATGTAATTTCACCAGTGTGATGATGACTAATGACAAAATCCATCAGAACTTCAGTTCTGAGCCTCACCTGATACGTGTTGTCGAAGCTGTCATACATGAACCTAGTGATGAGAGATGTTTTCCCCACTGAAATGAAACACAAAGATGTTGATTTTTGTCAATAAATCATAAATAAATCAGCATCTGCTATTAAACATTTTTCATTCAATAGCAGCGAATGATTGTCATGTTTCACTGCTGTTAATGTGAAGCTTAATCATAATTTTAATTAAACAATAAAGGAAAACTGTTCATGGTTGGGTCATGAATTCAAGTTATTATTATTAAAAGATGAAAACTAACTTTAACTCAAATTCTGAGAGCAGAAAATTAATCTTCAACATAAAATACCAACAAATTTTTATTCTGAATGTTTGTCCTAAAAGCACATCTGATGGGCCATTTGGTCTAATAAACGTTATTGCAAAGTAAAGGTTCAAATGTCATAGGTTGCGCTTAATCTTCACCAAAAAGCAATAATGTGTTTAAAACGAGGGAAACGACTAAACTAAAGAACTAATGGTGTTTTCATTATTGATTGATCCACTAATTGTTTCCCCTCCTTTTTCTTCTGTTCTTGACAGCATCTGAGAGGAAAACATGCCAAGAAAGAGTTCATGAACACAGAACATTTACGTGAGAGAATCTTTTTGAAACATTGGAAATATTCAGCAGAGCTTTAAGACAGATGGAGCTTGATTTAGACATATTTGTTTAGACACACCGGTTTCCAGCAGGAGGAAGAAGATGGGTGTTTTGTACAGCTCAGACAGCTGGCCTTGTGATGCCAGTGATGGGCAATGACCACGCCAGGCCTTGTTTCAGCACCATGGACAGCAACATCGCAGTACAGGCCACACACACAAACACACACACATCTGCCCTGCTGCTCACATATTTGTTATCTTAATTTGTGTGTTTCATTAAATTATCATCCCACTTCCTCCCTGTTTAAATGATTTCTGAGCATCTTTTCAGTCTCAATCTTTTATCAATCAGCCTTTTCTGAATTTGCTCCATCTCATCAAACCTCATCCACCTGAACAGATGGATTACTAGCATACAGTATAAGGTTGTGACGCCTGTTTTTTAGAAGGTTATTGACCGGACCGCCGGAGACTGCGTGGTTGGGAGATGCTACAGACATCGCCAGTCTAGGGTGTGTCCCGAACTGACACATGAGAGACTGTTTGTTATCAAAAATAAATAAATAAATGACATTTTAAATAAAGGATGATCGTCGTACAATAAAGGATCCGGTTTTTAGAAATAAGGGATGTAAACGATGCAAACTTAGGAGATGGAGATGTTTGACGGTCACTGCACTACGTCAAAACACACACGTCGACTGATGTGACGCGAATTATGACAATCTGCGACGAATTCACAACATTCACGGGTATTTAGCGCAGTTTGCGCTCAAATGTGCGCAACCACAGCGATCGTATTTCATTCATGAGTTCATTTAGAGCAAATGCGGGTCTCTCTCTCCTCCCACACCCTCGGTTAATCAAATTTTCTGGTGCCACAAAGAGTGCAAGGCGTTGCATCCGCCCAGGCCGGTCCGGTCCATCTTCTAAATTCACTTCACCCTCCACACATTAACTCGGATTACATACATGTCCTTCAATATGCACGCATGTTTGATTGCCCAAAACGAAACTGACTCACCGCTCTGCTCTCCCAGAAAAACAAGTTTAAATTTCCTCAGGGGGTTCCCCAAATCTCCTCCGGCGGACATGATGCCAGATGAAAAAGCAGAACTTGGGTTCTTTTATGTGCTTTTATCGCTCGGTGTCTCCTTTTCCTTGTGTATGCGCACAAGGGGGATCCTCCTCTTCTCACAGAATGGTGGGAATGCAGCTCAACGTTCTCCTGTCATCTTAGAGCGCTTCTGCGCATGCGCGACCTCACCTATTTCGATCCCTCACCTTTCTGCTCGTCCTCAAGTTAATCAATAAATGTATAGACGCATGATCGGAACGTGTGTGGTTAATTGTTTAGGGTAATGCAAATTAATTTATGGTGACTTTATTCTCTTTACAGTAATTTTTTTTAAAGATTAAACTTTTTTTGTCAAAAAGCAGAAACTGCAAAATATGATGCGGTCAAACTTCAGATTAAACGGTTACATTTCAAATTAGCGCATTCACAAAGCCCCAATGAAGCACAATCCCACTCTGATTTAAAAAATTAAAATTATGAGATATTATCTCAATGAGCACATCATGTGTTGAGGCCTTATCGATGTACGTATAGATCTTGGATCCTGGACGTGGCTCTCACACTCATAGTGCACTCGCTACTCACGGGGTGCTGGATTTGGGATGGAACCCTCCATGGATGGTTAGGAGCTTCCGTGTCTTTACTGTGTCTGTATTTCTGCTTTTGGTCAGCTTATTATTCCTGCAGGATATCTGATTACTGGCAGTGCGTAGTTGTTTATCCAGGTCTTGTTCTTGCCATTGAGCTGACTTCTCAGGACTTGCCTTACTCGTTGTAGGCTGTGGCTCCTTTCCTTGCGGCTTCATCAAGGTTGTCATTTTCTTGTGGGATACCAAGGTACTCGCAGCTGTCCTCAATGTTTGCTATTGTTACTTCAGAGAGGGAGACCCCTTCTGTGTGGACTACCTTCCCTTTCTTTGTCACCATCCGGCCACTCTTCACATGTCCGAATGACATTCTGATATCAGTGCTGTAGATCCTGGTGATGCAGATCAATGTTGATGTCTCAGTCATTCTTGGCATACATGTCATACATCTAGTGGAGGTGGCTGACTGTGGTTCCATTCTTGAGTCGGTATCCATTGCCAGTCTTGTTGATTATTTGGCTGATGGGGTTCAGACCTATGCAGAACAGCAGTGGGGACAGGGCGTCTTCTTGGTATGTGCCACATTTGATGGAGACTTGTGCAACTGGCCTCTAGGGTGGCTTTCCACAGCCCCACTGAGTTTCCAATGAAGGCTCTCAGAGTCCTGTTGATGTTGTACAATTCCAATCTTTCAATGATCCATGAATGCGGCATTGAGTCAAAGGTTTTCTTGTAATTAATCCAGATAAATAGATAGATAGATAGATAGATAGATAGATAGATAGATAGATAGATAGATAGATAGATAGATAGATAGATAGATAGATAGATAGATAGATAGATAGATAGATAGATAGATAGATAGATAGATAGATAGATAGATAGATAGATAGATAGATAGATAGATAGATAGATAGATAGATAAATAGATAGATAGATAGATAGATAGATAGATAGATAGATAGATAGATAGATAGATAGATAGATAGATAGATAGATAGATAGATAGATAGATAGATAGATAGATAGATAGATAGATAGATAGATAGATAGATAGATAGATAGCTGATAGATAGATAGATAGATAGATAGATAGATAGATAGATAGATAGATAGATAGATAGATAGATAGATAGATAGATAGATAGATAGATAGATAGATAGATAGATAGATAAATAGATAGATAGATAGATAGATAGATAGATAGCTGATAGATAGCTGATAGATAGATAGATAGATAGATAGATAGATAGATAGATAGATAGATAGATAGATAGATAGATAGATAGATAGATAGATAGATAGATAGATAGATAGATAGATAGATAGATAGATAGATAGATGATAGATAGATAGATAGATAGATAGATAGATAGATAGATAGATAGATAGATAGATAGATAGATAGATAGATAGATAGATAGATAGATAGATAGATAGATAGATAGATAGATAGATAGATAGATAGATAGATAGATAGATAGATAGATAGATAGCTGATAGATAGCTGATAGATAGATAGATAGATAGATAGATAGATAGATAGATAGATAGATAGATAGATAGATAGATAGATAGATAGATAGATAGATAGATAGATAGATAGATAGATAGATAGATAGATAGATAGATAGATAGATAGATAGATAGATGATAGATAGATAGATAGATAGATAGATAGATGATAGATAGATAGATAGATAGATAGATAGATAGATAGATAGATAGATAGATAGATAGATAGATAGATAGATAGATAGATAGATAGATAGATAGATAGATAGATAGATAGATAGATAGATAGATAGATAGATAGATAGATAGATAGATAGCTGATAGATAGCTGATAGATAGATAGATAGATAGATAGATAGATAGATAGATAGATAGATAGATAGATAGATAGATAGATAGATAGATAGATAGATAGATAGATAGATAGATAGATAGATAGATAGATAGATAGATGATAGATAGATAGATAGATAGATAGATAGATAGATAGATAGATAGATAGATAGATAGATAGATAGATAGATAGATAGATAGATAGATAGATAGATAGATAGATAGATAGATAGATAGATAGATAGATAGATAGATAGATAGATAGATAGATAGATAGATAGATAGATAGATAGATAGATAGATAGATAGATAGATAGATAGATAGATAGATAGCTGATAGATAGCTGATAGATAGATAGATAGATAGATAGATAGATAGATAGATAGATAGATAGATAGATAGATAGATAGATAGATAGATAGATAGATAGATAGATAGATAGATAGATAGATAGATAGATAGATAGATAGATAGATAGATAGATAGATAGATAGATAGATAGATAGATGATAGATAGATAGATAGATAGATAGATAGATAGATAGATAGATAGATAGATAGATAGATAGATAGATAGATAGATAGATAGATAGATAGATAGATAGATAGATAGATAGATAGATAGATAGATAGATAGATAGATAGATAGATAGATAGATAGATAGATAGATAGATAGATGACGGACGGACGGACAGACAGACACACAACCATCTTTTGGGACATTTTTTATTTGGTTTGACCAAATTTATTATTCATAAGTTAAAAGGTTTATAAAACTTAACAAGATGGTAAAAGATGTCCATAATAGTTTTTTATGTCTTCAGAAAATAACAATTAATTGTAGCTTTTTATGCCATCATCCTTCATCCTGACAGAACTGAAATCTTATCCACCACAGTTTGACTTCAAAGATGCTATTATGATGAAAATGTTTTCACTTTTGAGTCAAAAATAAGATTGTATTACTTTTCCAACAGTTGCTGCTACAAGCTGTATTTGAGCTGTTTTTATCATGTTATGAATGCGTTGTGACTTGCTGTCACTTGTTAAAAAAAACTTTATTTGTTATACTTTTGAGAAATGCAGCTTATTGTAATTTGTGTGAAATAAAAATGTCCAAAGTGAAGAAATAAACTGAAACTGACATCACAGACAGAATGTCACAATGTGCGGGTGAGGTGAGCGGAGGTGAGGATCCACATGCAGGTGAAGAAGGCAGGCAGGCAGACAGGCAGACAGACAGACAGACAGACAGACGGGAATGGTTTAGCAAGGTTTTTAATATAAAACACGCTGGACATAAAACAATGAACCGACAAGACAAAAAGGACTGACAGGGTTTAAGTACAGGAGGAGCTGGGACCTTGGGTGATTGGGTGACAAGAGGGAGCAATTAACATGGGCACAGGACTGAAGAGAACGGAGAGACAGGACAGAGTGTGACACAGAAGCAACCTGAGATTTGGTCTCTCGTTAAACAATCTCGTGCATCACCATTGCTTTGAGGGTGTCGGGAGAGTTACTCAAAAGTAAAATTTAAAAAACTCTACCTACTTCTTGCAGGAGAATTGTGCAAAATGTGCTAAAAATTGATGTTTGCATTAAATAAAAATCAGTAATGCATTCTCGGGAGTTTTATTCAGCACCTAATCATTTCCCAGAAGAAACACTTGAGCAGCATTTTGTGCCAAAGCACCTCATTTAAGCCTAATGGTCAAAATCAAACAGCTCTGCCTCCTTCTCCTTCCAGAAAGCAAAACTGCGGTCGATATATTTGCAGATGTCTTCATTATTGAAACAGGAGAAGTCCGTGTCGTTGCTGCTTTCTTCTGGAGAAGCGCCTTGAATGATAACTTTAGGCAGAGATTTGGACTCAGGCATTAGTAAAGAGGATGATAACGGGCAGCTGCAGGGTTTTGGTTCACCAAAGAAATGCGTTTTGAGGTCTTCAAAGCCGTCGCTCCACTGCTTCCTCCCAGACTGGATTTCTTGCAGCACAGCTTTGTGGAAATCCCGTACCTTTTCCCAGGGGAAGCTGCCCACATGGTCAAAAACTTCAAAGCAGAGGAGATGCCTCATCTTCCTCTCCTCCGCAGATAGGTCTTGCTCTAAGATGTGAAAGTACCCCAGCATAAAAAGGTCAAGGGTCAAGCTGTCATGGCTCATCGTGACACCATTCGCATCTGGCAGGAAGTGCTCAGGGGAGTAGGTCACACGGGGACGTGGATGTTGCGTGAGGTGTGACTGAGCATCTTTGAGTTTGCTCCTCCAGGAGTTCAGCGTTTTGGCCACGGCGCCTCGTTGTAGGCAGAGCTGAAGCAGGGAGGTGCTTTTCTGAGACTGTGCTGCTGTTTTCCCTGATGCTGCATTCTGTCTCTGATTTGCTGCTCTTACTGAGATAGCGTACGCAGACTTCTTCCAGTGGCTCAGAAACAGCACCACTATTCGCTCTTTTCGTAAACCTTTAGTGTCATAAACAGGAACGCATTCATTAGAGGCCTCCTGGCTCAGATAACCGATTTTACTGCTGCTTCTTCTAGAATCTTCCACCTTTTTCTTGCCTTTCAGCTCTCGCTCCACTTGTACAACCCCAGCCACTGGATAAACTTCACCAATCTGACCCTCAAAATTGGACCTGAGGTTTCTGACTGACACCCCAGACTGCTGGATCTCCCTCTCCACCCTCTCCCTCCGTGCCCTGCTGTAGCTGTCGTTTTCCACACGCTGGCTGAAAGCAGATGCAATCCCGATATGGGGCATCCTGCATCCACTGGAGGTCTCCACAGACATAGATTCCATCTCTTGGCCTTGTGGCACCAATCTCTGACCTAAACCACCTCCAGAAATGTTTTTAATCCCCTGCAAGCCTTTCATCTCTTCCACCACGCCTTCCACCATCCTCCAATCCCTTTCGTTTTCAGTTGTCTGTGTCAGATTTGACACCAGTAGCGACATGTTTGTAATCATCTCTGAGATGCGGCTACACCAGACGGGCATGGTCAGGTTAAGTTTTCCCTCCGAGTCCATCTGTTGTAGGATGTCCTTGTTGAGGGAAATGTTGACAATAGGACCCGGTAAAATTGCCCTTAGCTCCTCCGTTAATCGAGTCAGCTCCAGCTCGTAGGCCTGGCAGCGTTTCTGTAGGGAAACAGACTCGATCTGCTGCTGCAAGTAAACCAGGTCTTCCTCTGTCAGAAGCTCACCAAACGGCCCCAGGATGCCGCTGTGAGCCAGGGAGAACTTCCAGGCATCTGCTGACATGAAGCCGTTTGCAATGGCCTGTTGGAAGCACAAGCACGCCTTTTTATCCTTGGATGCATTTTTCTTCTGTTTTGATGTCACAGTGCAGCCACAAAGATGAGGCGTACCTGTCTCTGGTAGTCCTCCTCATGTCTCAGCCTGAACTGCAGCTGCTGCACCATCACCTGTCGTTTCCACTCGGGAATGGGGCGTCCGGCTCCATCATGAGTTGGCACCAGGGAGTCAATGTCAGCCAAGATCACGTCGACAGCTGGCGACTCCTCCAGCACCTCCTCTCTGTCAAGTCGCTGTCAGGGTTTAATATTGTCAGATGTGACCCTGCTCACCTTTGTGTCGGCAGATAGGATTTTAGAATTAAATCAGTGCAATAAATAACTTGTACATCTGTTTTTCTTATGCTTTTAGAAAAAGTAAATGTTTAGAAAATGTTTTTATTGAAACGTCATAAAAAAATCTTTTGCTGGCTTCTATGAGGGAATTTTTTATAATGAACTTTGCGTTTAATTTAGGTTTCTTTCATCCATTTTTTATGTGATTTCTTTTACAATTTCAGAATGTTTTTATATTTGTTGTGATTCTCCAAGTGAAATTATTCCTTCTATATTTGTTGTATACTAACCATTTTCAAATGGAAATAAATACTGGTTGTGTATACATTTTTTAGGTTTGTGATTCTAATATTGCCTTATTTTTTTCTCCATTATATTGACTTTTTAAGTAGTTCATGATTGTGAAAACATGATTGTTGAAACATATATTACAGTGATCCCTCGCTACTTCGCGGTTCGTTTATCGCGGATTCACGACTTCGCGGATTTTTTCTTTGGAGCCTTATTCAAGGGAAATTCGCCGATTCGCGGTATTTTTCCCCGATTCGCTGTATTTTTCTATGCGAAATATCAATAAATTCCTGTTTTTTTTTCAGCAATTTCATCATAAAATGCACTTTTTGTGATAAAACTATTAAAAAAACAAGTAAAAATACAGTACTATGTAAAGGGAGGGTTTTAAAAGTCTGAATACTGAATATGTACATATTAAATAAATACTGTAAATATGGTGTCCCTACTTCGCGGATTTTCACCTATCGCGGCCAGGTCTGGAACGCATATACCGCGATAAACGAGGGATCACTGTACTTTTATTTCCCCTTCCCTAACTGGCAACAGCAGAGATAGAATGATTGCAGTAAGCAAAACTGACCACAGGATGTCACTGTTACTCCGTTCTTACACAATGCACCTTTAAATGTTTCAGTTTATAACCCATGAAGATGAATTTCATTTTTGGTAAAAGTTCAAAATAGAATCCTGCATGTTTTTAATCAGTGTTTTGATAACTATTCTAAGTATGAGGTTATGAAAAATGTTTTTGAACTTAACGCAGACTTGGTGTTTGTTTGGACGGCTGGTCTTCCTTTAACTCACCGTTTGCCTGGTGAAGACAGTAGTGAGGCCGGCACGCTTCAGGCATTTAATAGCCTTCATCTGAGACAAAGGTGTGAGGTCCCTCTCTGGAGGTCTCAGATGACTGAGTGATGTCACCACTGGAAACAAATATAACAAAGGAGAAAGGTCAAACACTGAGATTGAATCAAGTTAAGATGTTATTTGTGCTTTCAAACATGCATTTAGGTCAAGTGTTGATTCTTTATAAGCTAATGAACATTTGAATAAAAATCATAATTGGTGTTTTTATTATAAGATCATCTCTGTGTCTACCTGAGGAGGCCAAATGAACATGCTGGATAGATTCTGTGGTGTGTTTCTTTGAGGTGGCAGCAGGGGTTAAGGGGGGGGAAAGGGAGGGTTCAGGAAATAGGGTTGGGCTGCGAGGCAGGGGGGGTACCTCCTTCACTGGCTGCTGACAAGCACACACAGCAGGGATGAGCCATGTTCTAAAGGACAGCACAGCCAAACCATAGCACATTTTAATGCATTTTTTATATAAATATTTATAACGGAAGCAGCAGCATGACAAATTACACTTACTATCAAATAATATTTTATGTATTTTATTAGTAAGGTCAAGATTTATTTTAGCCTCGATCACCTTGTTGATCTCCATGTTGTTGCTGCAGCTCATTCACAACTCAGCAGGTGCTTGTCTTCCTAAAAATGGCATAAATAGAAAACAGAGACTAGACAAAGTGGACCTCCAGTAGTGCAGATATGTGACACAAACAACACACACACACACACACACACACACACACACACACACAGAGCTTAATGTAAAATTGCAGGCAGCGGCTTATAGTAATGGGAACCAAAACAGGAAGTGCTGATGAAACTGGATCCTGGATGATGAATGTAGTGTAGCCCCCACAGAGAGCAGAAGAAAGCTTGCTTGAGTTTACAGAGACCTGATATCTTGCTTTGGATCCTGAATCCAAGTATTTTATCTCCTGAGTAACAGATGACTGATGTCCACGCACATCCACTAGTGCATCATTTATCCTTATTCTGACGATGGGCTGCAGTTTACTTTGTAATAAAGAGCATCAGTCCCTATTTCCTGGTTAATTTAAGTTTAAATGAAATTTAAATAAGCAAATTATGTCACAAAATTTGAAGATTTGATTCTGCAATTCTTCAAATAAAATTATGGTGAGCAAACTTAATTTTATTTATTTATTCATTTGTTTTAAAATTTTGCATCATTATTACACAGAATATTGTTTCATAAATATTCAACGTATTTCCATGTGTTTATTTAAGTTGGACAGTCGGATAATTATTTCCAAAAACTATAAAATAACAAAGCTTCACAGAATACTCACTACACAGCCCTGAAGGCCCAGTGGGTTGATGTTGTCAGGAATTGTAAAGTGAAGAAAAAAATGTGATTTTGTAGACAACAAAACAAGAAAATCCAATTCAACAGCGGAGGATTACAGCCGACTCTGCGTCTGGTAGAAGCCAATAAACAATAAAACTGGTGAGCAGCTTCAACTTGACCTAAACCTCAGATGGGGGCCTTCTTTGTGTGCATAATTAAAGGAGTAGGATAGGATGACTTGGACCTGGAGGTATAGAACTTTGTGAATGTATGTGGGAGACACACCTGCTCGTGTGTGTGTGTGTGTGTGTGTGTGTGTGTGTGTGTGTGTGTGTGTGTGTGTGTGTGTGCGTGCGTGCGTGCGTGTGTGTGTGTGTGTGTGTGTGTGTGTGTGTGTGTGTGTGTGTGTGTGCGTGCGTGCGTGTGTGTGTGTGTGTGTGGTAACCTGGTAACACAACTGTTTTCAGTCTCTGTAACTGCAAGCATGTGGCAGCCATATTGGATGTGTAGGTTAAAGTTTTAAACCATTTTGTTTTTGTTAGTTTTCTAAAACAAAAAACAAAATTAATTAAATCAACTCAGATAAACTTTTTTGGCCAGCTGTCCCATGTACCCATGCATGCCATTCTTCTGCAGTGTGCACCGTATGGTGACACAGGAAACGGTCACTCCAGGTTGGCTTTCTACTGCTTGATTGATTCTATTGATTTTCTTCAACCCTTCTCATCTGAAGACGCTCCTGTTGAGATGTTAACCTATGTGGACGGCCTGGACATCCGTGTGAGATGGTTGCACTTCCATCTTTCTTAAAGTTCTGGATCATTTTTGCTACAGTATTTTGACTGATGTAAAGCTTTGCTGACCTACGTCCCAATCCTCACCTATGGTCATGAGCTTTGGGTAATGACCGAAAGAACGAGATCGCGGATACAAACGGCCGAAATGAGTTTCCTCCGTAGGGTGGCCGGGCTCAGCCTTAGAGATAGGGTGAGGAGCTCGGACATTCGGGAGGGACTCGGAGTAGAACCGCTGCTCCTCCAGATTGAAAGGAGTCAGTTGAGGTGGTTTGGGCATCTGGTCAGGATGCCTCCTGGACGCCTCCCCGGGGAGGTGTTTCGGGCATGTCCTGCTGGCAGGAGGCCCCCGGGTCGACCCAGGACACGTTGGAGAAGTTACATCTCCAATCTGGTCCGGGAACGCCTTGGGGTCCTGCCGGAGGAGCTGGTGGAGAAGGCCGAGGAGAGGACAGTCTGGAGCTTCCTAGTTGGGATGCTGCCCTCGCGACCCGGACCCAGATAAGCAGAGGAAGACGATGACGACAACGACTTTTTTGTGTGTGAAAATTAACAAATCGTGTTTGCAATCATTGACCCACATTTGTGGGAGTATTTTGTAGTTATGGTATCTCTTGGAAAATGTTGAATCTGAAAGGAAGCTAAAGGTTTTCTGACACACACACACACACACACACACACACACACACACACACACATATATATATGTATATACTTGTCTATTATGTCGTTTTTATATATTTGAGCAACCATCAATAACAACCACACCACATTCAAGTTTCAACACTCATTTATTTCCTTTTTTCGTTTGTTTTGTTTTTTGACCGCTCTTTTTATTTGTCCACAGACATGAGAAAGAACTCCAGAACACTTAAAAGATAAACGTGAGTACTGAGATTAGGACAGGGACCCGCATCTGCTTTTTTCAAGCAACTCCCGAGCAAAACCGCCCACCTTGGGTCTTTCCCCAGATCTGAACACAGACATCTCGTCCACGATGGGTGGAAAACTGAACCCTCATCGGTGGTCTTTAGTCTGGGGTGATGCTTGACAAAGCAGCTGGGTCAGATATTCATCTCGGAACACAGAGGAAGTTTCATCATCTGTGTGATGAGACCGGACACTGAAAAGTTCATTTATATACAAGACGGAGCCAAGAGGAAGGTTTCCGGGTAATCGTTAAAAGGATCATGGATGACAATACTTTACAAGCAGCACTTGAGGAGTGGAAAGCTGTTGTCATTAGCAAGCTGTAAGGCAGGAGAGAAAGACAGGGTTCAGCAGAACAGAGGTGGACCTGCATGCTTTGATCCACAGCTATGACAGTTAAAGCAAGCCAAATATTAAATTATCAACGTATTCACCGTTCGGCATGTCCCAGCCAGCACAGTGTTTTTAACCATTCCCAGAATTTTCCACAAGCAGCTGTTGAACTAGTCAGACTGGACGCAGTGGCGCTGCTTTTGACTTCAGAAGTAAAACATTAAACCATCCACGTAAAAAGAAAATATTTTTTTTTAATAAATAGTTTTAAAAAATGACTAAAACAGGTTCACTTAAAATAAAAAGTTAAGTGCATGAGTGCATGAACAAAATGCGTTCCTCAAAAATTAACCAATAACACTTTCTATCAAGCTTTTCTCCCAGTGTACGTCTCAAAGAAAAAAAAACATTTGTAATAAACATGACCAGAGAAACGTAACATATTTGCTTCCAGAGGCTACATTGCTCAACAGGTTGGCTGGCCTGTGGCAATCAGAGTCCTGGAAGCTTTGATTTGGTTTATTTTCTCATCAGGTTTCACGTGAAACTGATCCGAAAATTTAGAAAACGGCAGGTGAGCCGTAAAGGCCGACTGGCTGGTTGACCAGGCCTTTACTTTCTTGGTAAAATTCAGACAAATAAAAGCTAAAATAATCTAAAATGTACAACCACACTTAGTTGATCCTACAGTCCACGGGTTCTGCTGCAGGAATCTGGTAAAAATCAAGCAGCTTTGAAACAAAAGCTAAGAGGGAGATTGTTTATAAAGGCAGCACTGACAGCTAATAATCACATATACACTGCTGTACCGCAACAGACAATATGCACTCTTTAAAGCCTTATCTAAAGGAAAACATGACGTGTTTTTAATATACCTATATGATTTTCCTCTACATGAAAGCTTGACCACAGACGATTCTAAAGGAGGAGGAACAAAAACAAGGTGAATCAAAGGGAGGCACTATCTGGTTAGTGGACTTACACCAACCAACCCCAGGTCCAGGTTCAGTAGAAATGTGATCCCATTCTGTGATGTAACTCTGCTGGTCCAGGACTGGTTTTAGGTCTACTGAAAGATTTTCATTAACTCATCTTGTTAACAGAGAACATACGGTAGAGGTTATTCATAAAGCCAGCGTCCCCCTGATTTTTTACATTTTTCGTCAGTTTATTGGTACAATGATCTAATCAGCTTAGCAAAAATACAAAACTGAGATACTACTAAGGAAATTTTATGTTTATGTTTATTCATTTAGCAGACGCTTTTATCCAAAACAACTTACAATTTATAACCTATAGGGCATGTTGTGATCTGTGGGGGAAAGCGGAGTACCCGGAGGAAACCCACGCATGCATGGGGAGAACACGCAACTCCACGCAGAAAGGCTGCAGCTGAGTTTCGAACCTGCAACCTTCGTGCTGCGAGGCAACAGTGCTAACCACTGCGCCACCATGCAGCCCACCAACCTGTGTGGGACTACACATAAAACAAACGAGGCACACGTTTTCCACGTTTAGATGCCACATTCCACATTGCTCCTTCTGAATCTGAGGTTTGTTTCCACGTTTTCGTGATCAAAGGTTTGTTTTACTTAAATTTACTGTTTGTTTCTCTTCTTTGTGCTTCAATGTGGAAATCTTCTTCTGGCTTCCGATTCTTACGCATCGCACAACCAGACCAGTCTTTCTCTCTTACTAAAGAGAAAAGGTGAACTTCTCAAATCAAAACTTATATTAAAAAAAGAGAATCGTCTACAAACACAAATGTACAAAGTAATACGATAAAAGAGTCCTTTGGTTAAAATAAATAATGAAAAAGTTACGCAAATTTATTTAAAAAAAAACAAAAAAAAAGGAAACATTAAAGTGCCATGCAACAGCGGTCTTGTTACAATAAACAGGCTAAAAGTGCAAATTATTACTAATGACATGAATTCATTCCTACTTAAGTTTGTATTTTTAACAGGAATGTCAGTAAAAGCACATCAGAAGCAAGGCAAGGACAAAAGCCGTCTCTCCTTACAGTTAGCTATCTTTGCCTTATTTGAGCCAATGAATCCAGTTTTCATGAAACCATTTAAACGAAATGAGAATAACGTCTTTTTGATCCCTTCTCATGCTACTTTTCAAGCTAATTCGATCCACAACAGTGACTTCTCTCTTTGTAATCTGAAACACTTTGTGCTGCAGAGCATCAAAACTGAGGTATTTTACAGTGTATGGATGGTGGTTAAATATGGATCTATTGTCCTTCCTGACACATAGAAAAGGTCCGGTTTTGTGTTTTTCCTTTGCACTTCTGATCCAACACGTGGTTAAAATTTCTACCGGGAATTTTTGTAACAATGGATAAGACGGGGACTAGTCTTAAACTACCTCTTTACAGATAACACATCCCTACAAGTAGATTAAAACTAATCAGAACAAGTCCCAACTTCCAGCAGAAGGAGGTTATTTAACAGTTTTCTGTTGTTAGTGCTTATGAATTCATCTAAAAGTCAAAAGGGATCACACCATGCAAGGTTTTGTAGGAAGAGACTGCTAAAACGGACAAAAGGTGAATCTTGAAAAGAGTTATCGAGTTATTTTTGAGACGAGGGGTCGTCGTAGCGGAGGATTCGTTCGCTATGTGGCTTATTATTATCAGAGGAAGAGACTAAGCTGAGATTGTTTTCTTTGTTGTTTTTCCACAAGGCAGGATCCCCTCTCACATCCTCAGAGCGGATGGGACCGACTGGATTGACTTTCTCCTGGAGAGCTTTGACCTGAGAACAGAATAAAAATAAATAAATAATCAAAAGAGGAATACAAAACTGAAAATTTTGAATGAATCAAAATAAATGAACTGCTCTTTTACTTTTACAGAATAACTATTTATTGTATGGGTTAGGGCTAGAGTTTTAAAAAGAATCCAAAAACAATGAATGAAACTGTAACTATAGTAAATGTCTGAGATGTTCACTGGCAAATAAATGTAAAGATAAAATCCGTAAATCAGAGTTTTCAAACCTGAGTCACTTAGATCATTTTCTCCAAAAAAAAATTTTTGGGGATATATGTGTTATTACTTTGGTAATTTATGAATCCTCAGGTTCAAACTGTGATTAGAAATTAGAGGTTTACTTTTAAAAAATGCTATATTTGAATAATCACACCTTTTTTTTTTATTTTTTTTTTTTTTGCTTGTTAAAATAAGGCAATATTTATCTTTTAAAGTAACCGTTTGAACCCTTTAATATAATTATTTAAAAGTGGGTTTCAGTGATTGTGTAGGTAGAAACTTGACCAACTTCAACTCGGACAGCCCTCTGCAGACCAAAGGGGCCCTAGGGGGTGCTCTTTACCTGCTTAACGGCTTTTAGCTATTTTCTGTGCTGGTAGCTAAGAGTTAGCGGTTAGCATTTTCAGTTTTCCAGCCATCAATAAAAAGCACAAAAAGAAGAAAACAATAACTTTGCTTTTTTTGTTGGCATCTTGGTGGAGCCTGAAGGTGAAAGTAAGAAAGCAATGTCTTTAGAGGTGAAGCAAAGAGCTAAAACCAGAGTGAACATCGGCATGGCCTACACTTGTCTCAGGGAGCTAAAGGAGGAATCACAGACTGATGGTGACCTGGCTTTGTTGCTACAGGACTTGTAATTTATACTGTTTTTATCCAACAGTGTGGATTTCTTGTTTGTGATTTGTTTTAGTATCAGCTGGCTATCAGTTAGAGTATCAGTTAGAGCGAGCTTGTTGTTTGAGTTAGCTACAGCAAGCTGCAGCAGGTCATTTTACGATAGACGTCATCTCGTTTTTAACCAGTTGAATGAAGCAAGAAACTGTTTAGTGTTACTCCGAAGAGATACAAATTTAAAACAACAGTTGGGAACAAATTTCTCCAGGTTTTTATAGAAAATTTTCTGAATGGTTTAAACTGTATAACTACCTTATTGTGCCGGCTAACAGAGGGTTGAAAGCGTACAGCCAGTCATGCATCTCCTTGTCATTGGTTGCCTGCAGCAATATTCCCCGATGCTCGGTACACACAGAAAACGTGTTGGGAGTCTGAGGACACAGGACACACAGAGGTTACCAAAGGTCGTGCAAATGCAGCATTTGCTGAGTGTGTGTTCTCTCCACATACCCGCAGTAGCGTCTGTTTGTCTTCGCTGTATTCCACTATAGCAGATGACAGGTTGATGACAGCTCGCTCCACGCTGTCCCTTTCGCTACGGTACAGGTAAACGTAGGGCCTGCGGACCACCACGTAACGCCTCATCCAGCCGCTAGTGTGGGGCTCCAGGAAGTGCAAGTAGCCCTTCTTAGAAACGATGGGGCTGAATTTATAACAAAGTAAATTGTAGAAAAATAATGAAAAGATGTTTATAAAGAATACAGCATTTGCAACGCTTGTGTGTAAAACCTGAATGTTTTGTCTCTCATGCAGAAAATAATCTGTGATTAGTCCAAAACAAATGTTTTATCATTTTTTTATATAAATAATCACTGTATGGCACATAATGAATAAAACCTTATGAATTTTAAAATTTACACTCTAAAATCCTCAGATTTAACATTTCTGTCAATAAAGATCAAGTTCCCTTTGTTTTTTCAATACATTTGCAGTGGACCCTAGTTTAAATTAGGGATGCGCCGATCCTGAGAAAAACCTGACTTGCCCATACCCATACCGATTTTTGCAGATTCTGATTGTGTCTTAACTAAAAGCAGATTACATCAATGTTTCAGTTTCCTTTATGGAGAAAACCAATATGATTACTCATGAAACAATACCAGTTTCAACTGGACATGAGGTAATGTTCTCAAATATAAATGAACATATTTAGCATTGCTGTTTGAACTACAAAATCATATTTGTTCCTTTAGACTTTCATTTCAGGGGCACCCTGTGGGGGACGCTCCAGGAGTATGGGGTGGGTGGCTTTCTGTTAAGGGCCATTCAGTCCCTTTACCAGAGGAGCGTGAGTTTGGTCCGCATAGCCGGTAGTAAGTCGGACCTGTTCCCAGTGAGGGTTGGACTCCGCCAGGGCTGCCCTTTGTCACCGGTTCTGTTCATCACTTTTATGGACAGAATTTCTAGACGCAGCCGTGGTGTGGAGTGTGTCGAGTTTGGTGGCAGGAGAATCTTGTCTCTGCTTTTTGCGGATGATGTGGTCCTCCTAGCTTCATCCAGCTCTGACCTTCAGCTCTTGCTGGGTAGGTTCGCGGCCGAATGTGAAGCGGCTGGGATGAGGATCAGCACCTCCAAATCTGAGACCATGGTTCTCGACCGGAAAAGGGTGGCTTGCCACCTCCGGGTCGGGGGAGAGGTCCTACCTCAAGTGGAGGAGTTTAAGTATCTCGGGGTCTTGTTCACGAGTGAGGGTAGGAGGGATCGGGAGATCGACAGGCGGATTGGTTCGGCGTCTGCAGTGATGCGGACGCTGAGCCGATCTGTCGTGGGGAAGAGGGAGCTGAGCCAGAAAGCCAGGCTCTCGATTTACCGGTCGATCTACGTCCCAATCCTCACCTATGGTCATGAGCTTTGGGTAATGACCGAAAGAACGAGATCGCGGATACAAGCGGCCGAAATGAGTTTCCTCCGTAGGGTGGCCGGGCTCAGCCTTAGAGATAGGGTGAGGAGCTCGGACATTCGGGAGGGACTCGGAGTAGAACCGCTGCTCCTCCGGATCGAAAGGAGCCAGTTGAGGTGGTTTGGGCATCTGGTCAGGATGCCTCCTGGACGCCTCCCCGGGGAGGTGTTTCGGGCATGTCCTGCCGGCAGAAGGCCCCCGGGTCGACCCAGGACACGTTGGAGAGGTTACATCTCCAATCTGGTCCGGGAACGCCTTGGGGTCCTGCCGGAGGAGCTGGTGGAGAAGGCCGGGGAGAGGACGGCCTGGAGCTCCCTAATTGGGATGCTGCCCCCGCGACCCAGACCCGGATAAGCGGAGGAAGACGAAGACGAAGACGAAGACGAAGAAGACTTTCATTTTTCTATTTTTGAAAACAAAAGTTTTGTACCCGTTTTGACACACTTGCCCAAAAAATAATTCTATAGCAATGATTTGCTTTAACACTAACTAGGGGTGCACTGGTTGCAGTTTTTGGCCAATCACGGATCTGGAAAAAAAAAAAAAAAAAAAAAAAAACGAGATCGGTGCACCCCCAGATTAAATGAATGCCTTGTGAGTCGATCTGTGTGTGTGTGTGTGTGTGGGGGGGGGGGGGGGGGGGGGCTCTGGTGCTCCTGTTTCAGGAACTAGAAGTTAGAGGAGAGGATCGCAGAAGACATTTGGAGTCTTATTTCCTGATATTTGGACATCTCACCTCTGATTGTCTAACAGCAACACAACTCTACTACTGACTCTCTTTGCGTTGCAATGTTGATGTTTTATCTCCTCAAATAACTCAAGCCTGAAAAAGTGCCGCTGTGTTGTGGAATTGCCAATGCTAACAGTTAGCTTTTATTAGCTGAGATGCTCTCTGCTTTCTCCTGGACGCTAAATCAACATCAGCCTTCCCCTTTGCAGGCCAAGATGGGCGAGTCCATGTATTCTAATTTTCAGTGTGACATAGATCTGACTGGCTTTTCTAATCCGAATGATTCCCTGTCTATTTTATATCATTGGTAAATGCAGGAAATAGGGGTAGAAGACTTTTTTCAAGTTCAATCTGCATGTGAAACTCAGAGTGACCGATCACATTTCAAAAATAGCAAGTAAATAATGTCTAAATATGACTCAGAATAAAACTGTGATCTGACCTGACACGGATCTCCTGTATGTCAGGCACAAAGGTGTAACCTCTGAGAGGTTTCTTCCTGTCCACTGGGCTGTACGGGTCCAAGTCTGGAGTGGACGCTCCAGAACTCGGATCAGTGAGTCTACACAACAAAAAGAACAACGAACAATGACATAAACTCCACACAAAACTCACCCAAACTCAAGAATATTCTCCCTTTTTTATCATTTCAGAATAATCTGCAAACTATAGTTTATTTACTGATTCCAGTCATTTAATGTGGTAAAAACATTATCCACAAAATCTTAATAAGATGTTTCCCTTTGAAGAATAATCGTTGGATAAATGTGTTGGTAGAAATGATCATAATGAGCTGCGTCCCACAGATAAAATCAACCATGAAAACGATGTCACTCACCTAATGTCATAATTTCCTTCGATCAACGAGGGGCAGGTGGAGGAGGGAGTGAGTGTGTTCAGTCCAGAGGAGGAGGATTCACTCAGGAGTGATACCGACATTTCAGAGAGCTAAAACACACACACACACACACACACACACACACACACACACACACACACACATACACACACAAAGTGCAACAACAGAAAAGACACCCAAACCAAAAGAGAGACAAATACAGAAACATACAAGCAAACAATTAAACACGGACAACACAGACGTGCATTCAGAGAACAACTCAATCAGTGTTTTGTCATGTATTAAAAAAATGTATTTCAGATCCATCGTTCTCATGTCTAAGAGCCCCTTGTTCATTAGCATTTAATAAAGATGTAGTGTTATGATGTTAGTGGCTTTTTGAAGCAATACTACAACTACAGGGAGAAAATAATAACCTGCAAGTTCAAGCAGCTTAGAAAATGAATCTAAACCAAAGATAATCTAGATATTTAAAAATGAACTGAAAGTAGGCAAAAATAAAAAACAAAATGTCTCATTACAAAATAAGGATTATTGAATGGAAGTAATTACTGTAAAATAGGAACATTTGTTCCACATTAAGCCTGTTGGGTTTTGGGCGAGGTTAAAGGGCCTAGGCTGGGGCTCACCTTGCTTTCACTGGCACTGCTGCTCACCTGGCTGTACTCTCTGTTGAAGGTGTGCATCAGCAGACGCAGACACTACATGAAACAAAATTTAAAAAGAGTTGAGGTTTTTTCTGTAAGACACCAAATGTCAATAGAAAAACGTACAGAAACCATACTAGAGAGAGGACAGTCACCTTTGCAGCCAACTCCATCTGTCTCTGGTTGGGACTGTCGGGGACGGGGCTGCCGACAGGACTGTGGCTCAGGACGGGACTCTTTGCAAAGTCGCAGATGTCGCTGCTCTTGTAGAGCGCGTCCTGTCCTGCCTGCAGAGTGGCTTCTAGCTTTTCCCTCAGCAGCAGGTAGTGCCTGGTCTTCTCCACCTTAAATAAAACATGTTTTAAATGAACCCTGTAATGTATCAGTTTGGGTTAGAGCGCCATCTCTTTAACAGGATTAGTGCCTTCCTCATGTAACCCATTTTGAATCTTATGCATGTGTTCTGCCCCTTGATAGAGGTTCTACATATGGTAGGCGCAAATTCTATTTTTAGTATTTTATAATTACATAATTTATTATATACTGACATAATTATTATAATGTTATTCTCTAATAAACCATTCAATAAAAATATATCTTTAGAAAATATTGAAAATGAAGAAAATATTGAGAATCACTAATCTGAAGTTTTATTTGTGATTATTTGAACTGTTGTTTTTAAACGGACCTCCTGCAGTAAGCTGAGCTTCTCCAGCTCCCACTGGTGGTCGAGAATGAGGCTGTCGCTGCGAGGTCTCCATCCCGCCAGGTTCTCCTCTCCTCTAACGTACGCCACGGAGGTGTCGAGCACACGCCTGCGACGGCGCTGCATGCCTGTAAAGGAGTGAAAAAGATCACACTTTCAGTCCAGCAAAACAAAATGTATAAGCATAAAAATATTTTTTTGCTTTTATTTAAATGTGAGTCACCTGGACTTCCATTATCTGCAACATGGCAGAGAGTGATTTCATAAACGCCAGTGACACGGTTACTGAAAAATAGCATTGTAGAGATTATTGAATTTAAAAAAAAAAAGAATAATTTAAAAAAAAACTACATTTTAGAAGAGTTTAGGTTTTGTTTTAGTGATTTTGTACCTCTCTGATGGCCTGAGGCAGCCGGTGCTGAAGAAGTTTCTGATGGAGCGAGAAGCTGGAAGCTTCGTGTCACGAGAGTAGAACACCATGCAGAAATCTTTGGTGATCACGGTTGGCTGAGTGCAGTTTTCCATCTGGTTTTAACGGACATAATAAACTGGTCATTAATGGAAAGTACTTGGTTACAAAAACTGCAGCAGCTAAAACTAAATTCTGGTTGTTTTTATAACAGATTGCTGCAGAACTAAATGTGTCTATCGTGATTAAAATTAATGCTGATGGAATACAGAAAAAAAGTATTATTGAATACATTTCCCTCAAAATGTTTCATAATCTAAATGTTATTTTTAATTACAACATGTCTTAGAATAATGCAGAACATTTAATTTTTCTACTTTAAATTAGATATTTTTTATTAAAATGGATTTGCTGGTTTTTTTAATGTTTTTTTGGGGGTGCTCATCAAAAATTTTCATTTTTATTTCTTAATTCAGAACAAAATGTTTTTTTATATATTCATTGAAATGTATCTCCCCTCCAAATGACTTATAACCACAAATAGAGAAAAGTGTATCTTTGATCAGACCTTTTTTTTTATTTTGCATTGTATTGAATCATGTAAAAGTTTTCTTGATATTTTGTCATGCTAACATGTGAAAAATAACTTTTCTCCCTTTATTTATACCTCCAGATAAGTCGAGAGCGTGATGTAGATCTTCTCTGCGTATGGAGTGACTCTGTTCAGAAGCAAGGAGTTGTGCATGGAGCTGTCCCACGCTGCTTCGAATCGGTAGAAGGTTCTGGAACGAGAAAAACAAAGTGTAGATTTGTGTGAAAAGATGGGCCGTGAAAAACTTTTGAACAGCTTTCAAACGCAATAAGAGAAATTAAAAAACGAGTATACCTATGATCAACTCCCAATGACACGCTGCCATTTACAACAAAAACAGACAAACAATTAATTCCAGCAGTTATGAGGTTAAAATCAGAAACTAAAACAGACGAATGCAGGTTATGAAATAATAAAGAAACAGAATAACAGGGTTAGTCAGAAGAAACTGTAGAATAACAAAAGCTCATTAACTACAAAATCAGCCCTACTTGTCATCGTGTTTAGGCCAGATGTACCCAGAGGACAGGATGTTGAGGGAGAGGATGTTTGGGTCTATGATGGTCTCATCAGCCTCTGGAGTGTTTCGGATACGACCTGTAAGCAGGATTGATGATGAGACCTTTCCTTTTTGTCTGGTTTTGTTTCACCAACTTGACTAGAAAGACTTCTCACCAATAACCAGCTCTTTCACCTCCTTCCACTCTATATCATTTCCTGCTTCATGAGCGATGGTCACTCTGATCCTTCTTTGAATACCCTGAGGATCCGGTAGAGAACAGCTAGTTTATGTTGTCATGACTTGATGTGTATAGAATGAAGATAAAGTACTAGAAGGCTGTCAGACCTGATGTAAGAGGAAGGTCCCGTGGCAGGGCATCCCACCTCTGTGATCAACCACAGCAGGGATGTAGCTGCAAACAGAGAAATACGACAAGCACATAAGATGTTCATCATGTCTTCTTTAGTAATTCAGGTAGCAGTACCGCAAACAAGAACTCACTCTCCGTTAGCTTCGAGCTCACAGATCTCAAAAAAGACCATGAGGTCATATTTTACGTGACACGGTCCTGCAGTAGATCGGGTCAGCGTGCTGAGCTTGGTGGCCGGCACTGAAAGAGAGGATAGATCTATTATTAACAGACAGCAACTTTTTTTAAATAATAACAGTCCCATGGTCGCTACCAAACATCCTTGTGAAGTTTTTTTGCACTAAATCCCTCTCACATAAAGCTATTTCAGAAGTTTTATTCTTGATATTTTCAATACCTTCCTGAATGAGTCGTTTCAGGGTTCTATCTCTTTAAAGATGTGGTTTACTTGTTTAATCCATACATTTGCAATGGTCTCTATTACGAATGAATGCAAGTCGTACTTGGGGGCAAAAAAGCTCAGATAAGCCTGTTTTAGGAAGTCAGGAGGAGGAAATAACTTCAGACGACAGGATTTGGAGTCTTATTTCCTGATACTTGGACATCTAGCCTCTAATTGGATAACAGAAACACGATGCTACCACTGACTCCATTTGCTCTGTAACGTTGATGTTTCATCTTTACAAATAACACAAGCCTGAAGGAGTTCTGCCATGTTGAGGAGTTGCTAATACTAACGGTTAGCTTCTACTAGTGAAGACGTTTACTGGACGCTAAACCAACAACAGCTTCCCCTTCATGAGCCAATATGGGTGAGTCAATTAATGCTAAGTGACAGTGTGACTTTCAAGCTTTTCAAATCCTAGAGATTCATCATCTATTTTCTATCAGAATCTAACACAGCAGAAAGGTTTATGAGACAATTTTCATGTTCAGCCTGCATGAAAAACCTAGCATGACTGATCATAATTAGAAATAATCATTAATAATGTTTTTTCAGTGATCCACACCTTTAAGAAGACTAGCTGGAGCGGGCGCCAGTCCCGCCCCACTAACGATGCTATATGCTGAGAAGCTCCGATATCCGGAAGGGGCTCAAAGTAAAGCAGCTGCACCTCTAGCACAGCAGAATTTCCCTGCTTGTGACATCACAAACGGGGACTTTTTGAAACTGCATGTTTTAGACGTAATTACTGACACAAAAAACAAATACAGATTCTTTTTCATGTTTGGAGAGTTTATACAGGCACTAGAGATCAACATGGCAGAACAAAAGGATAACATGTCCCCTTTGAAAATGAGTTTGTTTGTCACCAGGTGATATTTATCTACAGATTGAATCTTATTACTCCTGACCTGGTTTTGAAAGAGGCATGATTCGGGGAAACTGTCTCCTTGAGGGTCTCAGCGGACTGGAAGAGAGCAAAATGTGAACCCACCAAAAAGAGGAGAAACTTTTTCTTCATTCAAACATTCAAATATTTATATTTATTGGATTTTTTAAAGAACTTTGAATTCCTTGTCAGACCTGATTAAATCTTTGCATAGTGGAGGGAAGGGCTGTTTCTGATAGTGTCCAAACACTTCAAAGACGATAGGCTGAGTTTTGATGTACTCCAAGAAGGACTTGGTCACCTCCACTGTGATCTAATAGAGACATTTTTTTAAACAGACTCTTTAGATTCTGGAATAAGTTCAATGTTGTTTGCAGCTTACATTTTGAACGTGATAAAAGCCCAGTGGAGGTCCTCTGCCGGTGTTCTTCAGTGGCTCGGTGGAAAAAGCCTCATCGTGACGGTGGATGAAGCTAGAAGAAACAATCACATAAAATATTCAGTTAGTTTACAATTATGAACATTTGTGAGTAGACATTATTGTCTTATCTCAATAAAGATGTGATAAAACTGACTTAAATTGGCAGAAGATGTCGGCATATTCTGCTGAGATGCTGGAGGCCTGCAGGACGGTGACTCTGAATGTGAAAGTGCTGCCGACCTTCAGGTGGGACAGAGACTTTTCTGGAGATAGCTCCAGAGGAAGGTCCAGACCCAAACCTAGGCTCTTTAATGGGCTGTGAGGGGCATCTACGGTGGCTGCATGGCATAGAAGAAAAAAGAAAGAACAACGCTAATTTGAAAACAAACATTATGGTAACAATAGGAAGAAAAAATCTTTCTGAGGTAATTATAGGTCACTAGACCCAATCAGCAGTCTGGTCACTCCCTCACCTTCGCAGGTGTTATTGTTAACCTCATCCACGGATATTCCCATCTCAACGTTCTGTCCTTCTCCCTCTACTATCCTCAGCTCCTCCTGGGACGTGTTGGAGTGTGACAGACCGTCATGACACGACTCTGACTGTAACTGAACACCAGGATTCATCCAATTAAAATAGGATTCACAAACAGAAACACAGAATAATTCTGACCTCAAATCAACATCAACAAGGTTTTTTGTTTCTTTGTTTTGTTTAATCACAAGCACCTTCTCAAACTGGTTGTCTTCAAAGGAAATCTTGGCAGTCCCTGACTGCCTCACTCCAGAGCCGTAATCAGGGGCCTCCTCGTCAGCTGAACAACGGACAAAAAAAATTCTCTCTGTACTCCAAATATTCTAACAGTAAGATGCGACCAAAGTATAGTTTTAATCTTTACCTGAGATGGCCTGCACAGCCACTCTGAGGAAACCTTTGACCTCTCCCTTCTCGCTGACAATGGCCACTCGGTGCACCAGAGGCACCGGGTACAGCAGGTTACTCAGGTAGACAAAAGCTCTAAGGAAAGAGATGACCTGTTTAAACATTTTATTGTGCAACGAAAAGCACACATTTTAATCTGCTTGATTAACAGACCGTCCAACAAGACGGAACCAAGGGAAACGGTCGTAAAAGGGGTCTCCGCCGGTCAGGGAGTGGTCGAAGTCCTCCACGGCGCTGCTGGGCAGCTCTGCAGCTCGGTCATACATCTCTCTCATAAGATCCAGCCTCTGCCTGCAGGGGGCAACACAAACAAAAGGTCAGTGATGCCTTAAAGAGACAATGTGTATTTTTACCTTTATCTCTGGAAATATCCATCGAAACGTTGTTGAAAATTAATAAAATGATGTCCAGTTGTTGAGAAATATTGGCGTCTTTATAACATATAACCATAAAAATCGGGTCTAAAGTACATAGGGAGTGGGTCTAGCATCTTTAGGGGACGCCACATTAGCCGCCATGTTCCCTTTTGGCTGGCTCGAGGTCCTGCACCTGTTGATGACATCATACTAGACGACTGGCTGGACGTACGACTTACAGAAGTTATGTTACCACGTTCAAAAACGTTTAGGTAGTGAAAAACATACATTTACCAACAAAACTGCTAAACTTTTTCTAAAATATATGTGAAAGAACAGAATCGAAAAAGAGATGCAATATATTTTGGCCGAGCGGTATTGCCGTAGTATGATGGTGTCATCGGCAGGTGCAGGACCCCGATCAGATCTGGATAGTACAACGCCAGAAAACTACAATTGGCATTGCGTTCTCTCGACGGAATTCATTAAAGGACCGTCAAAGTCAAAACATTTATCGTAGTGTTTTTTTAGTGACTGTCATGGCGATATGGTGTAAAACCAAAATATGGTGAGTAAACTACACACTGCCACTTTAAAGTAACAATAATTTTTTTTTTTTACTTTAAAATTGATCTCAATGATTGTTGGGTTAAAAATTTGACCAGTTTCATATTTGACACCACTCTGCAGCCCCCTGCCGACCAAAAGCTGCACTAGATAGTTTTGTGGAGCGGGTAGGTGTTCAAAGGGCGCTCTTTAACAACTTTATGTAATTAAAGATTAATGTACGCATTACTGGCTGTTAGCTGTAATGCTATCGGTTAGCTTTTTCAGTTTGCCGATCATCAATAAAAAGCGCAAGAAGAAGAAAAGATGTCTTTAGAGGTAAAGCAAAGAGCAAAAACTGGAGAGACATCGGCATGGCCTACACTAGTTTGAGGGCGCTAAAGGAGTCTACAAAGTCACGGACTGATGGAGACCTGGCTTTTTTGCTTCTGGAATTGTAAGTAACATTTTTTGTCCAACAGTGTTGCTCTTTTTACTGCGTGGTTCATTTTAGTATTAGCTGGCTCATGTTAACTCGTTGTTAACGCTATAGCTACAGCAGGGTTGTTGACAACAGATGTAATTCCACTTTCAATCAGTAGGGCAGAGGAGCAGGAAACAGGGTAAAGTCATTTTATAAAACTGAAATAAAATTCTTCTAAGAGAAATGAGACTTCAGCTTTTGCATTTGCATTGACTGCATTTTTTATTGCTAGGTACTTAAGCTCATGAATGCCGATGATTACAGATAAAGAACTAATTTAATGACCAAGAGAACAGCTTTTGGCCACACAAACCTTTTAATGATTAAATGTTTGCTACCTGAGTTTCTCTAGAGTCCAGAAATGTGTGGCTCCATTCTTCTGATCCTGTACCTCCACAGCTACTATGGTTTGGGGGAAAGGTCGTGTCTCCCTTTCCTTAGCCACACAGGATGGCAGCAGGTCAGGAGGAAGTGGAGAGTAAAGGGTGTCCGTCAGCAGGACAAACTGGAACTGCACCTGTAAATATCCAAAGACGCTTACCGTACTTAATTCTGCATAATATTCTCCAATTCAGCATCTAAGTGGTTACATTTTTAAAAATATTGCAAGTAGATTAGATATATCATACAATATCTAACCTTTTTCTTCAGCTCCACACTAATAGCATTTGCCTCTTTGAGGAAGATGGCGTTGCCCCAGAGAAGATCCCTGAGAGAGGTGAACTGATAAAAACGCCACTTTCTGAAAGCCCACAGAGCCAGTTCGGTCTCACGCTCTGTCCACGGTACTGGAGATCAATGCAGGTGAGAAGAGAGTCAACTTTCACCAGATAAAATACAGGAATTGTAATTAAAGACAAATGCATGTGCTCTCACCATCTTCCTCGGGCTCTTCCTCTTCCTCTGGGGAGTCCAGGTATCGAGAGTCCACTTGTCTCTGAAGGGCTTCCAGTTTGCTCTCATAATCCTGACAGAAAACAGGTTTTATCAGTCACCTTGTGAGGAAACGTCATGCTGGTGGAAATGGAAGAAACTGGAACTCACCAGTCTCTGCTGCTCCAGCAGGTTACTGGCTTCTTCTCTTTCTTTACGATATTGATCTTCAAGCTCCTGAAGCCTAAATGATTAATTAATAATTGTGAAACTGAGTTATTTTTCCAAAAAGCATCAATAGCAGAAGGAGTCCACTTGAGCTAAAATCCATCCACACCCACCTCTGCTCCATCTCCTGCTTCATATCGATGCCTTGCTTCTCGAGGAGCTCTCTCTGAGCGAAGGCCCAGTCCACGGGCTCCATCGGAGTCTCCGCACACGGCGTCCTCTCTCGCTCCATACGAGCCTGCTCTGGATCGTTGAACCGGAACACATGGCTCTTCCCCATGATGATGCGATTTCCTTAAAAATACACAAGAAACTTTGACATTTCAAGGATCTAAAACAATCCCAACATCATAAAGCTCTCACCCTGCATTCTCATGTAAGTTATCTTGTTCGCTCTTCCTTCTTCCATCTCAGGAACACTGCAAAGCTGAGTCTCATTCTGTCTCACTCTGAACTTGAGACAGCTATCCACACCTTCATCTCCTCACGCTTAGACTACTACAACTTGCTTTTCACGTGTCTGAGCAGAACCTCCCTGAACCGTCTACAGGTGGTTCTGAATGCCTGTTCTCGGCTTCTGACCAAGTTGTCAAAGTACACCCACATCACCCCGCTTCTCCTCCAGCTTCACTGGCTGCTGGTAAACTTCAGGGCTCATTTCAAGATCCTGGTTCTGGTCTATAGGGCCTTACATGGACAAGCACCATCTTACATTGGTGATCTTCTCATTCCTTACACCCCCAGCAGGTCCCTGAGGTCCAGTGACCAAAGCCTACTGTTTGTGCAGCGCACCAGGCTAAAGACCAAAGGTGACAGATCTGCTGTGGCCCCTAGACTCTGGAACTCTCTCCCCCTGAGCCTGAGATCAGTGGACTCAGTGGTCTCCTTTAAAAAGCAGCTGAAGACTCACTTGTTCAGGCTGGCTTTGGTGTGACCTTCATCACCCTCTCCTTAGTCTGCTCTTTTTACCAATCGCACCTTTCCCGGGATCCACTCATTCCCCTTTTTCATTTTTTCTCTTTCAATTTCCTCACATTTTATAATTAGTTAGTTTAATTTTTATGATATTTTTTAATAATTAAAAGACAATCTATTTATTTTTAAAAATGTTGTCCTTGTGAAGTGACTCGTGATTTATAGCTTGAGTGGTGTTATATAAAAGATTGTTTTCTGTCTTTCTTTCTTGAGATGGAGGTAGGAGATCGTACCACGACGTGGTTTAGTGGTAATTTATTCCAAACTCTTCCTTTTGGTATATTTTGGCATTGTTTTTATCATTAATTAATTACTTGTTCTCACCTGATCGCAGAACTATCGGTGAGGTGACTCTCTTCCCGTTGACGTACGTCTCCGCTCCTTCACATGGCTCAAGGATGACGCAACCTGATCCAGAGAGCCATCCAAATGATCAATCATGACATTCACGCACATCACATGAAATATCAGGTTCATCAACTATCCACGGCCGTACCTTCTCCCTGAGGGCCGGTAGTGCTGCTGAAGGTGCAGTGCTCATCTTTAATGAAGTGTCCGCTGAGAACGATGTCCTGACGAGTCCTGGCATTTTCACGTCCAACTCTGATGGAAGGTGTCGTTTAAATTACAAAAACAAGTACAAATAGAACAAAAAAAATGTTTTTATTGAAATCTATGAAGCTTTACTTGGTGGTGCCATCTTTGATGTAGTACAGCAGGCACTCAGACATCAGCGGGTCTTCATTGAGGTTCACCAGGTGAGGAGTCTAGAAGAGAAACACTATTAAATGACTTAAAGTGGACTCTGCCACATCTCCAGGTTCACCTGCGTGTTTCATCCAGTCTGCTTGAGCTAACTGGGATGGTCCTCTTACCTTTTTAGGGGAAAACACACCAACGGTGCCTCCATCTTCCCTCATGGCTACACCCATCTCTGCCAGCAGAGCCTCTCTGCAGAGACCAGTTAATGTTAGTGTCGTCAGATGTTTGATTTGATGTGGCATCTAAACTTTCTATGCTAAGCAACTTCTCCAAAGAATAACTCAATATTAAAATACAACAAGCTAAGGATGTCACCGTTTTTACTGAGTCTAACTCTTAATTTACAATACCAGTGTAAACTGATGCCAATATTTCAGGGGTTCCCCCTCATAATAAAATAAAAATCATAAATTGTTTAAGGTAACTAATGTCTCGTATCTTTTATGATGCATACTTAAACTTTAAACATTATCTGTTCAACTTAAACTAGGCTAGTTGTGCCAAATAAACAGAAATATCTCAAAAACTAGACCTCGGATCTGTTCTATTTTGACATTTTGAGTGAGAGGAGAAGTACCTGAAGAGTTTGATGTATAATATGTGCATGGTATGTAAAGGCTGTGTCATAAAAAGAGTAAAAAGTAATACTTATAAATCCAGATATTACATTTTAACACTAATATCGAACATCCCTACAACAAATGTATCAGCAGAAGTTATTTCTCAAGGAGCAGCAAAACGACGACGACGTGTGTGACGATGTGTTCATAGAGTGTGTAAAAGTTCACAAACACAATGAAACATAAAAATAATAAAGTTTCAGGTTTTGTGATTTGTGATCTTTGTTTTTCAGTGTTTTACATGTCTGGTCTTTGTTTTTCAATGCTTTACATGTCTGGGTGCAGCTTAGAGGTAAAAGTCAAATTTGGTACTAATGACCTCACAATTACCTTTTTGTTACTGTTAAACACAAAATAAGGCAAATATTATATTGCTGTTTTCCATAAGTATGCCCCATAAAATATTTGGTAACACTACAATAAGGGTCCCTTTATTAGTGTTACTTAGTGCATTATTAAGCCTTAATAAACCATTAAACAAAGTATTAGCAGCTTAACCATGTTACGTAAAGACACTCCTTGCTCACCTGACCTGCTTCTCTTTCTAGTAATCACATCTCCTTGTATAAATAATTTTCTGCTTATTTATTTGGCGTATTTTCCTCTTTTCAGTAGTGTGCAGCATGATTTTAGTTCTCTTTGTTGGTTTTATGTTTTCTTTTGATCTCCTCGTGCTGCGGCTGTAGTTTTTGTTCTTTCGTCGTTACAAATTCACCTTCACCTCTTCTCGTGATCAAACAACAGGAGATCAGAGGATTCCCAAACAGAAGTGACGTTAAGCGGTGAATGACTTATTCTGCTGTTTGTTTTAGGGGAATAGTTCAGATTAGGGATCAATGTTAGGATGAAACCAACCTCTCCATGCGGATGGCCTCTGTACGACGTAGCTTCTCCTCCCACGTCTCATTCAGCTCAGCAATGATTTTCTCTGTTTCCTGTTGAGAAAGAACAGCTCTCTCTTAATGAATCCTTCTTTACATCCACAGGAATAACCTCTCTGAGCTTTTCTTGTACCTTGAGCCGTTCGATTGCCTCCTCGCTGGCCGGACTGAAGATGCGGTCGTGCAGATTGCTGATGGAGGCGGCGCGGCTGGACAGGGCAGAGAGCGATGGCGAGGGACTCATACCTGTCATGGCGTTTGTCACTGTGGAGAGATCACCCCTTTGATTGACAGCCTGGCGATTATTCTCAAAGTTCTTGTAATCGCACAGGTCTGTCAGAGGGAGAGACGGAGTGAGGAAGAGGGAACAAAAGGTGGGAGCAAACACCAGGGGGTTTTTATGGGTTTTTTTTTCAGGGGGATTGAGAGGAACACACAGAGACATGGATTTAAAAGGGAGGAGTACAAAAAAAGAAGAAGAGACAGCTCAAATAATGGATCCAAGCAAAGCCAATCGCAGACAGAAAAGATCAACTCAAACAAAATAACACAAAATGTCAGGAGAGCTGAGTCTTTTACTTCCTGCAGAAATACGCATAAAATCACCTGACAAAGTAAACACCGTGCATGTGTGTGTGTGTGTGTGTGTGTGTGTGTGTGTGTGTGTGTGTGTGTGTGTGTGTGTGTGTGTGTGTGTGTGTGTGTGTGTGTGTGTGTGTGTGTGTGTGTGTGTGTGTGTGTGTGTGTGTGTGTGTGTGTGTGTGTGTGTGTGTGTGAACCAATGCCGCCTAGCCTTGGCAGAGCAGAGATCCCCCTTAGTGCTGACCCCACACACAGAGATCCTGAATGCACCAAACGGCAGCAGCTATGTCCTTTCCGTCAGTTTGTTCTTCCATGGTTTAATCATCATAAGCAACAACAAAAAATTAGTTTAGAGCCAAAAACTGTTCAAATGTCTATTACTATGAAGGACTACAGATGATTAGTCTCTAAAAGGGTGTAAAGTTGGCATCTGAGGCCTGTTTTTCCCCGTTTTAGAGAGACAAACAAGACTTTACGAGAGTTTTCTTCACCCCATATTCTGTATTCAGAGCATGATGGAGATATTTCAGTCACTTGCAGCTATGATAACAAAGCTTGGGCTTTTTTGTTGTTGTTGTTTCTGCAGAATGCTCAGTGCTTTCTGAATAAATGCTCATTGGGCAGCAGTAGCTCAGGTGGTAGAGCGGGTTGCCTCATGATCGGAGGGTCATGGGTTCGATTCCAGCTCCCACCAGGGGTATCCTGCAGTTGTGTCCTTGGGCAAGACACTTCACCCAACTTGCCTGTGTTAGTGGTGGTCAGAGGGGCCGATGGCGCCAAATGGCAGCCTCGCCTCTGTCAGACCTCCCCAGGGCGGCTGTGGCTGCAAGTAGCTTACCATCACTAGCAGTGTGTGAATGTGAGAGTGTGTGAAAAGCGTCTTTGGGTGTCTTGAAAAGCGCTATATAAGTTCAATGTATTATTATTAAATGTTGTGAATTTTACAAAAAGTGTGTTACCATGGAAATCTGAACAAACAGAAAGAAAAAAAACTGAGGTCATTCTGTTTTGTTTTTTTAGGAAATCATTCCAACATTAAGCTCAAAGTTATATTAGATTATTTATGATGCTGTAAGTACTTCGTTGTTTGTAATTAAAATGTAGATGTTTTGTCTCTGGTGTGGTACAGAGGGCTTTTCTTTTGTGTTTTTTAAGTTGCAAAGCAAAGTTGCATGCTCGCTAAGGTTAAACGCACATTTCAAACCAGTGATGAGCGGACCAGTGCAGCGATAAGCTGATAGGACAGAGGAGACAGGAGACTGTGTGAGACGGTTTCCAAAGTGTGTCCACCGAAAAGGAAATGAAAACCCTACAGAGAGACTCTCAGCTCTGTCTGGTTATCGTCTCTAATCTGTGAGAGTCGTGTTTGTCGGAGACACTCACTCTCTATGATGTCTCCGAGTCCCTGAGCGTACAGTAGGTCTTTGAGGCGAGCCACCTCTTCCTTTAGCTCTCGGACGAGGCGGTTGTTGGGGTCCTCGTTGATCACGGCGTTGCAGCGGATCTGTTTGGCTCGATCGGCGTAGCTAAAGTCAGTTTTAAAGCACAATTCAGAAAAATGCAAGGAAAATCTAAAAATTTAACTACATGCAAAACAATTCTGTAAAAGTATAAAATATTAAAATGATTTCCTCTGTAATACCCAGAAAACAATTTAAATTTTATAAATCTTGGTCATTCGATTTATTCAGTCAAAAATATAACAAAACCTAATACAATCATAAAGCATAAAACATTACATTTAAAGTGACTGAAAAGGCTATGGGAGGAAGCAAAATGCTTATATTTATGCCTGTCCTTTTTATTATATTATAACATAATAATGTTGTTGTTAATTTAATAATAGTAAATAATTAAAACACAGAGTCTGTCAAACTGAAATACCCTCCTCAACTCTGTACCTGGTATAAATATTGTTTTAGTATTCATTTTTAACAGAATCATAGTAACACATTTCCTTAGTGTCCCCTCCATCCTGTTCCACAGTCTTGCTCCACATCCCGACATACAAAAGGTTTTACTTGTTGTACATGCAAAAGGAAATCTGAAATGAAATTGTTCCCGTAATTTATAACCCCCTTCCTTCTCAATGAATAATTTTTGGATGTTTTCTGGTAATAGTTTGTTTCTTGCTAGAAATAATATTTGAGCTTTCTGCTATTCGGCAATGTCTCTGAATTTTAAGAGTGTTGACTGTATAAATAATCTATTAGTGTGATCCCTATATCCTACCTTATGAATGATTCTTTTTGCTTTGTTTTGCAAAATTATTAGTGGTTGGATTGCACTAATGTAATTATTACCCCAAACTGCTACACAATGGCTAAGATATGGAAGAACTAATGAGCAATAAAGTAACCTGAGTGATTTATAATCCAAGACATATTTCATTTTGTTTAAAACGGCAATGGATCTTGAAATTGTAGTTTGCACATGTTAGCTATGCATAATCTATTAACTGATTGAGTTGTGTGTGTTTCACTGTCATTACTTCCATCAAAACAAACAAAACTGAGACGATTTTTCCACCCTTACCGGAGAGTGCTGAGGGTTTCATCGTAGTTAATATCTGCGGGGCTGAGAGCCGCCACCATGGCTGTGCGAGAATTTCCTCCTTAAAAAAGTAAAAAATAAATAAATAAAAGCTGCTTTGTGACACCAACAACCTTTTAATTTAGCAACAACTTCATAAAACTTTCTATTTGCAAACCTAGGTTCTCACGCAGAAGCCAAGTCAGGACAGAATCTCTGTAGGGAATAAAACTCTCCACTTTCTTCTTCTTCTTGTTCTGGTCACAAAAAAGTTGGACAGAATTTGAAAGATAACAATATCTTGCTTGTAACAGTGAATTTTGCAGTATTTTCCTGTGTAGCCGGTAAACCGCCAACCTTGTTAGGTGCAGAGTCCTAAAAATCCAAAGAGAATTTAAAATGATCATTATTTCAATTTAAAAAAATCGCTTTTTTTTTGCATCTTGTATAAATCCTACCAGTTCAGCTAAAGCAGAAATAACTTTCCCCAGTGTGGTGAGAGATTTGTTGATGTTCGCTCCTTCCTGCATAAATACACACAGAAAAACATGTCCTACTAGTTTAAGACATGTTTAAATTAAATAAATACAAAAATATAATCTAAGACATTTAAACATCACAGTCGTCCCACCTTCAGCCTTGTCCCTTTTGCTCCAGTGGAGTCGGCTCGTTCGCTGCCGGCCAAATCAACCAGACTTATCTTGCTGACCTTTCAAAGTAAAAGAAGCAAAAAAATCATACATTTTTTCTTGCTTTAAGGGTTAATTCTCCACCACAGCTAATACAACCCATTAGAAAGCATAAGAAATGACAGCATTTGTGCTGTTAATAGTTTCCTGTCGCATAAATAAAACTATTCAGGTCATGTATTTTGAGGCAGAACCTTTTCGGACGTGTTGTCTGTCTCCATTTCGTGTTTCTTCTGTGTGAAGATGATGTTGAAGACAGCATGAGAACGACTGCTGGTCTCATTCATGTTGGTGGCAGCCACAGTCCTTGAATTTATATTAAAAAATTAAACATCCGTTTAAATATTTGACCTGTTTAGGTTACAGGCATTCCTCTGCTGTGATTTGTTACCTGGCTTTGTTTCCGGAGTCCATCAGGTCCTGAATGTCGTTGTAGGAGGTGACAGCCAGTTTGGACAGATCCTCTACATAGGGTCCCAGCAGTGGGTGCTCTCTGACACGCAGGTTCCCCTTGTTTTTGGGGTTCAGCAGGTCACGCACACGCTCACAGTAGATCTCCATGTAACTCACCTGGAAACAGACAAGTAAATGAAATCAAGTCTTCAGAAAACAACACCTTGGAGTAACTGATCAATGTTACAACAGAAATAATCATTCAGGAATTTTAACCAAAGAAACGTGTTGCTTTCCACAGAAACCCCCACAAAAGCTAAAATCCAGCTGCAGCTCACCTCCACAGAGTAGGACATGTTGTTGTCGTTGTTGCTCCCATTAATCTTGGTGAAAAGGTCTTCACACAACTGCAAAACAAACAGTCCAAAAGATCAATGAATTAGCTTTTGGTCACATGACGTTTCTTTGCAAGTAAAAGTGTTTGGTGTCATTCTGGAGGTTTACCAGCGGAATGATCCCCTGCTGGTCTTGTTCCTGTCGGCCCATCATGGTGTAGCTTTTGCCCGCTCCCGTCTGGCCGTATGCAAATATGCAAACGTTGTAGCCCTCGAAGGCATGAAGGAGCATCTCTTCTCCAATGTCCTTGTACACCTGCATCTGGGATGCATAGTTGATGTCCTCAGGCTGCAGAGACAATGACACAGAAGGTCGTTAAAAAAATAAAACTAGGGTGAAAAATAAAGGTTTTTAACTCGTGAATAATTAAAGATTTAGCTTTTTAAAAAATGTGTTACTGTGAATGAGTTCAAAAGCTAAACAGCTCACCGTTGTGTGTGACCAGTAGGAATAGTCAAAGTTGAAGCTTTTGTTTTCTTTTGGCAGTTTTGGATTCAGGATCGCTGAAAACAACAAAACAACAAAACAGATCCATGAGAAACAAAATGAAGACCAAAAAGCAGCTGACTTATGCATGTTCTCAATTTAACCTTTTCATCTCTCATTATCTGTGTGTGTGTGTGCGTGCATGCGTGCATGCGTGCGTGCGTGCGTGTGTGTGTGTGTGTTTGTGTGTGTGTGTGTGCGTGCGTGCGTGCGTGCGTGTGTGTGTGTGTTTGTGTGTGTGTGTGTGCGTGCGTGCGTGCGTGCGTGCGTGCGTGCGTGTGTGTGTGTGTGTGTGTGTGTTAGCAGACTGACATCCTGTTGTTTTTATTTCTATTTTTGTGCTAAAATAGATTTCTCTCTCCCCTCTCTCTGAAGAGTTTCTTCAAAGAATCAAAACATGTATTCTAGGTCAGGGTCAAAAACAGGCTGTATAAAACAACACACACACAGACGAAAGGTCAAAGTCCAAAAAAAAACACACAGAAAACACGACAGGGGGTCAGGTCAACTGGCACTCACATTTAAATTTAGATTTATTTCAATAGGAGCATAAGATCCTAGAACCCTTTTTAAAGAGGGAAATGAGACATTCTAGCCTGAAAACGCCCTCTTGCACACATAACCTGATCAGCTGACCCTGAGCGTGGACCGGACCAGAACAACAAGGCCCCCTTTTTTTAGCTCGTATGATGAGAGCTGACGGGAGTCGGGACTGACTGAAGCTTTTGTTTCTTTACTCTGATTGCCAAGATGCTGCAGACTGCTCTGCCCGCTGCCACAGCTGCAGGGCGAAGCTGCGTCTGACACAAATAACTGAGGTGAAGCGCCGAACTTGGCTCAGACTAGGTCAGGGGAATGAAACCAGCAGAGCATCATTGATTTTCTGGGTTCTTGTGCTCTAAATGCATGCTGTTATAACCTCGTGAGCATCGCGACAAATCTTATTAAATAGTCACATGTGGCAGAATTAGCAGACATTTGTTGTGTCGGATTCCTAAAACTAAATATAACCTAATGAAGCAAAAATATTCCTTTATAAATTATCATGTGAACAGGATAGGCAGATGCTTTTTAAAAGCTGTCTATAATTAAATTCAATCTCTGTATTAATTAGTTGAGTGTTTTTGATGGTCAAATAATAAGAGTTAAAGTTGTGGGAAAATGTGATTTGTAACCAGTGGCGGATCTAGGATTTTTCAATGGGGGCATCAAGGGGCCCCAACATTTATAGAGGGGCCAAGTATTAGTCCAGCATCCTTACTCACAATCCCAGAATGTAGTACGGTAGAGACATTTTACCATTCACGTCGAAACACTAATGTAATTGTAGGCCTACATGCATTTTTACGATAGACAAAATAAAAACATTGCATTTGAGAAATTTCAGAATTGTATTCATTTGTTCTAAAGCCACAAATAGTCTCAGTGTAAATTCTCTAATTCCTTTTTGGCCTAATAGTGCCACTAGGGGTTGGACTTGGAATTGCACCCTGCTATAATCTGATAATCACGAGGACAGTTGAGTGAAAGGACAGGGGCTCTTCAGGGGGACCAAACTGATTTCAGCCGGGGTCAATGCCCCTGTGCCCCCACCTCTAAAACTGCCAATGCTTGTAACCCCTTAACTTTTAAGATTGAATGGGAATTTAGTATTAAAACATATTCTGATGGTTTCAGTGATTATTATTTCATTTAATTTTACTTTTCAAAGCAAGCGTCCCATTTTGTTGGCTAAAATATTTAACTGACACATCTGCTTTATTTCTCCAGAATATCAACTTTACAATCCAAACCCCAAATTTTAACCACTGGACACAATTCGTTTCAGTTGTTGTAACCCAGTTAGCTCAAAGGTAAACAATTTAGAATATCTGTAAAAATAAAAAAAGTCTAAACAAAGCAGTTATTCTAAAACATTTTACACAAAGGAGGTTAAATAAATGGGCAGATTTTTGTAGATCTTGCATCGCCCAAAACTAAATTCATATTTCCTGAAGGACGTCTTGATCCCATACAGGTGAGGTGATACTCACTCGTGGTGTTACCAGACATCTGGATGATGCATTTGCTCTCCTTCCCGATCTCTCTGGAGTTGAAGGGTCGAACCCTTACTGCCACCTTCACCGAAGCTCCCGCCATGTTTCAGGTGTGTGTGAAAGGGAATGAGACTGCTGGAGATCTGTGAGACTACAGACACACACCCGGCTCCTGCACAACAACAAAAGCAGCTTATCAGCATCACCTGAGATTCTGAAGCAGAATTCCAATTTTTTTCTTATTGAGGAATTTATGATGCAACAAGATGATTCATGCTAAGTTTTTACATTTTCATCAGCAGCACTGAGCTCTTGTCACTCTGCCTAAATAGCTGAGCCATTATTTGGCAGGGAGATCTTCAGCATCCCTGTTATTCTCCAATAAAATGGCTGCTCTGGCAGCATTCTCACCACACAAGGCCTTGCCATGAAACTGTGCTACCTAAGATGGAATAATCACTCATCCTAGAACACCACAAACCATATATCTTTAAATTCGTGTGATTCTTAAAAGCTTTATTTTCCTCTGATTATCAAAAATAAAAGCATTTTTTGGGGTTTGGTCCAAGACAACGCCACGCATATCTATCCCCAATCTATCATAACAAAAACAAACTAAGCCGTTTTTGTTTAGTGGATGTTGGTTGTATCACATTTTAAGACCCATTATTCATAAATACCGTTGCCTCCATCTTGCTTCGCCTGCAGCCGCACCTCAAAAAGAAGCAGGCCGCGTAAACATGCACAGATGTGAGACATCAAATGCGTCAGAGGGGAGGTCAGCGCGCAAATTCAACACATAAAATACTACAGTAAATCACATTCTTTGGTTTATTTTAATTATTTGTTGCGTTCGTCTCATTTTTATGCGTTCCTGATTTAAATGTCGAGTCAAACGTCAAACATCCTAACGCAGCGTCTCTAGAAATGGAAAAGGCGCAAAAAAAATCCCAAACGCATTTCTGGAGGCCAGAACGCCATTAGAGCTTATAAATAAAAGCGTATCAAGAGAGCAGCGTCTCACCTCAGCAATCCAGACTCGATCAAACACACACACGATCAGCCCCGGTCCATTCAGTAAGTAAATAAATAAAAGATCATCTCCGTCAGATCCCGAGCCGTCTGTGTATCTCTATCTTTGGTGAACCTGCAGCATCACTTCCCTCTGCTCATCCTTACATGGAGAATCCGCCGGGGAGAGGGGAGAGAGGGAGTCGGCCTCAGCCTCAGCAGCAGCTTCAGCTCCGGCTTCAGCTTCAGCATCAGCGCCGGGTGGGCCGATCGGGAGCTGAACACGGTGCGTCACAGCGAGAAGAGTGGGAGACAGGAGGAAAAGGAGGAGGAGGAGGGAAGGAGGATGAATCCGTTCATCCGTGGTGAAAATGGCGGCACAGCTGTGCCAGGGATGCTGGGAGGGGTTGATGACATCAGCACCGGCATCATCAGCATCATCTGCAGCAGCAGCCACGAGGCTAAATAAGAAAACTAAAGATTTAAGTACAAATGAAACAGATGGAGTCTCCCAACTCTTTTATAAATAAACAGATTTGATCAACCTGAGAATTTGCCTAAAAATCCCTAAATGTTTGTAAAAGCAGCATTTATTTATGTGCGTTATATTTCTTTTATCTTCTACAGATTTGGAGTTATTCTGAGTTGCTTTATTTAACTTTATCAGATTTAATTTGTTAACAAATTATTTTTTATATGATTTATTTTATTATTTTATTTTGTGATGTTTATAAAAGAGCACAATCCCTGTTAAAAGACTCCCCTCACAACATATCCGACTAGCATCCCTTAGTTAATCTCCCCCCTCCTGGTGTGTTTACTCTGTAGCAGCCTGGGAGAACACCAAATGTCTTCTGTGTAATTATTTACTGAGCCACACTTGAAAATGGACTTTTGCTCTGGAAATATATTTTTTTAACTTGACATTTTTTGTAAATGTAAATGTTTGATCTGAACAGCTTGAAGTTTGGAACTGATTAATCTGTTTATCAAATATCTGCTTTAGCTATAACAAACCTGATCATTAATCATCTGGTTTGTTTTTAAAAACATTTTGCACTCATGATTTATCCTGTTTTTATGTTGGAGCAGGAGGGTATGGATGTTGTCATGCCCCTCTTCCTGCTTTGAGAGCGCAGATTGGCTCTCCCAGAGGACCCTCCTCTTTACGTCCCAAAGTTTGCTGCTGAAGGGATCAGACAGAATCAACAAATCCCCTCAAACAAACCAACGTCAACTGGTTCCAAGCTGCCAGGTGCAGCACTTCGCTTTTTCCACACGGTAGTTATTAATGATCCAATGTCACTGAGTCTCCTCTATCTCATGGACAGATGGTATAATATTTAAAAACAGAAAAGTGTGCCTGATCGCACAAATAATATTGATGATTATTTTTTCTTGGCTGTTTGGCCCTTAACTGGAACGAGTTAAAATTTTCATTTATTAAATGTGAAAGAGGTCAGAAATGTGTCAGCAAAAACTTGACAACATACACGTGTTTTTAAAGAGCACACTGTACTTTTACTATTTCAGTTTGTTCTGTTAGCACCTTGTTGCGTAAAATGACGCACAGCCCTTGTCCACCAGGTCAAAGACCTGTTTGTTTTAAATTTTCACCCAAACTCACTTTCAGGCTCAGACTCTTCGACTGTCAGCGGTGAACCTCCCCCCTGCAGACTTCCCGGGAGCAGGCTAGCAGCCGTAATGCAGCGGGCTTTATTCACACGGGGCGCGTTGCTCACTCAGCAGGCTGCGGTGGCTCGCGACTGTCCGCTGGCAGCCAGGAGCGCGCCACTGCTGCAGCGTCTGGAGCGCTCCATGTCCTCCGTCACCATCCCGCCACCAGCATGTATACTCCGACCTCTAGAAGTGCCTTATCGTTATCTCTTTGGACCGGGACCCTCAAATGTACCTCCGCGTGTCTTGGCTTCCGGATCTAGGCCAATAATCGGTCACCTGCATCCAGAAATGTATGAGGTAAAGGCTCCGGAAGTCGGTTAGATTTACTTAGACGCGCACTAAAACAAAACAAATGTGAATACTCTCGGCCAAAAAGTGTGTAACGTGTTTTGTTTCGAAGTTTACGGAGACTTTTTTTAAAGCAGAAATGACATTTATTGCGTAATTACGCAAGACCAGCCGTGCGCACTCAATAAAACCATATAAATGACAATCATAACAAATGATTCAAACTCAATTTATATTTTTCTGGTTCCAATGCGTGCCACAGATCATGAACGACATCAAAAAGGGAATCCATTACGCCTTTCAAACAGAAAACAACATGACGATAGCCATGAGCGGTTCCGGACACGCAGCCATGGAGTGCGCTGTGTTCAACACAGTGGAGCCCGGAGAGAGCGTCCTCATCGCCATCAACGGGATCTGGGGAGAGCGTGTGGCTGAAATCGCAGAAAGGATGGGTAAGCTTTTACGCACGCGTTTTACGCACGCGTATTCACGACTCTCCAATAGCAGACAGCACATTTGGTTATTTAACATGACTATAGATTAAAATGGTATATTTACAGCTTATTAATTTTCTTCTGTCTGCAGGTGCCAATGTACACAAACTGGTAAAAGCACCAGGGGGGCATTTCACCAATACAGAAATCGAACAGGTTGGCACCTAAATGGCTTTGTTTTATATGCTTAGTGGGGTTGTGTTGCACCACATGTAACAAATATGTGACTGACATCCTAATTGTGTTTATCTTATTTTGTTTTTCCAGGCAATACGAAAACACAAGCCGGTCTTGTTTTTCCTGGCACATGGAGAGTCCTCTGCTGGTCTCTGTCAGCCAGTAGATGGCATCGGAGACATCTGCAGAAAGTATGCTTTCGGTGCTCAAATAAACGAATCGGTATTGCTCACTCGCTCACTCACTCACGTCCCCTCTTTCCACAGACACAACTGCCTCTTCCTGGTGGACACAGTTGCCTCTCTTGGCGCAGCACCAATTTTTATGGACAACCAAAGTAGGAGCATGAGGGAAAGCTAACATTCATTACTCACTGTTATGCAGTCCAGTAACTTTAAGTTGGCCATTGTGTTCCAAGACATTGACATCCTGTACACCGGTTCTCAGAAGGCCCTGAATGCACCTCCAGGAACAGCCCCCATCTCTTTTAACGACAGAGCATGGTGAGAAGAGACCCTGCTCCAGTGTAATAATTAATTATTACATATTAATAATTAATTCATCTTTTTTTCTTCCACTCAGCCACAAGATGTTTAACAGGAAAACAAAACCCGTGTCATACCTATTTGACATGACACATTTGTCCAACTACTGGGGTTGTGATGGTAAAGCAGTCAGGGCGTGAGTTCACCGTTTTAGTGTTTTTCTATATTTTAATGGATGAATAGACATTTTTGTTCTGGAAATGTTTATTTTAGTTCATTCTTGAATAAGTAAAAATAAAAGTAAAACTTGTGTTCTGGGTTCTAGATATCACCACACCGGTCCTGTTTCTGGATTCTTTGCACTGAGAGAAAGTCTGGCCATTCTTGCTGAGAAGGTAAAGAAACGTTTTAATATCTTTATTGTTCTCTAAAATTTCAATTTTGATAAAGAAACTGTAAAGTTTCTAGTAAAACTTCCCAGAGTGAATTAGGAGGGAAGCAAACACGAGGAAAACATTCCAGAAAAGTTTTTTTTTATTTTACATAAAGGGAACAAAATAAATTTTAAATTTGGATTAACAAATTATTTACTCAGTTAAAGTCGCTACTTACAACTTAAACAGGTTGGGATGTTGGATGATGAAAGAAAAGTTATGGGGAAACTTGAAAAAGAAAGAAATCTAAATAGTTTTACAAGATTCTCGTTCAGCGAAACATGAAATACTCAAGAATATGGACTTTTACTCAGTTCCAGGGCAGATGTGCTTATTGTAAAAGGAGGAAATCAACAAGGAACTTGTTATTTCTACACCTAAAAAAGGACCTGGTTGCATGCTTCTTTTAACTTTTTTTTTAACTTTTTCAACATTAAAAGTTTGTTTTTAGTTGACAAAGGCTCCTAACAAACTCCTAACATCAGTCGTATTTACCTCCTTCTAGGGTCTGGAAGAGTCCTGGAGGAAACACAAAGAGGTGGCAGCCTATTTATACAGAGGACTTGAAGATTTGGGCCTCGAGCTCTTTATCCCAGATAAGGTAAACTCGGAGTTTCGAGTTTCCCAGAGCTTCACCAGCACATTGTGTATTATTTTATTTGAGAAACACACTCCTCACATTGCAATGAAGTAGTGTATTTGCAACTCTTGATTGACACTGAGATGTGTGTCCTGCAGGATTTGAGGCTCCCCTCCGTCACCACCATCAGCATCCCTGAAGGCTACGACTGGAGGGAGATGCTGGTCTACATCATGAAACACCACCAGATGGAGATGACGGGAGGACTGGGCCCATCCATCGGCATGGTTAGTTGATCCGGATATTATGAAGTTATTTTTTTAACTACTCTGCCCAGTCGCTATGATGCATTCTTTTTTCTCTACCCCTCTTTCATTTAGGTGATGAGGATCGGACTGATGGGATACAACTGTGAGAAGACCAATGCTGATAAGGCTTTGCATGCTCTGGCTGACGCGCTCAAAAATTGCAAAAAGAGCAAAGCTTAACAAGCTTACATCTCCAGATGACTGACTCAGTCATTAAAAACTAAATATTTACATTTTCCACATGCAAATCACTGGGAACTGTACAAACAATCCAGGAATTATTTTAGGGCTTTAACTGCTGCAATAAATGATGCATTCTGAATGTTGTCATGCAATGAATGTCAATAAAGTTTGCTTTATTTTGTGAAACTAGCCTCACGTGTTTGGAAAAGACAAAATGCTTTCATTGGAATGTGAAGTCGTTGAACTGAAGGTTTGAACTACATTTCCCACAAGTCCACTCGGTGTTTAGGTCGCGAGCTACGTCAGACTGCTGCTGGTGCGACAAACGTTAGTACTTTCGTCGTTTTAGTGGCTTTAATCTGCCGTTCCGAATCTGAAATAATAATGGAGTGTCCTGCTAGCAGCGCTGGTAAGTAAACCGGTCGGTTTGTAATTAAAATCAGATATTTAACAACGTTACAGTTATTTAGACGAGTGGAACCAAGGGACAGGGTGCCAGGTTTTGAAAATCCCTTGCTTAGTAATGATGAAGTGAAACAAACTGTTAGTAAATATTAGAACGTGAACGGTGTGCTCATGTTTACCACTTCATGATGCAACTTCCCCTCTTAAGAGTTTTTTAAGAGACTTGTTTAGAAGAAAAACTGCGTTTAATCCCAAATTAGTTTCATGTTATCCCGCTCTTGGGTCTCGTCTTTCTCCTCCGTCATGGCTTCTTCTTCGTTGTTTTTCTTACAGCAGCTCATATTCTACTTGTTTTTATTTTTATTTATTTATTTATTTATTTATTTATTTATTTGCTGCCTCCTGCTGGAGAAAATATGCAGAGCAGCCAAATATATATAATTTTGTAAGAGTCCACTTTATTGTGGTTAGGTTTTAGCTTTTTAATATAATATAATATAATTACACAAATACTATCTGTGCTTTACTCTTAACTCCTAATTAGATTACTAGTTTTTATCTTTACTGTTTTCAGTGTAAAGACCAGACAATTCCCTATTCATTTTTATTCTCATTTAATTAAAACAAACCTTATATTTTGATTTAGATGCTTAAGTTTCAATTAATGTTGTTTTTGCATCTTACTCTACCAGTTTATCCAACCTACGCACTGTACTTTGCCAGTTCTGTTTAAGCTGAGACTCGTACATTATGTGAGGTTCAACACTGACATTACAATTCTGTATCACTGCCACCTTCTGGATGTCATTGCAATAATATTTACATGCTATCATGACCTTACTCTGAGCAAACAACTTCATGTTTTAATTATAATGGAGAATTATAATGTATTTGTAAATTTAAAAAATAGAGCAAGCACAGAGCTAACTGTTATGAAGCATTTAGATATTTTCAAGAAATTGAGGTTTTTGGTTTCAGCTTCAGTGGAGCTGAACCCTGTCCTCCGTCCTCTGAACTGGCTGCTGGGTAACTGGGAGAGTGACATACCTGGAGAGGGCACATTCCCCACCATAAAACCTTTTCGCTACACAGAGAAACTGTACTTCAGCCATGTGGGGCAACCAGTCATCAACTTCATGTAAGATAATGCTGCAGATGTTAAAAAAAATAAGGGAACAACTGTGTGTGTGTGTGTGTGTGTGTGTGTGTGTGTGTGTGTGTGTGTGTGTGTGTGTGTGTGTGTGTGTGTGTGTGTGTGTGTGTGTGTGTGTGTGTGTGTGTGTGTGTGTGTGTGTGTGTGTGTGTGTGTGTGTGTGTGTGTGTGAAAAATACTTCTAAGTTCTTATATGTTTTGGGCAGGTTTAATGCTTTCAATGCAGAGTCTAAGAAGCCGATGCACAGAGAATGTGGCTTTATTCGAATCCAGCCAGGAACCAACAAAGTGGCATTCATGATTGCACAGAATTCAGGTAAACCAATGAACATAACTTTGTTTTTGTCATCAGGACAATCTCCAGTTGCAGGATTTCAAGATATTATTTTCATCCAAGCACCATTTACAGGTTCAAATGAGGATGCTGGTACAAGCACCACTTCACCAAAACCTGTTTCTGTCTCTTAACCCTCCCACTGTCCTAATGGGTGTGACCCCATGAGGAAAGTTGACCACTGAGCAGGGTTGATGGTTTATCCCTTGGGTCCATGTGGCTGGGGTGAGGAGTGAGCACCACCTCACCCCAGCCACGTGGAGCTCAAGGGATAAACAATCAATCCTGCCCAATGGTCAACTTTCCTCGAGGGGTCACCCATAAAGACAGTGGGAGGGTTAAATGGATCCGGATTGAACGAACAATAGCCACAAAAACAATCAATCTCTACTTGTTCCTTCCTATTTCTTTTAAATCGGTCACAACAAATATATTTTGTAGTTTTAAGTTTAAACAAAGTCTTGTTTTTCAGGTCTGGTTGAGATCGAGGAGGGAGAGCTGACGGGAAATCATCTGAAACTGCAGACTGAGAAGTTGGCCAGAATTTCTTTTGCTAAGGAGCCACATGTACAGCAGGTAAAAGTTATCCTCTGACTCATCTTCACACACAGATCTCCTGATCAGTGCATTGTCCGATTTGAAACTGCTTTCTCAAAAGAGAAATCAGGTTAAAGGTTCAAGATGTAAAGCCTGGGGCACACCAGAGGTGGACGCGCCACACAGCGTCGTGCCCGCGCCGTCTTTTTACATAGAAGCCATTATAGTTCATGAGAGTGGGCACACGGGGAGCGCCGCAGCTGTTTACAACATTGTGGAGTACTTTACAACAGACATTACGACACGGAATGGCTTTACGGCACGACTGCCGGCACAAACCCAGCCACCGTTTTCATTCACTGTTAATGAATTAGTCTCACAAAACACAACGGCAAGTTTGATCACGTATAAACAATAAAGTCACTTCCTGCTTCCTGTTCTCAAGTCTGCGTGATGTTGCGACTTTCCAAGAAGCGCTGGCGCAGCCAGTTTGCCCCAGGGTTAAGAATCTACAGTGAAATAATCACAGTCTGTCTCAATTATGATGGGAGGAAGGTTACGTTGAAAACAAATTTCATTCTCAGTATGGTGGGGTTGTAAGTTTTTCTTCTTTCGAAAAAAAAAACAAAAACAAAAGCAGGACGTTGTTATTGTTTACACCGTGAGTTTGTGAAGTTTCTGAATCTGCAGCAAGCTAACAAAGCCATGTAGGCATTTGTCATTTGACACCAGCAGGCAAAAAGCTCCAGAGTTGTTTAACGAACAGAAGCCAGTAAACAGGCGTGACCCAGAAGTTATTTCTTGTAACCCCTAAGTTAATCACTGCCTCTTTTTTGCTTTACTTTAATATCAGGTGAAGCTAACAATGCCAACTAGAAGAAAATAGTGGGCTCTAACAATTTCCCAAGCTACTTTTTTCAGTAACTCAATATTATAGAGAAGTGAAGAATCATGTCACTTTACTTCCTTTAATGCATAGTTCAGAACTATAACAGCAAGGTGGCAAACAACACTTCCTGTAATGCTGTTGACAAACGACTGTAAAACACCCAAAAGGGCCACCACCAGATATGACCATGTATATCTACTTATCAACTTACTGTGGTCTGTCTGCCAACTAGAATCTTCTGGTGCTGATTCGGATCTGGCAACAGCCACGAAAGTCATGGAACGGGAGTGAATGTTTTTGCTTATAAAAATGGACTGCAGTACCCACATTTGACCACAGGATGTCATTCTTACAAATTGCACCTTTGCTTCAGCAGCCTCACATGCCCTTCAACATTTGTCAGATTTGCAGAGTGTTTCAGCTCTTACCGGATGGAAAGCTGGAGCAGACGGTTACCATGGCGACAGACAACCAGCCACTGTCTCAGCACCTGCACATCACCTACCGTCGATCTTCTTGACCCAATGAGCAGCGAGACTCATCGTCACCCACCTGGAGTCAACATGTGGAGTGTGGGTCTCAAGAGTTTGTTCGTACCCTGGGTTTCTTTGTCTTTCATTTATTAAATGCATGTAAATAAATTCAGATTTTCTTTCTTAATGGATGATAAATGATGGATAGCTGTGCCGAGAGCTGGATCTGTCATATTTTCACAATTTGAACACAAATGTGTGGAATTAACTAATTTAGTAGAAGTTAGAAAATCATTTAGAAAGAGAATTATTGATTTTCATCTTACATTTTTTGAAAACAAGTGAAACTCCCAACAACTAACAGCAGTCTGGAAGAGATTAAAAGTTAGTTTGTTCAGTTTTTTGAGACAAAAGCTCAGAAAACCTGAGGTGGATATGAAATAACTAAAATATTCTGGTTGGCAGTTTTTAGCCTATAAAATAGTTTGGAAAACTGTGTACAAAGATTGACTTGGACATCAAATCATGTGTAAAATCCCTGCATTTCTTATCAGTCATCAGCTGTCCATTTACCTGAAATTTCTCAGGTTATTTCTAAATAAAAGCTTTAAAGCGATGGGGGGGAAAAAGATGTTCCTGGTCCTTCGGTGAGCTTTCGTCTAATTTTATTGTATTATTAAAAAAAAAGGGGGGAAGAGGGGGGCAGACACACTTGTGCAAAATAACACTGTGAAAGTGACATGCATGACACCATCCTCCCTAAGAACTTTAGCTCTGGCATTTAATTATACAGAGGTGGTTCAATTACTTAGTTATAACAAAAAATACATACAACAATAAATAAACAGTTCACAGATTAGAAACCCAAATAAAAAAATAGCCCAGGAAATTACATTCAGGTTGTACCAGTCTTCAAACGTTCTTTGGCCCAAAGAAAGTGCAAAAATAATTCTCCTTTTGTCTAAAACTCCAGAATATTAACTGGACAACTTTAGAGCCTAAAAGGAAGGAAACACAGTTTGTGCTTTGGTGGAGTACAACAGTGTAAACTCAAGTGTAAACAGTTAATGTCACTCATTTCTGATCTAAAGTGTAAACTCAGCAGGTTTAAACACTTTCAGACCCACAAAAGCAGAGCACCAGTTTCGTCACCTTCATCTCTCCTGCTAAAATGTACGTTTTAAGACGAGCCTAACATCAGACTGATCATAGCAGTATGAAGCGTTACACTGTAAAAGCCGGGAGCACTGCACTAGTTTCAACAGCGAGACGAAGTGCATACGACGCAGAGAAAAGCAAGAATTCTCATTTATGTTTTTTTACTATCAAGGCGACCACTCTGGTTGAAGGGTACCCCCTCGCTCTGCAAAGACAAATGCTGCTGATGAAACATTCGTACGTGGTCATCCAGCAAAAAAAAAGAAAATGAGTCTGCTGAAAGGCTCGGTCCTCACGACCACATCGGTTCAGCTTTCTTTGACACAATTCCACGAGACATCTGCTCCGTCTCACTGCTCCTTCATGATGCAGACGTAGAGCGTGGTGAGGAAATACTTCAGGGACTCGATGGTGGAGGACAACCAGTGGCGTTCAGGGGTGAGATCCACCTTCACAACACACTTTGTTATCTCCACCTGAAAGCAGGGAAACATCAGAATGTCCTTCAAATAAAACAGGTTTATTTTAGATGTTCACATATAAACAATGAGATGACTGGTGTAGCGTTATGAATATCCTAATTGTCTGCCCTTAACAGCTGCCCCTTTACACAGTAACAACGTGTATGAATCGCCAAGGTCGGGTGCTTGTTTCAGTATGTTTACATTCCAGGAGAAGAGACAGAAGAAGAGAAGAAGAACGCTTTCCTTTAATTAATCAAAGTACTTTATTTGTGATAAAGCTAATCAAACCATATGTTGATCAATAATAATCAGGTGACTGATCTGTGAAATAAAGATGTCATGGTTTATGTGTTTAATGAATAAACAGGACTCTGCACCAGACAGACTGATCAACATAACATAGAAACGCATGACACATTTGGTCTCATCCAATCAGAACTTTCGTCTGTCGTAGGGCAGAATCTGGGCTGTTTACTTAAGTTGTCAAATCCGGTTTACTAAGATTTATAAACAACTAGGGGATATAAAACAAGGCAACGCCATTTTATCCTCAGTTCCATTTTAACCTCAGTTCTGTTCGATCTGAGTTCCAAAGGAGTTACATCTGAGAATCAACAGTTTCAACCAGCTCTCATCGTCATCGCTAAGAGAAGTGCAGCCTGGCCAGTGCACTTTCTACTTTAAGCTGAGAACTGTCAAGCTGGAAATTTCTGTCGTTTGAACCACAAGACGACGGTTCCTTCACAATAAAAGCTGAACCCGCCGAGATCTGCTGCTACTGCCGGAGCTATCCGTAGACTGGTTTGTCGTGCTGCACCACTGTTTCATCAGCCCAGAACAAAGGGGGTTCTAGGACCTGACACTCCTGATCTGACCGCGGGAGACTCCATAGGTACGTAGTCACGGCACAAGATGGCAGCTCATGTCATAAGCTTCTGAAGCCTCGTGGTCCGTAGTCATAACATCAGACAACCAGATCCACCTACGGCAGCCTAGAGATTCTGAACACACACACACACCAACACTATAACATTCAAATCCATATGCATCCATCATTGAGTTAGTCCTGGTAGATTGTTTGAATTCTTAATTATAGAAATTAAAGATTCTTAAACGATCCCAACTCTCTCTTTTCTTGTCTCTCAGTCAATACAAAGTGTTTAAGTAAACTCCCTGATGATAAAAACAACCACTTCGGATTATAATATCTGGATCTAATTACAGTGTAAAAATATATACACTATATTCCACTACACTGGATATATTTTATTTGCCAGCAGACATGTTTACTTTCCCAATTTTAAACTGATTTCAAGGTAAAGTAATAAAACATTCAGTTGATTCTGGAGAATAAAGTTTAGACATGATAAAAATGAGATATGAGGAGGTCACTGATCATCTCTGTTGGTAAAATCAATTTTCATTCTCTTACACCTGAACACAAACATTTAATGTTTTTTACTAATAATAAAAATGTGTTTTTAGTTATGCTCAGATTTCAGCAGTGGTGGAAGGGGTACTTGATTTTTTTCACAAAGTAGGCATTTTTAAATTGGCTAGAAATTTTAAAAGTAAAAGTATATACTTAAATGACATTTAAATATGAATTGTATTTTAACTCATTCGCTGCTATTGATGACTAAAGTCGTCATTTGCATTTTTTTTTTACTGTGTGGGCGTCGGAACGAGTCCCTGCACCATGAGAACAAACAACCCAGCTCTAAAGCCGATCTTCATCCGTGTACGTCACACGTCACGTGATCAGGAAGCAGAAAATCCATGTGTTAGGAGATCATTTTGGGCTGCTGTTGTGAAAAAGGCGAGGCGCGAACCGGAAAAGCTTCTGCAGATCACAATTCAACAATGGATAATGAAAGAATGGATAACGCTCGAAACGCGCAGATTCTTCCTGATGTAAGAGGTGGGTCTACTCTGTTTCAGTAGTTTTGACGTCGACATCATCCTAGCGCGCAACGTTCTGTGACTTTATTTTAAAAAAACAATAAAAATGCTGGCAGCGAAGGGCTTTACCGATCAGGAAACGGCTGGCAGTGAATGAGTTAAGAGTATGGATTACGGCCAAGCCCCCACAATGCGGCTCTAAAATTGAGGCAAACCCAGAAATGAAATAAATTGCAGTTCCACCCTCATCCGTTGGGGGCTGGTGTCAGAAGCGAGCAAATCCTCATTGACTCCCATGTTAAAAATAGCAATTTCACAGCAGAAATAAACATGTTTACAGCCTGGTACCAGAACATGTTTTTGCTTTAAATTATCTAGTTTACACTCATGACAACTCTGAGGGGGTGAATTTTTTTCTCACTCTTCTGTTTAAGTGTATTAAAAGCCTAAAATTCTGTATAATTAATGAGCATCAGACACACGTGACCACAGAGCTAGCTCCGTGGAAAGGCCTCAGTAGAGCCTCGGTCTGGCTTGGAAACTGCTCCGGCATTTTGAGCCTCTGTGTTTGTGTATTCTTTTTTGGATATTTTTTGTGCAATTGTTGGACAAAATGACTTGCTGTGGCATTAATTGCACTAATAGAGCGTCCAAGGAGTCTCCACTTCTTTTTTTGCGGAAAGTAAAATTATATTTATGTATTTTAGGTCACTGCCGAGCTGATCTTAGATTTTAACATGTACTGTTTAACCATGAAAGTACTGTTTAACCATGAAATTTAAATGTAATAGGGTAAAACCCAGTGCATTTAACATAATGCTGCACTTTAGAAAATGGGTTGAAATATAACATGTTGGTGGAGCTGGGTTCCGACTATCAGCTTGTGGAGCTCTCAGAAGACCGATGTTTTCCACCCGGTTCTCCCCTCCCCGCAGCTCGGCGCATCTCTGTCTGATCGCGGCTTCTGTCTGCTGCGCGGGCTGTCGGCTTGTGGAGCTCTGGGATGGAAACCTTTCCACCCGGTTCTCCCCAGCAGCAGCTCTGTGCATCTCATATCGCAGCGGCACTTGTCTGCTGTGCGGCTGCCGGCTTGTGGAGGTCTCCGAGACCTCTGTATTCCACCCGGTTTTACTCAGCGGTCAGCCCGGCGTATCTCTGATTCAGAAGCTCTGGTGTTGTGCACAGTTAACTCCGGTTGTAGCTAGGTTGCTACCTCCATTAGCTTAGCTCCCACTCCGCGTTCGCTTTGGGTTAGCCAGGGTTAGCTTCAGGTTAGCTTGTAGCTAGTTACCAGGTGTCGTCAGTTGATTCCAGCCTTACAGCCGCACCCTCAGCTCCTCCTCTCTTCCCTTTTTTGGAATTGTCTGGGCTTGAGGGAACCTGTGACACTGTCAAAATGGCGGTGGTGGCCACCTCCCATTTGGCCTCAAAAACGTGTTATTGGAGCCTATGGAAAGGAGCTGTCCAGTATATTTATGTCGATGATTACGGCAGAAACCTGAGTTTTAAAATCCAACAGCACCATCTAGAGGCTGACAAATGTATCACACCTTAGTCTCGTCTCCCTTCTGTCATGGCTGAAAGGACGCCTCTCCTTTATGAACACGCACCTCTAGCTAGTGAACAGTCATATTCAGACCCAAAGCAACTATTGGACCATCTGGTTGGTGGTCTCGCTGAACCACCTCGCTTTCCTGGATCCACTATTCATTACACAAGCGTCTTTAGCAACAGAACACCACTGGTGTGAGAGGTCCGTGGCTCAGTAGGAGAAACAGCCTGCGGGTACCACTTCAACTTTAGACAAAATACCAGAGTCCCCCCATGGCATAAAGCTCGACTCATCTCAGACTGGTTTCTTTGAATATGACAATAGGCGTGTTTCCATTAGAAGAACTTCAGGGTAGATTTACAGGAAGCTCCCGACATGCGCGTGTCTCCACCTGACTGGGCCGTCCGAACGGCTGTTTTTCGAGCCTTTATCAGGAACTTTCTGAGTATCTGCTCTAGAGTAGGTACTCTGAACGGCCCAGTGGAGTAGCTGAGCGGATCCTCCGGTTAACTCACGCTGATTGGTTGAAGAGTAGCTGGTGAAGCAGAATGGAAGCAAAAAAAACAAAAACAAAAAAAAAACACCGATCGCATTTAAAATCGAACTTCCAACACCGGAAAACTTGGTAGAATTCTCACAACTGTTGGAAAAAACGGGGAATTTACCCCACAGACATAATTAACGGGGCTTGTCTCACAAAACACAAAAAAGAGCTGCTGTCCTCTAAACTGATTATATACTTCTATAAAATGAATGCTTTTATTATTAATGTTACTTTGGGTGTTTTTTGGGGCTGATCAGTGACATCACTCACTGCCAAAACAGTTGTGATATGCTGATGTCTGCAAGTTCTGAAAGGGTTGGATTTGAATGGAGACACAACAGCTAAGAGGACTGGGACATCCTATCTCCTGGTCAAGTTCCCCGTCCCAGGAACAGAGGAACTACCCGGGAGTTCTGGTAATGGAAACATGCCTAATGAGCTCATTGTACTCAAATGGCCTCCACAGTCACCAGATCTCAATCCAATAGAGCACCTTTGGGATGTGGTGGGAGATGTGCATCATGGATGTGCAGCTGACAAATCTGCAGCAGCTGCGTGATGCTACCATGTCACTATGGACCAATATCTCAGGAATGTTTTCAGTATGTTGTCGTCATGAAGAATTAAGGCAGTTCTGAAGGCAAAAGGGGGTCCAACTCTGTACAAGCAAGGTGTACCCAATAAAGTGGACTGAGTGTATAAATCAATGTGAAACTAAATGCAAATCAAAGTTACTTGCAACTCAAAGTTCTTGCAAAATGTAGTAGAGTAGAAAGTAAAAAGTAGGCCTCAATAAAATTAAATACAATATAGTACTTTGTTACATTCCACTGCTGGATTTCAGTCAACTTTTGAGTTTGAAAGAAAACGGACTAAAGAGAGATGAATGTAATCCCTAAATGCAGGTTCCTAGCTGGGATCAGAACTCACCCATCCTCCTCGTCTCTTCAGCCAGGGAACAAGAAACCTGCGGACAAACTGCCCTAAACTGTCCACGAGGACATGCACCGTGTCAGGGTAGCCATGCCTGACACAATCCACCGCTAGAGCTCCAGCTACTGCATACATGGACACCACCTTTCCCCAAGTTATACCTACAACAGGAACAAAAAAAACACAATGAGTTATTAATTTTGTTTGCTTCAGTGATTTATTTCAGCTTATAAAACAGTCGCTGAAGCCTCTCTGCTCATCTAAGATCTGAGCCAAGCTTCAGCAGCTTATTGATTTGGTCTCATGAGTCACAAGGCAGAGTGTTTGATAAACAGGAGGCAAAACGAACACTGTGGTATTCCTTCTCTCCAGGCAGTAATACCCATCTCTACTGAGGCTGTCGTTCCACATCCTTACCCAACGTGACAGATGTGACACACAGACTGTGGACTTTGCACTGGAATAAACATTAAATAGCAGGTTCAAGTCAACAAACCCGTGTGTTTGTGTTAAAGCGACCGATAAAATGGTTTTATAACACCTGCAGCATAATTGTAAAGGTTCTGCTTCATCTCAGAGAAGCTGTGAGTTTTAGAACAGCAACGCGGGTCCTAATGGCATTGACCTGCTTTAGTCCCAGCTTGCTTTGTCATGAATGTTCCTCTGAGCCTGACCCGCGGCAGCGTCTCACGGTAGATCTAGGGGGATCAGAGCTGTGGGCGAGCTTAAACGAGATAACTGTCCCGAGCACACAATGTCTCCCTCCCTGCTGAGTAGCGGGCCCAGAATAGACGCAAGATTGTCGGGGATAAAGAGAAGAGGGAGGAAAGAGAATGAGCAGGAGTGGGAGGCAGGACAAGATAGATGGAGGAGAGACAAGCCATGGCGTGCTTGGTGCTGCTGCGCCATCTTCTAAACACGCACAACAAAAGAGCCTAAAGCCAAAAGGGGCAGCTGTCAAGTGAGAAGTTTGCTTTTTAAATTCTTTTTTCATCCAGACTTCAAAGCTGGAGCAACAGAAGTTTGTGATTGCTAAGAAGGGATCCCACGCCATCACCACAAATTATATCCCTGTGACGTTAAAACAGAAACATTTGGCTGGAACACGAGCCAGAAAATTATATTAAGAAAGTCTGTTTTGGGCATTTCCAGGCAGCAAGCCAAATTTGGCCTGTTCATCACTGCAGCCAGACCCTCGAGTCCACCTCAGACTCATGCAGAAGACGTGGAGTCACCTATTTAGGCACTTTGAGAAGTCATCGCTGCTTTTAATAACATCTGTTGTTGTGAAACACAGAAACAGAACAAGAACCCGATGAACAAGTCAGGATCCTGACTGAAAAAGGAAAACATTACAGAACTTTATACCAGTTTCTGTCCTCTGAGCTCCAGAAGCTGTACAGGAAGTCACTGATTTAGTTTGATTGCAGACATGATAGATCTAACTTTTATGAGGCCATTTTCTTCCCCAAAAAACGTTTGAGTCCCTGACAATAAAATCCCTTGTCGATAAAATGTCCACTTTGACACTTTAGATCAACCATATGTCTTCCAGATCGGATCATAAAAAGAAGCCAAATTTCATGTTATACTGAAAAATGGGTATCGCACTTCATAAAGTGTCGATTATTTGGTGATGACTGATATTATGTTCCTTTGTGTCCAACTTTTACACCAATGGTTATGTCAATATTTGATACAATAATCTACAAATTAGAGAATAGGAGGTCTAACTGGTTGTCTTTATATGAGCCAGTGTAAAAATGGAGGCAGTAATTAATGTGCAAGCCTTCTGTTATCATCTTTTCTCCAGCTGTTGAAGTTGGGAGGCGTGGAAGAATAAAGCTCATTTAATACAATGACATTTTAAATTATATTTCCTATTTTATATTCCTCCTTTGAAATCATATCTAATAAATCTGATTTTATTTTAATCAAAAGAGATTTTGTATATGAAGCCTGTGCCCAAAGTTGTGTTTGCAGAGTAATTATGTGTCTTAGATAAAGTCTCCCTCCACCTCGGATTCCCACCCACACATTCCTCGGAAAGTCTTTCTTAGATCTGATGAAAGCAGCAGCCACGCTCATTAAACCAAACTGCTGCATCTGTCATCTCAAGCCACGTCCTGTTCTCCCCATGGCTCCTAAATACATGTTTAGTTCCCCCCTCATCATCATCATCATCTCCAGGCTGACAGTGGTCCCGTACCTGCTGAGAAGATCTCTGTTGCCACACCAAGGAAGGCATCTGAAACCATGCTCTCCATGGCAACAGAAATGTTGAGCTGCCGCGCCACGTTCCTGTACAGACCAGGCTGTATACACTCCAGCTCGTCGCCTAGGAACAGAAAGAGACAAGAAAAAGAGAAAATCTGTTAGAAATAGAAGTTTTATCTTCATGCCTCGACTCAGTTTTTCTTCTTTAATTATATTTAAAATGCAACAATTCCAAACACCTCCAAAATGCAGAACACTAGATGATTAAAATAAAATGCAAATAAAGTTCAAATAAGGCCTCAGCAATTTCATCTCACCAAGACAAATGAGCACCAGAGACGCCTCAGCAAGCATGGAGTTGTTGGAGGGAGGGAAATTAATCTCAGTTTTGGACCATCCCAGCCCATTCTGGTTTAACCTGGACAGGATGTAGTCTTTGCATAGAGCTTTGGACTGGGACACCAGCTCTTTCTCCGTCAGCGATCGGTCAAACACATCCAGAACCTCTGAGGCAAACGCTGAAGACTTCCGGAGCACCTCCATCAGGGTCAGGGAGAGTCTGACCTCCCAGGGATCAGCTGTGTAATCAAACCTGTACTTTGTGTTTATTCCCAGAGGGTTTTAATGATGAGGGTAAAATGGCTGCTGAGAGAAGCACAAACGGAAGGAAAAGGGTTCATTTTCACTAGGACACAGAATACTGCACTGATGGCATGTAAAAAAAGAAGTATACTTTCAAACTAACCAGAAACTTACATAAGAACATGATGGAGGCGTTATTGTTGTGAGTCACACAGGATATTGCTACACTTGTATTATGCAACAATAAGCAAGCGCGTGATAACATGTTTGCGGGGCAGACATGCATCTAATTTCAATAAAGGTGCAGCAGATGGTAATCTATGTTTGTTGTCTAGATTTAAAGTGCACTTGAGGAAACGTCACGCTTACCATCAGAGCTCCATGCACTGAGAGGTGTCCTGATGATTTAAATAATACCAATTAAACCCACTCCGCGTAAAAACTGCTGTGCTCTGGTCTCCAGCATGCTGCCTCCTCGCTCCACTGGTTTCCACCGACTGTTTGAGCGCCTCTGTCACAGGACGCCTACCTGTTGTTCACCTTCCCATTGGCTCCCAGTGGGTGTGCTTGTTTTATAATCAAGAGAAACCCGCAAGTATGTGCCTCCTTTTACAGCAATCGCAAAATCCCATCTCCGCCCAGCGAGTGCTGAGAGAGACAAAATTCAACACACTTCCGGTTGGGAGGGGGAGGATTTAAGCAGGGGTGTCAAACTCAAATTCACATTGGGCCGAAATGAAACTCTGGGACGAAGTCGAGGGCCAAACTTAATATTTTTGAAAAAGTGACTGCAAATTTGCACATTTTCTTTATCAACTAATATGCAGTTTTAAACCGTTTAATTTGGAAACAAACTTATTTTTGCATTAACACTGAATGTGGAATAACCAAATTACACACGAGCAAGTCGATTTTAAATAAAACGCATCAGCTGTGTTCATTACTTGTGGTATATTCAGCATTTTTTAAATCTATTCAGGATTTATGTTTTCTTGTTGTTTATTTAGTTTTCTTATTTTTTCATTATCCTTTTTTTTCTGCTGTAATAAGTGTCATCGCTGCTGTGACATCTAGCTTTCCCCACTGAGGAACAATAAAGGGATTCTCTATTCTATTCATCTATCTGCAGCCTTTCCACTTCCTGTTTAATGTAGGTTAAATCTTTTCTCACGGACCAACAACAAAATCAAAATATTATTTGAAAATGCAATATCTCAAAAATAAAAATGACAGCAGTCATAGATCACCGGTGATCGGCGCGATTTGTGTCCGACTTGACGCCGACTTGCTCTGACGTCATGCATACGTAGACAACGATAACCTCGTGACTGAGATCAAGGCGGCCGCAGATTTTGAAGCGCAAGCGCTGCAGTTGCTCTCCACCGGCTGCAAAACCTAGGGCATGACGGGAAACGCCTGGCTCTCACCTGATCTAAGATCTGATTGGTTCACATTTTGATCCAAACATCCGGTGGTTGAATGCAAAATGTTAGTTTGGTCACATGTATTCTGTAAATCATGTAACGTTGATGATGACAACTATATGGGCCATAAAGAGGAATGTGACTTGTGTTCTTTTGTCGCGTTTCCTATGAGCACTACAGCTGATAACCATTACTTATTATTACAGTCATGTCTCCATATACATTATATTAAATCCACAAGCACGTGAGGATGTGTTTCGGTTACTAACAGGCACCAAAATTAAAATAAATAATTAAACAAGTATGAACTCTAACGCGAGATCTTTGTCCGTCGTCATGTGAGCTGCACAAGTAGGGAAATCTGTCCGATTTAAACGCCGACTTTCAGCCACTTCCCCTGCTGCGTCCGTCTGCGCTCGTCTGTTTTCCAGGCGAGGCGCTGCTCGACTCATTAATGAGCGGTAAAAATCTCCGTTTCTGGGCTTCAACGTAAGAAAATTGCTGAGTAAACTCGGCGTTGAGTGAGAGGAGTGTTTAGTTTGTCCGAGACGGCGAGCTGCAGACACCGGTAACAGACGCTGAAAAAAAAAAAAAAACACAAGAGGGGGCGGTTCGAATAGCCTCCGCGCTAACGCCGCAAAGCATCATGGGAGTTGTAGTATTTGTAGTAAAATGGCCAGCGGGTCAGTTTTAATATATTTATGATATTTATCTCGCGGGCCACATAAAAATGCTCCGCAGGCCACATTTGGCCCGCGGGCCTTGTGTCTGACACATGTGATTTAAAGCATCCTCGGTGCTTAGAAGGCATCCAGTTTACCTGAACCTGTTTTAAACTAGCTGCAGGTCTGAGTGGAGCTGCGACCTGAACTCAGGCGTCTCAAATCTGGGCTTAAAGTTTATGAAAGGTGTGTGGAAGAATAAATAAACGGAACCACAGCTTCAAATTCAGTTCGTTTATGTCCTAAAATCTTTTTTGTAATTTTCTCTTTTATTTATTTTCTTTCTTTCTTTCTTTCTTTCTTTCTTATTTATTTATTTATTTATCAAACGCTTTTACATGTTGTAAAAAAATGTTAGTTTTTTATGCAATATTATAACTTATAAAAATAAATAATAATACATGTATTTCTAACACTCAAACAATGGCCACTGATTAACAAATAATAACTATTGATAATAAAGGTATATACAAATTATATTTTGACTGTTATCCTTCATCGTTATAATTTGCATGTTTCTCTGCGTAGTGACCGCTAGGTGTCACTGCTTCTCACCCTGTCATCAGCAGAAAGGCGTGGCAAAAGAAAAAATCTGAACAGCAAAAAAAATCCCATGTTTCCAGTTTGTTTTTGAAAAGGATGACCTTCATATAATCTGTTAAAGTGCAGTTGAGTAACATTTCTTTAGGCTTTCTGAAGGTCTTTGAACATAAGCAGCTTTACTCACACTGTGACCCTTAACGATTTTTATGTAACCATCTTTATTTGGTTATTAAAGTGGTCAGTCAAGTTTGTGTACACACATGAAAGAAAAATTGGCAAGAAAGCATTTTTCAGTGGCTTTTTGACACTTTCTGTCACAAAAAACACATGAAGTTGTCCCTTATCCCAAAAACACCTATTTATTTATCTGCGTGAGCCTTTTCCCCAGAAAGCCATCTGCTGGAAAGTTTCAACATCTTTTGCTGCAGAAACTGGAAAAGTTTGCAACAAAAATAAAGCTTAGAGGCTTGAAATGCATTCAAATGTTTTATTACGTTGTTTAGGTTCAATGTTAGGACGCGTCTGGTGGGGTTGTAACATAAGGAGGAGGTCTGGACACATGCTGTGAGTTAAACGAGAATTTTTATTTTAAAATCAGCTTCCAAAAGGCCTCACCAACTGCCACACAGACTAGAGCTATAAAGGTGATCTGAAGATGAACAGAGCTTCAGGGTCTTTAATGGGATGCCATTCAAAGTTCCTGAAATCCAGAATGACCTGGATGTATTTGGGCTGAGCCTCGACCTGGTTCAACTTTACGAAGGTGTGGCTGGGACTGGATCAGTCCTTGGATGCAGTCCAGGATGACCTGGTTTGAGGTGCAGCAGTCTTCAGGTGACCCGGCAGTCTTAGGGTGGAACACCCGCCACCCTAAGACTGTCACCATCCTCTTCTACAGGGACCCGGTTCTTTTCTAGCTACCTATAGACCCCCCAGCCTCCTCCTGCTAAGCTCCTCCGGGGCCAGACTGGAGGTGGTAGAAGGGAGGAGGAAGGGGGGATTTTCTATTCTGTCTTCTAAAGTCCAGAAGATTCTGCAGTGCTTGTTACACAAAATAACAAGATAGACAAAAAAATGTTGTTCTCCCAAGGTCTCCAAGCCTTTCCTCCTATCGCAACTACAGGATTCCTCCCTCTGAATAAAAAGTGAACATTTACAACTCATAAGTTAAATAATCATTAAATAATCAAATGGTTGAATGAACCAGATGTTATATGAATTATAATAATAATAATAATGTTTGAATAATCTGTGAATAATTCAGTGAAGTGAAATGAATATTGTTGTGTTTACAATGGTCCATTATATCTTATCATCAGTACTGTTTGATTTAACAAGTGAATCATTATCTACACTCATACACAATGTTCATAAGATGCAAATTACGGTTAAGGTCACATCACTTAAGCTTAAAGATTCTTTATCCACAGAACTAGATCATTTTGTATCTGAGGATGTCAAATTCTGATTCGTCAGAATCATAACATGGTGGATTATAAAAACTAGAACGACTCTCAAGTTATTCAGTTTCCAGCTGACACCTCGATTTGATCAAGTCGGGAAAGAAGCCTTTTTGAAACAACCTCCTTTGACCTTAAGTCAAAACCTTGCCACGACGCTGCAAGTGATTACAGACACAACAGCTCTTTTTTTAGAGCTACTGCAACTCTCACACATCTTGGACAACTAATCTGCAGACCCCGAGTTGCATCTCATGGCTGGGGAAGGTGAACTCAGAGGAAGCTACTAATCTCTGAGGATCGTGGTCTCGACGTCCGGTGACCTCACCACTCTGACCGCAACCCTCCAGACCGCCTGGAGCAACTCATACAAGGGCACCGTAGACCTGCATATTGGTGCAATATGCTGTTATGTTTGGATGCAACAATGGAGTGGCTCGTTTATTTATCATTTCATTTTCTCTAAAAATAAGAAACTAAATTAATAGTAATAATTAAATGATAAATAATTTCCAATTCAAGACTTCAAAAATCTGAAGAATTGTTGCTTTAAATCTCTTTTAAAACAGCTAAAAGAACATTATTTTTCCATTATTTATCAAATAAATTAGAGCTGACTGTTGACTGTTTCACAAATACACAAATAATGCCATATTGTACCAAACTGATCTGCAAAAGTCAAAATACACCAACTTGATCTGGGATTAAACAGCTTTTTCATAACAATTTCATGCAACATTAGCCAAAATATTCCCTTGTCTGAGTTGTTCTGTAACATTTGCTGACATCCAGAGGCTACAACTTTCCGGCGGCGTTCCCCAAATAAAAGAAGAGTCGCTTAAACTCACAGCTGTGTTACCTATAAACATTCTCTAGTTCTTTTCCATCCTGGGAATCCACCTCCTCTGTAATTAACATGTCACCGGGGCAGTTTCAGAGAGAATCTCGTCAAAGGAAAGGACTGGACTTTCCCCCAGTTTGAGTACCATGTGTTATTGTTTACATTCATACGATAAAATGAGGAAAAACAGCTTTTCAGATAAAGTCTGTATGGAAAGTTTCCAGCCTTGTTTGCGTCTTCCATAATTGTCAACTGTGTTTTGTGAAATTTCAGTCTGTCTAAAAACAACACATATATCCTTTTGTTTCTCTCGTGTGTGTTATTTCATGTAACAGCAAATCCTCTTCCCTCGCCAAGTGCAGGTTTTTTATGTCTGCAGCCAGATCTTGAGGAGTTTTGTGAAGAAATGTGAACTAAGTGCTATAATAACCATTCTGTCCTTTTTTTGCAACATACCATTTTCAGCTTCTTTCATAAAAGAGCCTGAAAAACATCAAATATGAACTTATAATAAATCTTGTTGCATTTATCACACTGATAGATTGGCCTTTTCTCTGTTGGCCCTCGAGCATTGGAGTTATCTCATAAAAATATGCCTTCACTTTAATAGGTTAAGGCTATTTGCAAGTTAGGACACATCTCTCACCGGCTTAACTGTGTATCGTTGATTTGAAATTTAAATCAAAGCTGATTATTATTTAGAATTATTTTTCACCAGTGTTCATTTGTCTAAAAGACAAACAGACCTGCTGCACACAGATGGGCAAAATCTGGCAGTTTTATTATATTTCATACCCAGGCAAGGCACATGTGTTAATCCTATGAACCCATTTGGCCCCAATGGCAACTACTGTTGCCAAAGTGTATCACTGTCATTTTTGACTGACAGTAAAAAAAAGTTGTAGTGTTCTTAATCCAACTTTTTCCACTTATTTGCTAGTAAACAACTTGGATAAAAGTCTTGTTAAAAAAATTGTTTCCAAGTGCTTCCTATCGTATGACACCATCTGCTTCCTACTCCATCCCATTGAAGACATGGCGACCGCAAATCATCCTGGAAACAGGTCATTTTTACACATTTCTGATGAACTGCCCCAAAACATACTAGGGAAAACATCGCCCAGGGAAAATAGTGCCCCAGGGGTCGGCCCTGGTTATGACGATGTCATTATTACTTCTCTATTCCTATTATTAGGTGACATTTCACTTACTGACAAGCTGTGTGACCACTGGCAACAATAGTTCCAAGTCGTAAAAATGTAATTTTCTTCCAAAAAAGTACATAATTGAAAAAAATATATATAACATGATTCAGAGGGACTCAACTGATAAAATGATATGCCTTACGACTCTCAAAAAATTTGGGCATGAATGTAAGAAAAACCTCAATGCTCGAGAGCCAGCAGACATAAAGTAAGTCCAACAGTTTTTTAAATGCAACAAGATTTACTGTAAGTTCACATTTTATTTTTTTTAATATAAGAAACTGAAAAAAGAAATTTGCAAAACAGGACAGAATGATTATTACGGAGCTAAGTTTACATTTCCTTTACTAAACTTTTACAGCTGTTCTGTTAGTGGCAGGACAGTCTGCACTTAGGCCCAATCCCTATACTCACACTTTCACGCTTGCGCCCTTCAATTGCATGAGCCAGGGGTGCGAGTGCGCAGGGTGTCTCAATTATTTGCACACTTGCAAACCACACACTCGAACTCATACTGCGCACTTTCTCCAAGTGCGCTTCACAGAAGACCGCAGGGCGAGTATTGGGATTGGGCCATCCTACGATTCCAAATCACGCCTCCTGTGATGTGGCTCACTTCTAGTTCCTGAAATGCATGCACTGGATTTTTTTTCCCCCAGATTACGACTTACAAGGCATTCTTCCCTACCTGTGACCACTGCAAATGTGTAGTCCTTTAACCCTCCCAGTGTCTTTATGGGTGGCCCCACGAGGAAAGTTGACCATTGAGCAGGATTGATGGTTTATTCCATGTGGCAGGGGTGATGTGGTGCTCACTCCTCACCCCTGCCACATGGACCCAAGGGATAAACCATCAATGCTGCTCAATGGTCAACTTTCCTCACGGGGTCACACCCATTAGGACAGTGGGAGGGTTAAATAATTAATTTGTCAAGTTCCTATGCCTGAACCGTGGAAAGCTGGGGCTCAGGGTCTCTGCACAGAAAGCAAGTCATAGACCTGCAGCACCTTTTGCACTGGAGCAGCACCGTGTCAGTGGGTGTGAATCCTTATGCAAATGGAATATTCCACTAAAAACATGAAAAAAATAAAATAAAATAAAAAAGCTGTTTTGGTTTGGACAGTGTTGTGTTTTAGACAGACTGATGATGAAAAAAGGAAATACTTCAATTTAAAACAGAACATAACAAAACATAAAATAAAATTAAAAATTAAGTTTTCACTAAATTCTCTCTTTTTAATATCAGTTTGGAGTGTGTAAGTAATTAAACACACGTAATTTTGCATTATTTTTACACAATCATCCAAATAAAATTACTTCTTATTATTCAGCACAAAACTGCACAAGCAGAGCAGCACGTTTCATAAGAGGGGTTTCTTACTTTCATTATAGCATCTTTTGGTTTTTCGTTTCATTTCTTCTTCCTTTCTGTTATTTTTCACTATTGCTAAATTGGTAGCAGCCTGTGTGTCCCAAGGCCTCCATCCATTGTTTGTGCAGGCTTGAATGTCTCACTAGATTCTGCAAGATACCTTGACTTAAATTAAAATCAACAAATCACAAAATGGACAGGAACAGATGGCTTTTTGTTTGGTCAGTAGGTATAATGCCTGCAAAAAATAAAAATGCTCATGTGGTTAAGAGGCAAAAAAATGACACTAATGTTGAATTTTTGCCTTAAATCTCAATCAGTAACCAGCCTGTGTCCATTAACCGCTGCAGAATACCCTTTTGTTCTCATGCTGCCTTTCTGCACATTCTTCTTGGTTCAACAGTGCCAACTTGTTGTTGAACATGCTTGTCAGAGTAAGCATGCACTAGCACGAGTCAATTTCCTGGATTCTTGGCCGCCTGTTATGAGTGACAACGTTCACGGTCTTAACTGGAAAACTTTGGCTTTGCATAATCACATGTGTAAACAGATAGGTTTCTTAGAAGCCATACTTTACAACTTTTTCATGTTTTTAAATCATTTTCTTCAGCCAGTATGTGCTAAAATGACCTTTCACAGGGTTAATGAAATGTCACTCTGACCCCACCGCCCCCTGCGACCAGAGAACCACACTTGCAACTTAAGAGTACCCAGGCCGGTCCCTGTTAGTCTTTAGTAAAGCGGACCTGACATGTTAGCTTCCAGCACATGATTCCTGCATGTTTTATATCATGAACACAGCTGATTTGTTTAATTTAGTGATGGACCACTCCTGGAGACACTAATGAAGGAAGAGACATTTCAGCAGTTAGACTAAGGTGCTAAAAGTTTTACTTTTGGTTTTATGACAATGAGTTAAAACAGACTGTAGGGGGTGCTAAAAGCAAGCTAAAGTTACCAAGTTTACCTTTAAAAGATTGAAACTGAAACGTTAAAGTGGCAGTGTGTAGTTTCCTGGCTCTAGGGGGCAGTACATACATACATTTCAGGGTAGTTTTACACCATATCGCTGTGACTGTCGCTAGTTAAAAAAAAACGTTACGGTAAATGTTACCTGTGGAGCAGAAAGCATGCAACCTTGGCGTGACTCCGCCGGCTTTGATGGGTTTTTAGGTAATTCCATCGAGAGAATTGTAGTTTTCTGACGCTGTCGTTCCCGGATCTGCTCAGGCTCCTACACCTGCCGATGACGTCATCATACTATGGCAATACCACTCGACCAAACTATATTGCATCCCTTTTTCAATTCTGTTCTTTCACAGATGTTTTGGAAAAAGTTTAGCAGTTTTGTTATTAATTTCATGTTTCTTACTGCCTAAATGTTTTCAAACTTGGTAACATCGTAAAGCTGTAAATCCAGCCAATCATCTAGTGTGACATCATCGACAGGTGCAGGACCCCAAGCCAGCCAGAAGGAAACATGGCAACCAATATGGCTTCTCCAAAGATGCTAGACCCGTGCTCTATGTACTTTAGATTTGTATGGTCTTATATTACAAAGCTGCCAATATTTTTCAACAACTGGACATCATTTTACTCATTTTCAACAACATATCGATGGATATTTCCAGAGAGTAAAGATAAAAATACACATTGCCACTGGCATGTTAATCTGCAGTTGTCTTTCAGTTAAATGTATTATTTAAACACAGTTTAACTATTGGTGTGAGTGGGGTAAATTATATGTAAGATTTTCTCCTATCTGCTCCTTTTCATTCAGTTGAATTTGTAAGGTGTATTTGTTTGTTCATTTTGTTGTTATTGTTGTTTTTGTAAAGAATGAAATAAAAGATATAAAAAAATAAATAATAAGACTCCAGAGAGTGAAACTGAAATTTTAGAAAGTACCATGAAAGTACAAGAAAGAAATCACCAGAAACCACTGGTCGGGTTTTAGAGGTCTTCTTTTGAAACGGTTTTCCATCACAGCAAAATAAGTTGCAGAAATATAAAATTAAACCTAAATTAAAGCAAAAAAAAATGTGTGTTTATGTTCATAAAAAATAATTGGATAATTAAATTGAGCTCAGAAACTTAATATTTTCCTGTTCAAATTCTGTGGCACGGGCCTCACATGCTTAACAATGTGTAAACTGTCAACTGGCATTCCTCTAATTCTCCATCCCTCCATCCTTTCATTCCTCCCTCCCACCATTTTTTCTGGTGCACACATGCCATTCATTCCACTCCACCTCTCAGTCCAGCTCCGGAACCTTCAAGCAGCATCCAGAAATCACACCCTTATTCGCTGGCTTGGAGAACAGGTAGAACCAGAGGTGCAGCAGAGCCTGTCTGGTGGCACCCCACCTCTAAGCTGCAACCTAAAAGGGGAAGGGCAACGCCAAAAGTCACATCAGCTGATAAATATTTAACACCAGACTTAACCTTTAACCTAGATCAGGTGGGAGGGACTATTTGCAAAGATGTATTTGATATCACATTTACATTTACTTAGTCTTTCAAAGAGAGATTTTTCATTCCCATTCATCCATTTTTGTGATTATCCACCACTTGTTTCTTGAACCAACTTCTCCTTCCAACTCTCTGCCCCTCATCCCATCACCATAACTCATGAGCCCATCCAATCACAGACCGGCTCAGTGGGAACATGAGGGTGGAGCAAGCCACTGAAACAGGGTGTGGTCCTGAAACCTGTGAGCTGTGTAGTAGAGCCATGGGCTTTAAATGGAGATGAATGAGGCCAGTCTCTTCAGTTATCGCAGTGGATTTGTCACTTTCACTCACTTTCTCTTGGATTCTGCTCTCTCAGGCTGTCTCTTTTTTATCATTGCCATTAAAATCTCACCTGCAGTACTTGGCTACTGTTGGATTTTGTTTTAAGGAGCATACTTCACATTTGAAGGAGGCTGGCGACTACCACTCAGTGTTTGTATGCATCTGTTGTTTCACCTGATCCCTGTCACGCCTGATCTGCTGGACCCTCCGGCTGGCTTCAGAGCCTTGATATCTAGAAGGTGAGTAACAAAACAGGAGCTACACCTATCAGTCACCATTACTTCTGCTTTGTCCTGTCAAACTTGTGTTTTGAGTGTAAGGAAACACTTTTTGCTCCACTTATTTCAGTTTTTTGAGTTTAAACTTGGGTTGAACTTGATTTAGATCAGGAAAATCCTCTTACGTTGGCTGTGCCGGCCACATGTGGTAAGTCCTTTGCCTCACCTGTTAGACTTGCTCAGTCAGCTTGGGTAGTTGTTTGTTTTTCTTTTTTTCCCTTGACAAAAGTTTGGATGTTTTAAATAAATGTGCGTTAAAGAAACTCGCTGTGTTTTTTTTTTTTTAAAGCAGCAGTCCAGGGTCATGCCAGTGTGTTTGAGCCTGTGCAGCTGTATCCTGTTTGTTTAGTATAGAGAGGCAGGTGCACAGGTGGCTTTTGATACCTGCCAGCCTTGTGAACTCATTCCTTTTCATATTTTTCAGGACAAAAGGCAAGACGTCACCATGTTGCGAGAAGCCATCGCAAGCGTTTCAAAATTCCATGGTTACATAATCTCAAACGTTGGTGAGTGACATGATTTCTCCCCATTTTATTTGTATCGTTTCATATCTTTATCCCAGGTTAACAAAAAAGGTGTTCACACATTAAGGTTCATAAATTCTTGCTGTGTCAACACTTTGTCTTTAGGCATTGTGTAATATTTTAATGGCATTCTGTGAGACTCCTGAGGGTGTGTGTGCATTTCCCAGATGCCAGAGTGAAGGACTACCCCCTGATGCAGAGCCCCTTGCAAATGACCGGCATCCTGGTGGCCTATGTCATGTTCTCTGTGTACATCGGTCCTCGCATGATGGCAAACCGCAAGCCTTATGGCCTCCACCGAGCCATGATCGTCTACAACCTCTGCATGGTTTTACTCAACGCCTACATAGTGTATGAGGTAAGGAGCATGACGTCGGTGTCCTGACTCGCACTCATGCTGTTTGAGATCATTGCTTATGTGCATTTTGTTTTTGGGACTCTTAGTTCATGATGTCTGGATGGGCCACCACCTTCACATGGAGATGTGACCTTATTGATCCCTCTTCTAGCCCACAGGCCCTCAGGGTAAGACGATACGATCTGAACAGTCTTGAATCTGTAGATGGAAGACACTGTCGCTTCACTGATTATAAACAATCTGAATCAAAGTGATTACCCTGACTTTGTCCTGATTTTGATAATCTTTATCTCCCCTACAGATGGTACGTGTGGCCTGGTTGTTTTATTTTTCAAAGTACATTGAACTCCTCGACACAGTAAGGAACTCCTAATTTATGTATTCTTCAACGCTTTGGTCATGAAATGGAAATATCAACTGCATCAATTCTCACGTCTTAAATATTATAATTATTTTTGGCTTCAGGTTTTTTTTGTGCTGAGAAAGAAGCAAAGTCAGATCACATTTCTCCACGTCTTCCATCACTCCTTCATGCCCTGGTCGTGGTGGTGGGGTGTCACCCTGACGCCTGGTGAGCTTTCCTACCAAACATGAACTTGCTGTATGATTGTCCACACTTTTCATCTAAATGAATGGAAACATTAAAGATTTTGGTAAATCCATCAAAATTGCCAATCTTCTGGGAATTTCTCTCCCTTGCAAGCTGGAGGAATGGGATCCTTCCACGCTTTGGTGAACGCGGCTGTCCACGTTACCATGTACACCTACTACGGACTCTCCGCTGCAGGTCCTCGCTTCCAGAAGTATCTCTGGTGGAAGAAACACATGACTGCCATCCAGCTGGTGTGACTTTCGTTTTATACTTTCTTTTTATTGTAAAACAGGAAAATGTGATGAAGAGAAAACAAAACAAAGTTGTGCTCTCCTCTTTCCACAGATCCAGTTTATCCTGATCTCTGTTCACATCAGCCAGTACTACTTCATGGATAAGTGTGACTACCAGTACCCCATGTGGATCCACCTGATCTGGATGTACGGCATCTTCTTCTTCTTCCTATTCTCTAACTTTTGGGTGCAGGCCTACATAAAAGGCAACCGGCTTCCTGTTGGAGACCACAAGCCAAAACAGAATGGTTTGATCAGTGAACACGTCACTAACATGGCCAACGGTAAACCTCATGAAAACGGGTACGCCCACCACTACGCCAATGACAAAATCATCCTGGGCAAAGTGAAGAAAATCTGAGCTTGTGACTCTGAAAATAAAAAGGCACAGGTGTTTAGTTTTTTTTTTTTACCAACTTGAATATGCCACTTATTTATAACTAGGAGCAGATTTGAGTGAAATAGTTCAAAATGCTACCTCTGATTTTGATTTGTGTGTATACACCTGTTCCTTTATGAAATACTCACATTAATGGGATATGATGGGCTTGCTGTTTTGCCACTGATCTCTACTTGCAACACTTTAAGATGTTGCAAAAACTGTGATGAACACTGAGTGATAATTGGTGCTCATTTTGATAGTATTCCTTAACTCAGGCTCGGCCTGCAGCACTGTTAGGCTAACACAGCCTTTTGTTGCTTGGGATTATGGCAATGTATCCACTGAATACAAGTGTGTAAATAATAATTACCATGAAGTTTATGCAAAGAAAAACCAGAAGTTGTCATTGTAAATGTCAAAAACTTAGTTTCTTCCCTGATTTTTTTTATTTATCTTTTGAAATAAAACCAACTCTAGAGTTTTGTGTTAGCAGTTGTGTTTGCACTTTGTGAGCAACTTGCTACATCTTTTTTAATTTTATACAGACTCAAGTAAACATTCTACTGTATATTACAGTATTAATGCATTTTCTTTTGTTTGAATCAGTAACTTAAAGATGTCCATCTAGAAAAAATCCACTCTGATTCTGAAGGCGCTGTACGGTTTGATCTGTTCATGCTGCATGACGTCAATAAAGTTTGTAAAAGGTCTTAAGGAATGATGGAAATGGTTCTAAATACAAACCCATAGATGCATGCTTTGTTTTTCCTACTGAGTTACTGAACGATGAAGGATTTTAAATTCATGACTTCAAAGGAAATACAATAACTCACCCCAATGAAAAGATGCACATATTTTCTCCTGAATACCTGCAAAACATGAACATGACAAGATTTCTAAATTCACAATGAAACTTATTTTTTAATCAGATATTTAAATTGTTTTTTATCCCCATAAAAGAAAATATAACACACATGACCTTGAAGACGCTCTTTTGTATAATGTCTCTCGAGATAAAAACCATGAGGCACTTTACAAAAAAATTTTCAAAAGTGGTTAAAAATATGTTTAAAATGAGAAAAGAACAATATGCAAGGAAAGGGAGAGAGAAAATGAATATGAATGAGGGAAATCAATGCATCCCAGGAAAGAACAGAATAAGGAGAGGGGGGTGATGAAGGTCACGCAAAAGCCGGCTTGAACAGCTGAGTTTTCTGCTGCTTTTTAAAGGAGACCACTGATCTCAGGCTCAGGGGGAGAGAGCTGCAGAGTCTGGGGGCCACAGCAGGAAAGGATCTGTCACCTTTGGTCTTTATCCTGGTGCTGCACAACCAGTAGACTTTGGTCACTGGACCTCAGGGACCTGCTGGGGCTGTAGGGACAGAGAAGATCACCAATAGTGCTTGACTCAAAATGATCTTTTAGAAAACATGTGCAAAACATTGTCAAAACTGTTAATTATAATTTGCGTAATTTTAAACATGTAAGAGTGTACCTGACAGAAAAAGCAGCAGGCACATTTTTACATTCAAATGATACTGTCTCACATTAGCTATTGCATCACCAGCTGGTCATTTTCTGCCTCTTCTGTTATCAGACCTGTTGAGTCCTGCTATAAAAGGGCAATTAAAATCCTGGTCAAAAGGCTAATGTTGTATCATTACTGTCCGATTCTGGATACATTTTCTCTACAGAGTTTCCAAAATTTTAAACATTTGAAATCTGCTTGCCTGGTCTATAAAGTTATTCATGGTCTAGCCCCGCCACCACTGAAGGATTTTATGATTCAAAAATCACACAGGGACTCTTCCAGAGTAACTCGAGCCACAGTTAGAGGTGACTGTGAGCTTAGAGCCCTGCATGGGCCTAAAATCTGAGCCTGTGTCCGGTGTTGTGCCACAAATCGACTCGCTGCCAAAAAATGATTAGCCACCGCCGGATCGCGCACGGTTAGGTAATTGCATTTCTAGACGAAATTCCCCAGGATTTCGCCCTAAAACTCAGCATATCTAGCAATATGGACATTCATTCATCAATTTTGACAAGGGAAATTATCATTTGTTGCCATTTTTGAGGTGTTTATGAAAGTGGAAGAGACCCAGCATACTGTGATGGGACTAATAACATCAAGAGATAATAAATAAAGTAATATTAGGTCAATTTAACCCTTTACAGATGACTAGGACACTGTAATCGTTTTTTGGCAAGGGAAATGATCATTTGTTGCATTTTTGGGGTGTTTATGAATGTGGAAGACACCCAGCATCCTGTGATAGGACTAATAACATCAAGAGATCATACAGAAAGTAATATTAGGTAAATTTAACCCTTTACAGGTGACCAGGACACTGTAATCAATTTTTGGCAAGGGAAATGATCATTTGTTGCATTTTTGGGGTGTTTATGAATGTGGAAGAGACCCAGCATCCTGTGATGGGACTAATAAGATCAAGAGATAATGAATAAGGTAATATTTAGGTCAATTTAACCCTTTACACGTGACCAGGACACTGTAATCAATTTTTGGCAAGGGAAATTATCTTTTTTTTTTGCCATTTTTGGGGTGTTTATGATGATACAGTAGACAGTATGAGTACAGTAACATCAACAGATAATACATAAAACCCTTATTTGGTCAATTTTAGCCTCCATGAAAATCTGAGCAATTCAATCACTTTTTGGCAAGTAAAATGCCATTTTAGTTGTCTACAATTAAATCATCAATAAAGAATTTAAAGACATTTTGAGGTGTTTCTTATAGGTAAACAGGAGGGTATAGTCTCTATTTGGCAAGTGACAATCTTAATTTTATGTGCTGAAGTGTTTTTATCTTGTTACTTTTAAATAGAGCAAAGTAATGTATAGATAGTAACCTACACAGTGTCATAAAAGCCAAAGCTTGATCAGTTTAAATACTTTTTTCAAGTAAAAATGTGCCCCAAACTAGTTAACTGTGGCTCTATGTCAAGTGGACTAAAGAAAGGAAGGGAAAAAAAATCTAATCGCTGGAGAATTGTTTATTTCCATTTATACAACGTTTACATTCAATACAGGGTGCCATTTTACATTGTTTATTTTATTTTTTAGTATCAAGGCTGTAACATAAAGAAAGCCAGTTCTTACCACAAACAATCTTTCAATTGCAAATATTGCAAAAATGATTAATATATCCTCATTTTGAACGTTTAAGACGAATTGCAACACTTAAACAACTTCTGAACTGGAAAAACTAATATCCGCGATAAACATCTGTTTAAGTACCGGAAGAGGTTATCTCTGCTTTCTGAATGTCCATATTGCTAGATATGCTGAGTTTTAGGGCGAAATCCTTGGGAATTTCGTCTAGAAATGCAATTACCTAACCGTGCGCGATCCTGCGGTGGCTAATCATTTTTTGGCAGCGAGTGGATTTATGGCACAACACCGGCCCGGCCCGAGGGGGTGGAGCCCCAGCCCGACCCGGTCCGAAAAGGTTTTCAGGATTCTCTGGCCTGACCCGAGCCCGACTTTTTTGTAACCAACTAAATGAAAACAAAGTGCGTCAATCCTGACCAATGTGTTAAAAGACGTGCAGGATCCGATCAATTTGTTTTTCCCTTATTTACCGTCACGGAGATGACGGCGCACTGGCTCTGGTGGTAATCAAGTTAAATTTTATCTCTTTCCAACAATTTTCACAAGAAAACAAAACAGTCAAAAGCAGGGCTTGTGTTGTGTTGACCAGATAGTTCCCGTATTTGACCGTTTATTTTGAAGGAGAAAGAATAGAAAGAATTACCCCGACGCATGCAGACGAACTGACATTTTATTCTACGCACATCGCAGATGTTGCTAAATCACCCAAGAAAAGATTCCCATCTGAACATCTGAGCTGGACACTGCTCAGCGCAGCTCACTGACAGCGCGTATGTGCACAGCGTGCTGAAGTTGTGGAGACTGGCTTGGAGCGTGTCGCAGAACCAGAGCGCATGCGGGACGGTTCCTCCCGAAGCGAGTGTTTTCCAAACCCTGTATCTCAGAGAGACTTGTCACTTAGAAACTGTTCCCTGATTATGAAACTTTGGCTGAATAGCGCTTGTTCCTGTCTCCAATGTGGCGACCCATCCAGGAGCCATCTGAGGAGAAGCCCAGAATCTCACATCCTCTTCAGCTCAGAAAGCACATATGATTACGCACAAGTGTGATCCATCAACCCGGTCTCACAGTAAGACCGGGTTGGGCCTGTTCAGGTTTACGCACACAATCTTTACATAGAATTGACTTACAGATATAAAGTTAATTCAGTGAAATATAAAGCATTTTATTTAAATATCCATTCATTATTTTACAAGCACAGAGAGCCACATCAGATTCAGATCAGCGGGAAGATTCCTCCGACTGAATTCAGTTGGAGGAATCTTCCAGCATGCGCTCTGGTTCTGCGACACGCTCCAAGCCCCTCTCCACATCTTCAGCTCGCTGTGTACCTTATGTAGTACACGCTGACAGAGAGCTGCGCTGAGTAGTGTCCAGCTCAGATTTTCAGATGAGAATCTTTTCTTGAGCGATTTAGCTACATCTGCGATGTGCGTAGAGTAAAATGTCAGTTCGTCTGCATGCGTCGGGGTAATTCTTTCTATTCTTTCTCCTTCAAAATAAACGGTCAAATGTGGGAACTATCTGGTCAACACAAGCCCTGCTTTTAACTGTTCTGTTTTCTTGTGGAAAAAGATCAAATTAAACTTGATTAACACCAGAGCCAGGCGCACTGCACCGTTATCTCCGTCACTGTAAATGAGGGAAAAACAAAATGATCGGATCCTTTTCTGACCTTCCCCACCTACAAAGTTTAATTACAACAATCAAACGTGACAGAGCATGGATTTGTATTCTGAACAGTCTAAACATGTTTTAAAAAGAAACGTATGACAAAAGTGGCACCTGCTCAGTAAAACCACCAACAGGGTGAAAAATATCTAAATATTGTCGGCAGAGACGGGCTACAACTTCTGGATCCACTTTAAATAAATCGTTTTATTGATTATCTTCTTATGAAAGATAACTTTGACGTACACGAGCGACCGGTACTGGCTGCTGTCACCTGTTGTGAGCAGCGCTCTGCTGTCTGAGGGTAGGCCCCGCCCACAACGCCACGGCTGCTGTGGCTCCCAGTGTTTTCTTTACTGTGGGAAATGGGTAATAATGGCTCTTTGATGGGAACAGGTTGCTGACCCCTGGTTTAAGTGTTTCAAATTTTTTTAATGAATTCGATTAAAAATAAAGGCTCCCGTCCCGTGTCCGAGGTAATTACACAGTTGTTGGCCCGAAGCCCGGCCCGAGGGCCGTTGGGCCGGGCCGACCCGAGGGCCTAGGGCTTCAGTGCACGGCTCTATGTGAGCTCTCTTTTAGGCGAACGACATTTTCTCAAAATGTTCTGTCATTCCAGGGCTGACTTTTTGGAACAGCATTCCTACTCAAGTGAGAGAAAGCTCAAGTTTTGTTACTTTCAAAAGACAATTGAAACTGTGGCTACAGGAAACTCAAAGATGCAATCATGGATGACACTTTTATTTGTTTTTACTATGGCCTTTTTCGTAAAATATGTTCCTGTTTTTTTTTTCTAAATGTATATTGTTGTTCGTCATCTCTTTTAACATTAACCTGCCAGAGGGCTGCAGATGGAAATTAGCCTAAGGCTACAATCTGGCATATTTATAATTGTATTGTTGTTCATAAATATGCATTGTCCTCTCTTTAAATAAAGTAAGTGAAGTAAAGTGCTTGTCCATGTAAGGCCTTAAAGACCAGAACCAGGATCTTGAAATGAACCCTGAAGTTGACTGGCAGCCATTGAAGCTTGAGGAGAAGCGGGGTGATGTGGGTGTGTTTGGAGGACTTGGTCAGAAGCCGAGCACAGGCATTCTGAACCACCTGTAGACGGTTCAGGGAGGTTTCGCTCAGACACGTGAAAAGAGAGTGGCAGTAGTCTAAGCGGGAGGAGATGAAGGTGTGGAGAACAGTCTAAAGTTCAGAGCGGGAACGGAATGGGACTCAGCTTAGCAATGTTCCTGAGATGGAAGAAGGAAGAGCGAACAAGAGAACTGAAATGAAAAAAATGGCACAAAGGAAAAAAAAAAACTAAATTTTGTAATTTTATAGACATAGAACCAGAGAGCGATTTTAAAACTTAACCGGAGACAATGTATCTGTCTTTAAAAGTTAACATATTGGTCATTATTAAATACATTAACCTCAAATACTTAAGCTTCTTAAACCTAACAAACTACTGAGCAACAACGACTGGAACGAAATGAATAAATCAATCAATAAGGCAATGAATAGGTGAGAAAAAAACAAGTAAATAAAAGAAATAATTAAATAAACAAATAAATAATTAGAATGCCCATTAGTATAGGTTAAGAACTGACCTCCGAATCTACCACACTCCATAAAACTTATCACTGACATTATTTATAGTAAAGGAGCTTTTCAAGATTTAGAAAGGACATAAGGTCCCTTGGCCATCACACATTAGGTGTGGTTGTGTATTTCCAGGTAAGCAAGATTCTGCGCCTCGCTAGAAGCATGGCCGCTGCTAGGCTTTTGGAACTCTTGCCATTTATTTTAAAATTGGAATTAAATAAACAAATGGAATACTTATGGCATAGAGTGTGAGGAAATAACAATATTTCCACATAATCCAGTCCTCTCGGACCACTTTTTGATAACATTTGAGTTTTTTATAACTGAGTTCTCAAGACATGAAAGTAAATTTCACTATAGTCGGTCTCTCTGACAACACTGTTGCATCTTTTAAATAAACGGTTCCATCTTTACTATCTTCAGCATCTCAGAGGAACGTATCAGAGGGCTATATTTTTATTTCTAACCCTTCACAAATTGATGCTTTAGTTCATAACGTTACTTCCTCTTTACGTGTGGCATTAGATGGTGTTGCCCCTTTAAAAAAGAAGGTAATTAGGAAGTTCGCTCCCTGGTTTAATTCTCATTTACAAACTTTAAAACAAAACTCTAGAAAATTGGAGAGAACATGGCGCTCTGTGCACCAGGAGGAGTCCTACTTATCCTGGAAAAATCGTCTTGTGGTTTATAAAAATAAGCTTCAACAAGCTAAAATTGCTTATTTTTCATCGCTAATTGAAGAGAATAATAATAATCCTAAATTTATTTTCAGTACAGTTGCCAAACTTACACAGAATCATAGCTCTGAGCCATCTATTCCCTTAGCCCTCAGCAGCAATGACTTCATGGGATTTTTCACAAGTAAAATTAATTCTATTAGAAACAAAATCTTTAGCATCCTCCCTAATGCGATTTCTTCTTCCTCAGTAAGTGAGGCAGCGTCTGAGGTAACTGTAGAACCTCATCTGTGTTTGAACCGTTTTGATCCAGTTGAGCTTTCAGAGTTATCAAAAATATTGGCTTCATCTAAACCTTCAACTTGCATTTTAGATCCAATCCCAGCCAAATTATTTAAAGATGCATTTCCTTTGGTTACTGCCCCCATTCTAGATATAATCAATCTATCCTTAGTAAATGGGTATGTACCACAGGATTTTAAGGTTGCTGTAATCAAACCTTCACTTAAGAAGCCTTCTTTGGATCCAGATGACCCAAAGAATTATAGACCAATATCTAACCTTCCATTTTTATCCAAAGTCCTTGAGAAAATGGTGGCCATCCAAGTATGTGAGCATTTAAACACTAATGCTCTGTTTGAGGAATTTCAGTCTGGTTTTAGAGAGTATCACAGCACTGAAACTGCATTAGTGAGAGTTACAAATGATATTCTCATGGCCTCAGATAAGAATCTTGTGTCTGTTCTAGTCTTGTTAGATCTCAGTGCTGCATTTGACACAGTTGATCACAATGTTCTTTTAGAAAGACTCGAACATGTAGGGATCAAAGGAACAGCGCAAGGATGGTTTTAATCCTACCTGTCTGATAGATTTAATTTTGTAAATGTACATGACAAATCTTCGTCATACTCCAGGGTTACTTGTGGAGTACCACAGGGTTCAGTTCTTGGACCATTTCTTTTTACTATATATATGCTCCCAACTGGTAAAATCATTAGACAGCATGGGATAAACTTCCACTGTTATGCTGACGATACTCAGTTATATTTGTCCATTAACCCTGATGAACCTAATCAGTTAGTTAGATTACAGGCTTGTCTTTAAGACATAAACTTTTTGCTTGTAAATGATGTCAATTTCCTTTTCTGAAATTCAGAAAAGGAAATTGCTTAGTGAATCACCTAACCTGAATGACATTAAATTAGTCTCCGAGAACAAAGTAAGGAACCTTGGTGTTTTCTTTGACCAGGACATGTCATTCAAATCCCACGTTAAACAGGTTTGTAGGATTTCCTTTTTCCACCTTTGCAATATTGCTAAGATTAGATGCATCCTTTCCAGGAGTGATGCTGAAAAACTAGTTCATGCATTTATTACATCAAGACTGGATTACTGTAATTCATTACTCTCAGGAAGTCCACAGAATGTAGTTAAAAGTCTTCAGCTTGTCCAAAATGCTGCAGCAAGAGTTCTGATGAGAATTAAAAAGAGAGATCATATCTCTCCTGTCTTAGCTTCCCTACATTGGCTACCTGTTAAATTCAGAATATATTTTAAGATCCTCTTTCTCACCTATAAAGCTCTTAATAATCAAGCTCCGTCATACATCAGTGACCTGATTGTTCCATAAACAAGCACTTCGCTCTCACCCCTCCTTTCCACCAGAGCCGTCAGCAGCACGTTACTGCAGCAGCACGTCATAGCTGCTGATAGGAACCAATGTGATCAACAGAACCTTTTCCACCGGAGTCGTCAGCAGCCGTCAGCAGCACGAGTTGGCCACGTCTCAGGAGCAGCATGTCGCGGCCCGTACGCACCGGTTCTATTTTCTACGCGCTACGCCTCTGAAATGGGTGAAGTTCGACATTTTTGGGGAAGGAAAGACAGGAAATCGGACGCGGAAACGGAGCGAAGCTTCCCAATATTTTCAGAATAAAGAAACGTACTGCCTTTCGGTTGCTTTAATTTTTTAAAAAGTCACTAACTGTGCGGCCCAGTGAGAAGTTATCATCTAGCTAGCGATCTCCTTTGTTTTTCAGGTCCGTATTGACGATTATTAAATGGACAGAACATAAAACACAAACCTTTTGGAGCCATGTTGTAGTTTTCTCCTGCTTGTTGTGTTTACTGACGAAGTCACTCGTATGTCTTTGTGCTCTGTCGGTGATAGCTGCTCCGAGTCTCTGATGGGAAGGGCCAAGCAGCAGCTTACGCGAGCAAGATGTGCTGCTGCAGTAACATGTTGCTGATGGCTCTGGTAGAAAGGAGAGGTCAGACTGCAGGTTTACTGGTGGTTCCCAGAATATCTAAAAATAGGATGGGAGGCAGATCTTTTAGCTATCAGGCTCCTCTCTTGTGGAACCAACTCCCAGCTTTAGTCCGTGAGGCACACACCTTATCTAATTTTAAAACTAGGCTTAAAACATTTTTGATAAGGCCTATGGTTAAAATCTGATGTTAGCCTAGATCTGGACAAGTGGGGGAGTAAAGGGAGGTGGAATATACAGTCGGTAAAGATGACTCTCCCTTGCCCTGCCTCCATCTAAAAGGCTAGGTTATCCAGTTATGTTCTGCTGCTCATTTGTTTATGAAATTTTAATACCTTTTCTGATGTTAATCATTGTTTTTATTGTTTATGAAATTTTAATACCTTTTCTGATGTTAATCATTGTTTTTAGTTTTAATCTTGAGTACTTTGATTCCATGTCTGTGATAAGTGTTATATATTTACTTACTGAACAGAACCATTGATGTCCCTAAATCTTTAACTTTACTTCTCCATCCTATGTTTTTCTACTCTGACCAATGGTCCCAGATGAGGCTGTTGACCTAAGATAGATCTTTCCTTGGAATTATTTTGATCTGTTTATAAAGATTTTGCCTAAACAGCAACTTTAAAAAAAATAAATAAACTTACAACTGCAATACAGTAGACATAGTAAAACCTTTATTTAAAACCCAGCTCATTGTAATCAATGCCTGATTAAAAACTTGTGACTTTTGTCTATCACTTTAAAATAAAAATTAAAAAACATTTTTAAAAAGTCAATTTCCATTGAGAAATTGCACAAACCACAGCACAATCTGTTACACCATAAACAAAAAGAACATTTGTAGGAATCTTTATTGCAGAATCAAGAACTTTCAGACACAATTCAGAATAAACCTAGAACACTTTTACCAGTGAAAAGAAAAGACAAGTGGATCTATCTGATTGACTGGTGGATGGCACTGCTGGTGGATTTAACCATTCTTTCCTTCGCCTTCTTCTTAACAGGATCCATTTCGAAGCTCGCCCACAGACGAATGGTTTCGTCTCCTGCAACACTGGCCACAGTGGAGCAGTCGGGATTCAGAACCAAACTGAGGACCCTGTTCTCGTGACCTAAGACGGTTTATGCAAAAACAAGAAGTGTGAGAACTCAGGAAGTAGACGTTACCTTTAGGCAATTATAAATCAGAGCACTATAAAGTGATCAAGGTCTCCTCCAAACTCAAGCCTCAACTTCATGTTTGACTTAGAGTCCAATACTTTTGCTTATCTTCAATCTACCAAACAAAGCTTGGTTTTAGCCATCGGGGGGGGGGGTAAAAAGAATTGAGGAAATCCAATCAGGATGGCCACTTACCATTGAGATCTACGACTTTAGTGAGAGATGGGTACTTCCAGATAACAACGTTGTTATGGGCATATCCATGGGCAGAGACGAGCTCTTTGAAGTTTGGCGCAAACACAAGCGATGAGATCTGCAATCAGACGACAGATCATCCACATGTTAAATACAATAAAATGACTATGATTAAAAACAAAACCAAGCAAAGGCTGAAGAGTTCAACTACCTGGGACTGAGTGTCAAGTGAGCTGATGCAGGAGCCACTGTTTACATTCCAGATGCGGATGTGACGGTCACTCGTGCCTCCTCCTGAAGCAAGAATATTAGACTGCCATGGACACCAGGCTATAGCCTAAAGCAAAGAAAAGGTAACAGTTTGTGGAGAAAAGTAGAAGATGACTTCGCAAATGGCTTAAAAAATGTGATACCATGCAACTTTTACGTGTTTTTAAATCATTTTCTTGAGCCAGTAGGTGCTAAAATTACCCTTTACAAAGTTGATGAAATGTCACTCAGACCTCCACCATCTGTGGCCAGAAAACCACATTTGTAATTTTAGAGTGCCGGTCTGGTCTGTTGGATTTAGAAAAAAATTGGAGCCGATACACCTGACACTGCAGCCTGCTTTCAGCATGCGTCAGATCGTGAACACAGCTGATTAGTTTTAGTTATGAATCGCTCCTGTAGAGATTAATGAAGGCTGAGAAGACTTTTCAGATTATAGCACAGCGAGGTGATCAGTTTTGCTTCTACTAAAATGGACACTAAAGGGTGCAAAAGCAAGCCAAAACTGCTTAGTCTCCCTTTAAAGACCAGCTCTACTCATTTTTATACATCTGCAGTAGTGTCTAGTAGGAATTAAAGCCTTGCAAGTTCTCATCAGGGGGAAAGCTCCAGTGTGGCCATTTGACAATGTAGAAGTCAGCTGGAGGAGGAAGTAGCTTCCTCCAGAGGGCAGGATTTGTTGTCTTTATTTCCTAACATTTGGACATCTCACCTCTGATTGGCTAACGGCTCTACACAACTCTACACTGACTGTTAGTTAGCTTTGCAACAATTATGTTTTTGCTCCATAAATAACTCAAGCTTGAAGGAGTTCCACTGTATGGTGGAGCTGCTAACACTAATGGTCAGCTTCTACTAGCCAAGACGCTCTGTCAGATGCTAAACCGGCAACAGCCTTCCCATCGTGAGTCATGGTGGTAATGAGCACAAAATGGTTTCTCAGTGCTCTTTAAAGTGTGTTTGCTAAGTAGGAAGCTCACCTTGACTGCTCCCTGGTGTTCACTCCAGCAGTGAAGCGACTGGCTGTCATTACTGGCACCTGCCTCGGGCACACGGGGCCATAAATACAACAAGTTATCATTGCCCCCACTGGCCAGGTAGCGTCCATCGGGGGACCACTTGAGGCCACACACTTCCTGCGAGTGACCAGTAAGGGTAAAGATGTGATGGTCCGCCACCCTCACGTCATGGTGGTGGATGTGTCCCGATCGGGAGCCACTAGAGGTTTGAAGTTATGAGAAACATTTAGGCACTTTTTTATTAAATGCTTAGCCATTAATCTTTAAAATCTCAGCTGTACCTGGACAGAATATGGTCATTCCAACACAGGCTGCCAACTCTAGCAGTGTGGCTGGCCATGCTGCGCAGGCGCTTCTGACTTTCAACATCCCACAACTATAGTGAAAGGAAAGTTAAATAAATAAACACATAATAAATCAATCAAGTGGCACATCTTTCCCAGCCCTTACCTGAACTTTGCCATCACTTGTCCCAACAGCCAGGTAGCTGCTCTCTTTGCACCAGGACACTGAGCAGATGTAGTCCTCCTCTCGCTCCAGCTTCATAAGGTGAATGACGTCTCCTTGTGTGGCGTCCCACAGGAACACATTGTTGTGCAATGCCACAGCAAGAAGATTCCGACTGCTCCAGTCAATCAGATTTAAATCTGGAAGAAAGAAAAAAAAATCTTAGGTGTTCATAAGGGGCCCCTATGTTGATGATGAGGTCAAATGACACTTACAAAAATCATTTCGAATGTCAGGAGCGTCCAAGATTCGGTCGGGACTTAGAGATATGTATCTGCTTTTCTTCAAAGAGGAGGGGGTTGTAACCTGACTGTAGAGGACTTTCAGGTTGTTTTGATAGCCTTTAAAATAAGGAAATGGAAGGTAAACCTTAGCAAATACATAATATTTTCTTTGTGTGAAAACATCCTTTCACCTTCTGGGGCGTTCAGCGGTTTCCCACCAAGGTGAAGAATCTTTGCATCTTCAATGTTGTATCCATTCAGTGACACTGACCAAAACTTTTGAGTTTCCTTTAAAACAAGTTTTTAATCAAATCGATTACAAATCAGGAACGTTGCAAAAATGTTTAGATAAATTAAACCAAAACACGTACAGAGCTCGTGGATGAGTTTGCATCGACTGGTTCATTCTCTTTTGTGAGCAGGAAATTTGCCACATCCATTTGTTGGCTGTTTCTGATGGGAATGTAACGATCACCTCCCATCTTTGAAGGAGTTTTTTTATTTTTACCTACGCAAACACACGCAGAGAAGGTTAGAATTGAGGTGGCGGCGTTTCGGACACGCTCAAACACCAACGGAGGCACATTACCAGGAGTTTTGCCCGGCGTTTTGGAGGAACTCAGCGATGCATTTGCAGGTCTTCCGGGCGACAACCCGCCGAGGGCAGGCGTGGTGGATGAGCTGGCCTTTCTCTGCCACCTAGCAATCGGGGCGTTGGTAATCGGCATGTCCAGCTTCAAAATGCTGTGGATGTCGTTCTCAAACCCAAACTGCGCCATCGTATCCACGTTTGCGCAGATCTAGATGTTAAGACAAAACGTTATCAGTTGATTTGGTGCACACTTTGTTGCCGATGTCGGTCGACATCTCTCCGGGAGAGCCACCTCGCTTATACTAAAAGCGTTAGCATCAGCAACGACGTGGTACTAAAGAACCGACGTAAAAGTTAAATAAATATTCGGCAGTGTAAAGAGAGGAGAGCGATGTAACTAAATTGTAAATCAAACGAGTCTATTTTCAAACTAGATACACTCACCTCCAGGAAAAACCGTGGTAAGCGCAGAGAGAATGTCGCTTTAGTCGCCTCTTTCTGGCAATTTGAATTTCGTGACGATGACGCCACACAATTTAAATCCCACAAAGTGCTTCTGTGATTGGTTCAATCAGAACGCAGCCGTTACGCTCCGGTCGTTGGTAAACTTTCTGCTGTCATTTCCTGCAAAACCAACCCTTCAAAATAAAACGTTCTTCGTTTTTATAAGTTTCGCCATCTAGCGGCTAGGAGTTTAATTATATCACTGATTAAATTAAATTAAATTAAATGGGATATTTTTTATATTCAATGATCAGAACGAATATTTGGAAGAATTCTGCATCTTAACTTCAGTCATATTAGGTTCAGTTTTATGTGAGATTTTTATTCAGTCATTTATATTTTCGGCCCTTCAAATGATGTTCCTTAATTTGATGAATTCAACAATCCCAACGTGGTTTTAAACTAGATAGATTTACTGGTTAGCCAAATAAAATATTCTTACATTTTGGGAAGTTGGAGCATAGAAATTAAAGTTTTAAATATTACACCAGTTAGGATTTTGAAATATATTCAGATCATTCAAGCTGCACAAAGTTAAGCAGATTTTATTAAGGGACATGCTGCTGCACCAGCAAGCAGGGCCCTTATCGTTATGCACTGTGGAGTTTTTGGACATTTACACTGCTCATACAGCTACGTGCACACCCACATATTGTACATCAAACCGACCAGCTCGGTAGTGGGAGGTGTGCCATTACTTTTACAAACAATCTGAGTCACCATGGCAAAATTATTGGCAAACACTTTGAAAAATGTTCTAATTTTACTGTGTGCCACTCTACATTTGCACATTGATTCCTTTAAATATGTACATAATTCATAGATGGCAGGCCTACTAATGAGGCATTTTTACATGAACACTATCTTGTGCTAGCGAGCAGGTCCATTTTAAAATTTCTTCAGGAATTTTCTATAAGCAAAAGACATTAAAAAAAACATTTTGAGTGTGTGCTTGTCTCAGTGTGCCAGGCCAGTTAAAACTCACACATACTTCATGTGCAGCCACTTACACATCTTCGCTGGAAAAAATTATCTCTTAATTAGGAGCGTGCATCCCCACAAATGACACATAATGACCAGTTCGGCCATGGGAAGTGTATGTCCTGATTTTTGGGTGATCACCTTAACGTCACCCCAGTAACATGATTTTGGGCCTAACACATAGCCACTATCTTGTGCCAGTGGGCAGGTCCCTTTTAAAATTTCTTCAGGAATTTTCTAGTTTATATTGTACTTTTTATAGATAAAAAAAATCACAGAATGCTTCACAAAACCCAAAAAGGATTTAACCCTCCCACTGTCCTAATGGGTATGACCCCGTGAGGAAAGTTGACCATGGAGCAGGGTTGATAGTTTATTCCTTGGGTCCATGTGGCAGGGGTGAGGAGTGAGCACCACCTCACCCCTGCCACATTGAACTCAAGGGATAAACCATCAATCCTGCTCAATGGTCAACTTTCCTCGCGGGGTCATACCCATAAAGACAGTGGGAGGGTTAAAAGAACATTGCACAGGGATTTGATATTAAGATAAGAGGGAAAGTGTTTTGTTTTAATTATTATCATTTTGTACAAGAAAAAACCCACAATAATTAAGAAAATTGCAGACAAATTTACTTTTTTGTAGAAAATGTATATTCCATTTTGCTTAGACAATGTACAAAAGAGGGAACATGCTACAGAAGTGAGTCTGTGCACATTAAACACAAAAAAGGAGGAAATAATGATGCCAACAGCTCTGGATTGAATTCACATTCATACAGAACCAATTCAGACAGTCTATCAGAAAAAAAATCTTTCTCCGGGCTCACTTCTTATACTGTAGTAAACTCCTTCAACAGCATAGCTTGCCGTTTAAACATTTGTCTATAAAAAGTCCATAAAAGTTTAAGATTATAGCATTTTCTGTACAAAGAGCCAGCACTGAGCATTTCTGTAAGACAATAAGATGGTTTATTAGACTATGTTACATGATTTCAAACATTATAAACAACTTAGTGTTTTGACCAGTTTAGGCTGAAGCAACCTTTCCTTATTTACACCACTTCACACTCAGGGAAACATTCGTCAACCACCTCAAAACCCTTTTTCTGGAAAGATATCAGAACAAACAGAACATCACTGTAAACGTGTTTCATAAGGCTGCAGAAAGCTCGCAAAACTCCTTTAATATGTTGGTTTTATGGTTCAGCACTGACCACACAGAGTATATGGTTACATCAATAAGCAGACATGAATTTCTAAGCACGAGATTGCACTTTGAATCACAATAAGCTGTAACCACGGCTCTTTAACTCCACAGTGTCCACGTCCTTGGGATAATGGATAACAGAACCGATGACACCTGCAACGACATAAAAGAGCCCTTCATTTTCATAGACTTCCCCGAGAACAAACCATGCACAGTTCTCAAGTTGTTGCGATGTCATAATGAAGGCTGTGCTTTCACGTATAATCAGGAGATCAAGTTGGAACATAAAATGGACTAAAACCACATGACTGACCCACAAACATCTGGTAAAACATAATGACTCAAATGCTATGTGCATTTGAGATCTTAACTTTTTGAATCTATATTCTCCGAAGAACATCAGCTGAGAAATGTTTAAAAGCAAGAGTGAAAACAAAAGGGATGTTGTGATTCTTACCTCCAGGGTGTCTGAAACCTAAACAGAGAAAACACATGACTTTACATTTCCATCAAGTACAAAAAACAACATTGCAATAGAGCATGGGCGGAAAATAGGCCATGGTGTACTTTAGGGAGAAAAAAAGTCATGAAAGCCAGAGTTGAAAATGAGGTAACATCTTGATCATGCTCCTATGCAGAGATGGAAAGTAACGAAATACATTTACTCACGTTACTGTAATTGAGTAGCTTTTTTGTGTACGGTATTTATACTTTTTACGTCGTTTTTAAAATCTGTACTTTTACTTTTACTTGAGTATGTTTTTTAAAAGAATTATAATTCGCTACATTTTAAATCATATCCGTTACGGAGTAAAAAATAAATTGTAGGCATAATAAATTAAAACTATTATGTGTAGCGGCATCGGAACAGAATGAGACACCTGCGTGAGCGCCGCGTCTAAACCAGAAGGGGGTGGGGGGGTGTAGGACAAACAGCCATTTTTACCGTAGTTTTGCTCAAAAACATCAGTTCAGTCCCGGTGATCCACTCGCTGTTTACCTCCTCTCTCCCTCCTCTCCTGTGGGTTGGAACCCACACCTTCGTGCACCGGTGTTACGTCATCAGAATTCTGCTCGGTTCGGTAACCAGACTCGGTTCAGTGTTTGAAATGTGTTTCCCTACCGCCCCGCACGGAAGCAGCAAAATAACATTTAGCGCTCGTGGATTTCCAGCGCTTTGCTCATAAAACAGAAGACCTGCAGGCCTCTGTGAGTTAAAACATCCTGATACTGTTCAGATGTAAACATTGAGCTCCATCCCTGTGTTTGAACCATAGACTGTAGGTTTGAACTCACAAGTTGCTTCTTGATGCCACAGATCTGTGATGATTTAGCTGGTTTCTTTATTTTACTCCAGAACAGGGCCGGAGTGGGACACATTTTCAGCCCTGGAGTTTCAGACCCCAGACCGGCCCACTTAACGAATTGTTATTAAAATCATGTTAGAACTTTATATGTATAGTCTACAAAAGCACACTACTCGGTAAAGCCTTGTAATTCAGTGCAAGAAAGAGTTGCTTTACAATGCATATTTGAACATCAGTGCACATCTCCAACATTGTTCTTTACAACACATTCTCTAACAATATAACAATCTACCTTCTGTTCAAACTGCTGTTCTGAGATTTTCAAACCTTTAAAATGAAATGACTCAGCACTCCCTTTCACACTTTTTCCAGTTTCCCTAGACTCACCTGCACACAATTAAAATAATCATCTGTAAAGCTTTAGCACATTTGATATGGAAAACACATTTTTTGTAACCAATGAAAATATTTTCTATGGCAAAATATGCAGGCTTATTTCATTTTACTTTCATTCTAATAGCGATCTGTTGTGGGCTTTGTGCATTTACTAATAAAAATACAACAGGTCACTACTATTATTTGGACATTAAAATTATTATAATGAAACTGATGTTTGCTTGTTTGCACATGAGTTGGCTCACTTTCTATCCCAACAGGAGCAATACCCTCACTGCTGGCTCCTGGCTCTTCTTCTGACACTACATTGTGTGAAAATGGTCACAATTCAGCATTCATTTTCCTTTTTTACACACTTTCTGATCAATGCTGATTCATCTAGTATTTTAGAACACTTTCATATAGAGCCAGGATAGTTTTCATCATATAAATTTTAATAATATTCAGTTCACTGACTCAATAAGTAATCCTACCTGTACATGCCCGCTCTGGAATGGTGGGTTTCTGCCTGGTGCTTATTAGGCCTACTGGATCTTGTGTTTGACTCTGAGGGGCTACAAGGCAGTTTGGTGGCATCAGTCACATCATACTGTTAATTATATTACATAACGTTATGTCATGACGCCATATAATTCATTATTGATGCTTAATTAACTTGAATGGTGATTTGCAGCCGGTAAAGTTTAACATCTTGACTTGCCTTACCCGTTTTATCTTCATTTGAAGTTAAAGACCGCGAGCTTGTTTGAGAAAAAAAAGGTGCTCATTTTTGCACATTTATCTGCATCTGTTTCCAGCGCTTTCCTCTTTTTAATTCTTGCCTTCTCCGCACCACCCTTGCTCTTTCTACTTTCCATCTTTCCGTCAACTGCGTGGTCACGTGGTGCGCACAGGCGCATACGGGAAAAAAAACAACGAGCTGCAGCCTGCAGGTAGACAGCCGGGAGGAGCGTATGTGATCAGCCCGGCGGCCTCAGTGCCATGACTGAACACCGGCACCAAAAAATAAAAATAAAATGATAAAAAACAAAAACGAGAGCACCGGCCGCATGCGGCCCAAACATCGCGCGGCCCACCGGGAATTCTCCAGACCCTCCCGATTAGCCACTCCGGGCCTGCTCCAGAATAAGAGATTAAATTATTACAAAAGCAGTTGAATGTAGTTAAATTAGTCATTCAAAAGATTCTAACATGCTGCAGTGTGTGTGTGTGTGTGTGTGTGTGTGTGTGTGTGTGTGTGTGTGTGTGTGTGTGTGTGTGTGTGTGTGTGTGTGTGTGTGTGTGTGTGTGTGTGTCACATATGACTGCATGAGACAATGTGGTTTCATCAAATCTATGCATCTTATTTCTTGGTTGAAGGAATGGTGAACAAAAATAACTTCTATTTCATAAATGGCGTCTCAATAGTGTCCACAATAATATTTTGTCTTATATTGGACCTATCTTTGGTCTGGGAGGTGTAACATATCATGATACAAGCCTTTTAAAACATGTTAAAGTTTTACAAGAGGAGATAAATGCATAAATTTAAAGTTCATGTTTGGAGACCAACCTTCACAGTTTGGAGGCTCACGCTGGTGAGGAGACACAGTTAGCTCCAGTAACACCTGGGCTCCCAAGGCCTATTCTGACAGGATGTTTTGGGACCCTTAAGGATTCCAGTTGGATGACTGGAGGATTATTTAGGAGGATTGGAATGAACAAACTGATTTCAGTGGTGAAGGGTTAAATGAGTGAGTGAACCCACTACCAAGGATGAACTCTGCTTACTTTAAAAATCAGCTGCTCTAAATAAGCATGAAGGTCAGAGAGGAGCTCTAGGATGGACACGAATAAAGTAACTGTGCTGTAGAGGTAAAGTAGGGCAGGACCAACGTTAGCAGCTGTCATATGGTCCATTTGAAATGTTTGAATTTCATTTGGCTTGTTATGTTATGTGACAGGTTAGAACACAGTCTCATGTTAGTTTTGTCATGAAAACATTGAGATACCCCACATGCTGATGGCATCTAAAAAAAAAATTCCCTCAAAATAAAGAATAATTTGTCACAATTGAAACTTACAATCGTTGAAAAACCTCATCCAATCAATATGCACGTCCTGTTCTCACTGATTGGATAGAAATCGCTCCATCAAACTGTGTGTGTGTGTGTATGTGTGTGTGCGCGCACACGCACACACACAAGCGAATTGTGAACTGGCGTTGTGATTTTGCACTACTTAGATGTAGCCATCCTTACGCTGACAAAATGCAACTAAGTAACTTTTACTTTGTGTACATTTAATTTACGATACTTTTTACTTTTACTTAAGTAAAAATGTAGGCAAATACTTTTACTTGTACTTGAGTAAAAATGATCAAAGTATTGGTACTCGTACTTAAGTAGGACATTTTAGTACTCTTTCCACCTCTGTTCCTATGTTTAGAAAATTATCGTTCAGGCCATCTATCTGCAGTGTCAAGCTGCTGCGTGACTCATTTTAAACTGAAACGAAAAGAAAAAGCATGTTTGCTTACCCAGTTTGTTTGAAACAAACATACTAAGTAGAATTAGCCCAAAAAATGTCAGGATAGCCAAAACTGGAACCAGAACTGGATTCAAAGCAAATGGTGAAACTGTAACAACAACAAAAAGAGATTATTTCTGATTTCTGAGCATGAATATTAAATTAAAAAAAACAACTAATAAAAGTCCCACCTGACTGTTCCCCTGACAGCTTCAGTTCTTTCATGAGCTGGATGCACCCCTCCCAGAGGCTGGTCCCCTCAGCTCCAGTTAGCTGCTGGTCCAACACCACTTTAAGGGCCTCTGCTTGTGGTATGTGGGCCGTCCACGTGTTGTTGTGTTCTAGGGTCAGACAGACCTTTCCATCACAGAAAACATGATCGGAAAAGTGGAACAAAGTCCCCTCCTTTATGCAGTCCCGAGACCGAATGATGGTGTGGTTCTCTAAGGGGAAAGGGTTAATAATAGAAGAGATTTTATTAGACTTCATGTTTTATTTGTGCATTCACCATTAGAACAAGATGTCTGTCTTACTTAGAGCTGAAATCTGGTTAAAAGTGGTTGTAGCTGGAAGGAGAGGACCAGCGGACAAGGTTTTAAGAATGTTTTTGACCTCCTGGGTAGGACTTCTGAGAGAAACTCCATTCAGAAGAACGTGTTCAGTGACATGCTGATCTCCAACCACTCCCCTCTGCTGGATCTGAACTATGATGGCTTCTGATACGAGTCAGGGGGAAAAACAAGGTCAGGTCTTACAAAAGATACATCTTGACATCAGGGGCGCCCCCAAGAGGTGACCAAGGGTGGCCATAGGCACCCCTAGAAAAGTGCTGCCCCCCCCCCCCCCCCCCCCCCCAGGAAAAGTCAGTGTTAATAAATCATATTAATGTTCAGTAAAACCATATATTGATCTTGTTTATTCAAGATATAATTGTAAAACAAAATAAAAATTAAACAATTAATAAGAAGAAATAATCGGAATACCAGAGGTGGACAGTAACGAATTACATCTACTCACGTTGATGTAATTGAGTAGCTTTTTTGTATATTTCTACTTTAAGTCATTTTTAAAAGCTGTACTTTTAGTTTTACTTGAGTAGGTTTTTTTAAAAGAATTGTAATTTGCTACTTTTTAAATCGTATCCGTGATTGAGTAAAAATAAATTATAGGCTTAATATATAAAAAAATATTGCATGTTGCAGCGTCGGAACAGAAGGAGACACCTGCATGAGCGCCGTGTCTAAACTGTGTGTGTGTGTGTGTGTGGGGGGGGGGGGGGGGGGGGGGGGGGTACACATTAGCTCAAAAACATCAGTTCAGTCCCTGTGATCCACTCGCTGTTTACCTCCTCTCTCCCTCATCTCCTGTGGGTTGGAACCCACACCTTCGGGCACCGGTGTTACGTCATCAGAATTCTGCTCGGTTCGGTAGCCAGACTCTGTTCCGTGTTTGAAGTGCGTTTCAATTCAATTCAATTCAAGTTTATTTATATCGCGCCAAATCACGACAAGAGTCGTCTCAAGGCACTTCACATAATAAACATTCCAATTCACAGTTCATTAAGCCAATCAGAAATAATGTTTTCTATATAAGGAACCCAGCAAATTGCATCAAGTCACTGATGAGTGTCAGCGACTATACAGCAATCCTCATACTAAGCAAGCAGTGGAGAGGAAAACTCCCTTTTAACAGGAAGAAACCTCCAGAGAATCCGGGCTCATCTGTCTGCAGTGTCAAGCTGCTGCGTGACTCATTTTAAACTGAAACGAAAAGAAAAAGCATGTTTGCTTACCCAGTTTGTTTGAAATAAACATGCTAAGTAGAATTAGCCCATGCTAAGTAGAATTAGCCCAAAAAATGTCAGGATAGCCAGGTCCTACCGCTCCGCACGGAAGCAGCAAAATAACAATTTGCGCTAATAACAAGCGGGTTCTCAGCGCTCTGCTCATAAAACAGAAGACCTGCAGGCCTCTGTGAGTTAAAACATCCTGATACTGTTTCAGTTGTAAACATTGTGCTCCATCCCTGTGTTTGAACTCAGAAGTTGTTATTGATGCCACAGAAATGTGATGATTTAGCTTGTTTCTTTATTTTACTCCAGAATAAGAGATTAAATTATTACAAAAGCAGTTCAATGTTGTTAAATTAGTCATTCAAATGGTTCTAAAATGCTGCAGTGTGTGTGTGTGTGTGTGTGTGCGTGCGCACGCACACACACACACACACACACACACACACACACACAAGCGTGTTGTGAACTGGTATTGTGGTTTTGCACTGTTGTAGACATCGTTACACTGACAAAAATGTAACTAAGTAACTTTAACTTTGAGTACATTTTATTTACGATACTTTTCACTTTTACTTGAGTAAAAATTTAGGCAAGTACTTTTACCTGTACTTGAGTAAAAAAAATTATCAAAGTATTGGTACTCGTACTTGAGTAGGTAATTTTAGTTCTCTTGCATTTTTTTTACTGTGTGGGCGTCGAAACAAGCCCCCGCACCGTGAGAACATCTCAGCTGTAAAGCCGATTTTCTTCCGCATACGTCACAAGTCACGTGATCAGGAAGCAGAAAATCCATGTGTTGGGAGATCGTTTTGGGCCGCTGCTGTAAAAAAAGTGGGGCGCGAACCAGAAAAGCTTCTGCCGGTCCCAATTCAACAACGGATTATGAAAGAACGGATAATGCTGGAAACGCTCGGATTCTTAAGAGGTGAGTCTCCACATTGTTTTGGTTGTTTTGGCATCGACATCATCCTAGAGCGCAATGTTCTGTGACTCTTAAAAAAACTGTAAAAACGGTGAGAAACGCTGGCAATGAATGAGTTAAATTTGGAAGAACATTTTAAATAACTGAAATGTATTTTTCTGAAATGTTTGTGTTTGTAAAATTTAAGTTAAATGTTTTGGATACGTACTGCTTTTAATAAAAATGAATAAAGGAGCAATGCAATTCATCGCTACAGGCTAAACTCTCTCAGAGTTACCACAAGGACCAATTTGGTGTGCCACCCCAAAAATTTATTTGGTCCCATCTGGCCACCCCTATCAAAATTGTTTGCAGGCGCCCCTGCTTGACAAAGTAACAAGACAGAAAGGTCAGTTCAAATGTCAAATACCTGCATGTCTTGAATTGCAGATAAAAAATAAAAATAAAACAATTGTAGTTTCACATTTTGCGACTGAATCTCCTACATTCATCATTTTGAGTCATGCACTTGGATCATGAACAAAAACACCAGTTTTGCATTTTTATATTTTCAGCAACAAATGTGAAACTGAAAGTGAATGTGGACGTCCTCTGCTGCTGTTCACAGCAAAGCTACCTGTGTTTACAGGTGAGCTCATTCCGACTAGAACTGATGAGTAAAAACGCTGTTTTGTTACACTGGCAAGCCATCCTATAAATGTGAATATATACAAAACTATTGTTTTGTACCTTTTTGAGCCAATAAATCGTCTTTTGAGAGGAAAGAAGTAAATCTTCATGATGTAGGCATTTCTCCGACAAGCATCTTTAACTGAACTTCAGGTCCTGAAGCACTTTATTTATCTTATTCATTGGTTATTGTTTATTTTGTATGCGTTAAAAAGCGTTAAGTGTTCTTACCTACAGGAAGTGGAACAGCCTCCGATGAGAAGTGAAACAACGCCAACATAACAACTTCATACAAATGCATTTTCCTCCACTTCGAATCCAGCCCAGTTTCATGGAACATCTAAAAAAGGAAAGAAACAGGACAGTTTTAACCCAGATGATTCGTCCTGTGCACCAGCTGAGAAAACAGAAACTGCTTGAAAGTGAGCAGAACCCGATGACACTGACCACGCCCCCTTTGAAATGCAGCGTTTAAGGTTTAAATGACTCAAACCCGCGCTCCTGCAGCCTCTGATTGGCTGCAGTTTTTGTACGACCTGAGAGGACTATGACCCATCTTAAACTGCAAGAAAAGGTTTTAACTACTCTACTACGAACAACACAAAACGTTAATATGATTTAAAGCTTTTACAAAAAGCAAGCTGGCGTGATGTCGTGATTCATTCATTGACATTTCATTTGAAATCCCAGGAGACAATAATTTCCACATTAGTCAAAACTGGCGTTTAATCTGTGCAGACAAAATTAGGGGAAATGGCACCAAGCTAGTCCAAACATCCACTATTTCGTGTGAATTTAACAGCTACATTTATTCTATTTATCACAGAGCCATGTGATGTAGGTAAAACATGCAGAACAGAGCCTTCTTTGTACTGCAGAACTAAGCCCATAATCACACATCTAATAAATTAACTTTTGCATTGAGAGGCTAAACCCTCCCTTTTGTTTAAACAAAGTAAAACTTCCTCTATTTACTGATGCAAATTCAGATGTTGGAATACAGCAGAGGTGTAATGATAACAGGTCTATGCTGAAATCTGAGTTTATCTGGACACTTTTACACAAGCTAGAGTGACTCATTACTTGTCTTTATTGTGGCACAGATGTGCAAGTTCTCCTTTCTCACAGAGTCCCAAAACCTGCACAATCACATGGGCTACCCTCCATTTTCATGTTTTTAACATCAGAATGTGCAAAACTTTAAGTCTGATCAAAACCAATTATCTCTTCAATTATTTTAAATTGACAATAATTTCAGGTTATTTAAGATTTGCCCAATAGTTGGAAATAAATGCCTTTGCAACATTAGTTTAACTCTGATGCATGTATTTGTTCCTGTTTTCTTGCCTGTTCGCCCCCACAAATCAGTATTTATTTCTTTACTTATTTATTTATTTTTCCATATTATTTCATATATTCACATTAAAATCAATATACAAAACTAAATTACTAAAACCAACTGAAAAGGGGACAGAAAGAAGCAAAACATTTATAAATTTTTCTGTTAATTTTAAAGTGAATTTATTTCGTAAACTGAACTACTGAGTGGCCTGAGCTCCTATAAATATGTATTCACTGCTGGGTTTGTATTCCACTTCCATCCAGGCTGACATATCTTGTGTTTTCTTGCTGTCTATACATGCAAAAACACATGCCAAGTTCAAAATAATAATAATCACTTTTTTTAATCATACATGTAAACACACACGTTTTAAACAAGTATCTGCAGTATATCCTTGCAGCTGTTCTTAGCTACGCTGATGTTAAAAACAAAATCCAGGCAAGTGAAACATTATAAACAGCCATGTCAAACTAAAAGAGTTATTTGGAACTACGCCGATCTTTTGCACTCGATCCTGTGCAGACGTGCTCTAAAAATGGAAGGCACGCAGATGTGAAGTGACTGGATAAACAGACTGTCGCAGAGCTCAAAAGAAGCGTTTAGGAGGCTATCTGGGTTATGCATCAGTTAATTTATAAAAGCTTTATTTAAACACTTTTTGCATACTGTGTGTTTAATCTCACATTATCTTAATCACTTTAATTGGTGCACATGATGCAGACAGACTCAACACAGGGCATTAACCTGCTGGATTAGGAATTAAAGAAGTATGGTAAGGTTTTTTTTTTCATTTGGGATTAAGTCTGAGTCAAAAACCATCACTTGACTGTTGAATAATGTGTCAAAGCAGATTTTTAAGACATGCTTACAGACTTGACAAAGTATGTGCACAAAAACTAAAAATGAATGAGATGATGGAGGAAATGTAAAACCTGGCAAATGATGCTAAAAGAGCAGAACACATCAGGAAACTCAGGAAACAACAACTCGATGAAAATTATGCACAATAAATTGTTTTTTTCTACACAGAATTTAAACATCAAGATAACGTATGTGGCTTTAAGCAGCTGAAAACATACAGCAGCTTGTTTTCAGAGCACAAACATCTTCAGTGCAAAACAACACATGATGTTCTGTTTGTTGATAGCGCTGGTTGTGCTTTGATTCAGGGCTGTGGCTAACATAAGACTGTAACTGTTTGATAATCTGGTGTGTTTATCAAGCATTGATTTGAAGGCTTTGCCAAGTTCATCTGCTTCAAGTTTTATCAACATCAACATGAAGTCATCTAGGAGTGTTTACTAAAAGAGATGTTATCAGAGTAACCCACATTTCCTTCCTTCGTTTTGCACCAAGTTTGTTGATAAAGTCAAACAAGGAAGAGGGGCTTCAATCATTTGGACATTTTTGTTACTCAGAAAATGAAAACCTATTATAGATTATTGCTGCATCAAACCATTTGTGGCTTTAAAACATGCAGATGGCAGATTAGTGCTTTTATCTACACTCACTGGCCACTTAATTGGGTACACCTTGCTAGTACAAGCTTGGACCCCCTTTTGTCTTCAGAACTGTCTTAATCCTTCGTGGCATACATTCAACAAAATACTGGAAACTTTCTTTAAAGATTTTGGTCCATATTGAAATGATAGCATGGATCCAGACTTTCATGTTGTTGATGCCAAATTGTGACCCTACCATCCGAATATCGCAGCGGAAATCAAGACTCATCAAACCAGGAAACATTTTTCCAATCTTTTATTGTTTAGTTTTGGTGAACCTGAGTGAATTATAGCCTCAGATTCCTGTTCTTAGCTGACAGGAGTGGCACCTGGTGTGGAAATCTGCTGTTGTAGCCCATCTGCCTCAAGGTTCAACGTGTTGTGCGTTCAGAGATGCTCTGCATACCTTGGTTGTAACGAGTGGTCATTTGAGTTAATGTTGTTGTTCTATCAGCTTAAACTAGTCTGGCCTTTCTCCTCTGACCTCTGACATCAACAATTTATTTTCACCCACAGAACTGTCGCTCACTGGATGTTTTTCCTGTTTTGGACCATTCTCTGTAAACCCTAAAGATGTTTGTGTGTGACAATCCCAGAAGATCAGCAGTTCCTGAAATACTCAGACCAGCCCAGCTGGCACCAACAATCATGCCACGCTCCAAATCAATGAAATCTCCTTTCTTCCCCATTCGGAAGCTTGGTTTGAACTGCAGCACATCATCTTAAACATGTCAACATGCCTAAATGCACTGAGTTGCCCCCATGTGAATGGCTGATTAGTAATTTGTGTTAACGAGCAGTTTGACAGATGTAAATAAAGTGGCCAGTGAGTGTAGAACCTGCCACATTATATATCCATCCATCCATTATCTGAGCCCACTGGTCCATGCAGGGTTTTAAGGGGGCTGGAGCCAGCCTCCGGCAGTCGGTGGGCAGGTAGGCAGGCAGGGTACACCCTGGACAGGTTGCCAGTCCATCGCAGGGAAACACAAAGACATACAGGACAGACAATGAAGCACACACACCTTAGGACAATTTTAGACAGACCAATTAACCTGATAGTCGTGTTTTTGTAATGTGGTGGGAAACTGGGGTACCTGAGGAGAGCCCACACGTGCACAAGGAGACCATGCAGGCTCCTTGCAGAGAGACCACAGGCCAGGACATCAACCCAGGACCTTCTTGCTGCAAAGCAACAGCCCCCACATTATATTTATTATGAATATAGTGCAAAAGTCCATTTATTTCAGTATTTCACTCCAACTGAGTGACCATTTAAAGCCTTTGGAACCATTTGCATGTGTTTTGGATCAATTGGCTGAATGTCACACTTTGAGCCTAGTAAAGCTTTAAACAATATTTTTGCTGTCTGAGATTTTTATTTTAGGGTTTTTATAAGCTGTAAACCATATGTTAGAATGTATATTAGTTTTGCTAAAACAGACAATAAAATTATTTAAGTCAGCACGTTTCATTCAAATGATCAGACATTTAGTTAAACTAAAATATGTTTGAGGATGCAAACATTTATGCAAAATGGTTAAATCCATGAATTCTTTGATGTTCTTGTGATCTTCTTGGTAGTGTACATTTAGTCCCAGTATCTCACAGATATTTTAAATCATAACACATTGGGCTATTTCAATTCAATTCAAGTTTATTTATATAGCGCCAAATCAGGGCAAGAGTCGTCTCAAGGCACTTCACATAGTAAGCATTGCAATACATTTGAATAACTAACTAACTAACTAACTAACTAACTAACTAACTAACTAACTAACTAACTAACTAACTAACTAACTAACTAACTAACTAACTAACTAACTAACTAAATTAAAAATAAATAAATAATATTGTCTGTGTTATTTTTCAGTGTGGAGCAACAGCGCCATCTAGTGTATGAGTGCAGTCTGCACTTCCACCTGATTGGCCGAGCGGTTGCCAGGAGTGTTTACAAGAAATATGGCTTCCCTGGTTGTTGGAGAGCCACAAGAAATGGAAGGTGAGTACAAAATCACTCAAACAAGCCATCCTGATATGACTTTATCAGACTGAGGAAGATGCAACCATCTGAAGATATTATATAAATTTGAATAAAATCGCTCTCGGTGACTCGTTGTTTCTGTTACTGACCAGTCATTCATCCTGGGTTTGTCAGCTAACAGGCTATCAACAAGACGTTAGCTAGTTGGCGTTATCAACGTAGCATCTAGTCACTCTGTACTTTTTAACGAGTTTTACTCGGCATGATATAGATGCAGTGCTGAACGCAGAAGTTAAGGTCTTAAGTCGATTGCATGCTGTGCATTTAACTGGTTTAAATGTATTTGCTTTACTTTTGAGCTTCCTTGCATTCAGCTGCCGAGCTACCTTGCTCGTTTAGCATTGCGTAAAGTGTCTATTTAAAGTGTCAAACCTCACATTTCAAACTGGTAAGACTCGGAATGTTGCTGAAACGGTTTATTTAGTAATCAGTAAGTCTGGTTTTAGTGTCGTGCCTATTCTCTTGTTGGTTCCACTTTCGCTGGACATTGCTAAGTGTAGAAAAACAGCTCCTAAACATGATATACGATCAACATTTATTGGCAAAAGTAGCATACTTACATACTCCTCTGAGACTGAGATATGACACCCCACCTAGTGCTTTCATTCAATATTCCTAAGGATCTTTTTAAAGACTCTCTCTAGACATTGGACTGCTTTTTTACTTATTACCAGTCTACACCCAGTCTATTTTAGAGCGAGTTTTTGAAATGTTTTTGTTTAAGCTGCTTATTTCGGATCTATGAATCATTCAGGGACAAAAATACTTCTAAGCTCAAAGGATGAACCAGTGTTGACACATCGAGAAAAAAGGGAGGAAAGACACTTCAGACACTGTTTTTGCTTGCAGCTTGTCAAAAAGATAATTTGCTCTATTTTTTTAGCATTTTATCTTAACTTTCATCTTTTAACACAAAGTTTGCCTGCGTATGATCAGTGGAAGGATAAGTTATGTGTTAGGTCTTAAAAACAACAGGGAACAAGTACTGGTCTGGTCAATCCGCAAACTTTGTGACAACGTTTTACAATAAAGCTTCTCTTTGTTGACTGCAGTAGACCGAAGAGGTGAGTCTGAGGAGTCTGGTGATGATGAGACCAGGAGGAAGGGTATCAATGGTGATGTGGACCCCAATCAGCCTACTGCTGCAAGTAAGCCCTCCACAGTTCTCCGGCATTAAACATGCTTCATCAGTCAGACTGGTTAATGTGCAAAGGAATGCCAAGCTTGTTTATTCTTTCTCACTTGAGGTAAAGAAGAATCACCTGTTGACATGGACACCATTACCTTGGACCCAGAAGAAGAGGTTAGACTGCCTTCTAAATAAAACTATTTTCATCCCAAATGCAAAACGAACACAATTATTGAAGTATATTACTTAATAAAAATATATTAATATGTCTTACATTCATTATCGTTAATTCTCCACGTTCCTTCTAGGATGTTGATCTTGTTCACTGTCGTATTGGAAAAATTGAAGGACTTGAGGTGCTGCAGAAGGCTAAGGTGGGTTATTTATCAATGTTTGTGTGACATTTAAACCAGACGGATGCTTTTAACAATCTAAAACTGTCCTGCATAATAACCACAGACTGTATTTATTTATTGCTTTGCTCTGTACATCTAGACGCTCTCCTTACGACAAAACCTCATCAAAACCATAGAAAACCTTCAGAGTTTGAGCTCCCTGCGGGAGCTAGATCTCTATGACAATCAAATCCGCAAGCTAGAGAACCTGAGCAACCTCAAAGAGTTAGAGTAAGTCTGGGAAAATATCGTTTTTGACCAAAAAGCACCAGCTTCTTTACGGAATTAAGAGGAATGGGGGAAGTTTACTTTGTTTTGTTACAATGAACCTGCAGGCTGCTCGATGTTTCCTTTAACGTTTTGAGGAAGGTGGAGAATTTGGAGGAGCTGACTCAGCTGAAGAAACTGTTTCTGCTTCACAACAAAATTGGCACCATCTCCAATGTGGACCACCTCTCAAGTCTTGAGATGCTAGAGCTGGGCTCTAATCGCATCAGGGTGAGCCTAAATGGGTCTCTGTATAGATTTTGGGGCTAAACTCTCACAGTTGGAGTAAATAACAGAAAATTTTATAAAATAACTGTGATTTTACTTTTAGGCAGTCCATTTGTGTCTTTCCTTTGTATTTGCAGGTCATTGAGAACCTGGATGGACTTTCATCTTTGCAAAGTTTGTTTCTTGGCACCAATAAAATAACAAAGCTTCAAAACTTGGACAGTTTACACAACCTGTCTGTTTTAAGCATTCAGGTATCCCTTGACAAATCCCCTTCTAACAGGACTCAGGTGTGTATTTTAAGAAAGTGGTTGATATGTTTTTGTTATTTGCAGAGTAATCGGATTACTAAGATTGAGGGTCTGCAGAACCTTGTCAACCTGAAAGAGCTCTATCTGAGCCACAATGGGATTGAGGTCATAGAGGGCCTGGAAAACAACGTGAGTCATAGAAACCATTCAGCTGCACAAACAACAGTGTTTGTTCTGGACTTTCAAAAATCTTTTACATTTTTTTTTTTTACAGAAAAAACTCACCACACTGGACATTGCTGCCAATCGAGTGAAGAAAATCGAGAACATCAGCCACCTGACAGACCTGCAGGAGTTCTGGGTATGGATTATTTTAAGGCTGAATGAGAATTTGATTATTTAGAAGTTGTGTTTTTTATTTATACTTGGCTGTTGACAGCGAGTTGAGTCACGTTTAGTAACTCTTCTGCTTCATTTGGGTTAGTCGTTGGCAGTGTTGGGAACGTTACTTTTAAAAAGTAATTAGTTGTAGTTACTAATTACTTTGTCAAAAAGTAACTCAGTTACTTACCAAGTTACAAGATTATAAAAGTAACTAATTACCAAGAAAAATAACTACTTGGTTACTTTTTTCGTTAAAGAATACAAGAAAAATGGGTTCCCCTCTTAATTAAACTTACTTTATTTACTATAAATGACTACAATAGTGAAATATAAATGACTAATGCCTGGAACATAATAAAGTGTATGTCCAAATGCTTTCTTTTATAAACCTGAATAATTTAAATAAATAAGCACTTAACAGAAGGAACTACTAACAGGAACATTACACTTATCTAGACTATTAAAAGGTCACTGTGTGATATTTAACAAGACCCCAATCAGTCAAAATTTAAAATTGCAAATAGAAACACCTGTAAAGGTTCCTGAGCCTTTAAATGGTCTCTCAGTCTAGTTAAATTACTGAGATAAATGTAATGTTGTACAGTATTTTAATTTTTCCAGCTTCACATAATTGTGTGTTATTAGTAGCATTTCTGTTGCTGGTAATCTAGTAATGGTTAAATAAATAAATAAAAATTCTTTAAAATGACACTAGAGGAGGCACAAATCTGATGGAGGACTTAAATGTACTAACTTGGGTCAGACCCAACCACAGAAGAGCTGCAGCTGGGTGGTAAACACACACAGGTAGTTCTGATAACACCTGAGCTCCATGCCGTCTGAGACAGATGCATCAGTGTTACAGCGGGACTAAAGACATGATCAGAAACAGGTTACAGCTGGATGATCTAGGAAGGTAGAAGATCGGGACGTCTGAGCGGTGAACAGGTGAGCGGACCTTCGGGACGTCCCGCTGTCACGCTCAGAAGGGCACGGCTGCAGATCCACACCTGCAGCCGTAGACTATTCATCACCTCTTCCTCGTTCTTCACGGGCCGTGATGCGCTTGGATGAAAACATCTACCTCTTTAGCTGATGACAGCTTCAACACACCGCGCTGCTTAACGCACGCGTTACTGCTGGTCGTTGGGTAGCCACAGGCTCTGAGGTCAGTGTTTATTTCTCCTCCCACCTTTGAGGCTGGAGGGTGCAGACGTGGTGCAGGCAGCGTGAAGATTCACTGAATGTCAGCGCACTTGAAACTGGAAAACCATAAATCACGCATCTGCCTAAACGCCTCTGAAGAAGGAGTTTAAAAATGTTTGTGTGTGTGTGTGTGTGTTGATTCAGTTGGTGCTGATGGCTGTGTGTTTGTTTTTTTTAAATCCCCCCTCAGATGAATGATAATCAGATAGACAACTGGTCAGATCTGGACGAGCTGAAGAACGCCAAGTCTCTGGAGACGGTCTACCTAGAAAGAAACCCGCTACAGAAAGACCCTCAGTACCGGAGAAAGATCATGTTGGCTTTGCCCAGCGTGCGCCAGATCGACGCTACTTTTATCCGCTTCTGAAGCGCAGCGTACGACCCATCCGCCCACCTTTTTGTGTTTCGCCTCGCCTCCTTCCCTCCCTCCCTGCCTGCCCTGCTTACAAAAACAGCTCCTGATAACACTTTGGCCTCTCCATGTCATCTTCTCACCGTGTACACATTCCAACACTCACCCCATTCTTCACTCTCCATACATGAATGCATGTATGCACTCATTCAAACCTTCATTTATGCTGTTGTGTTGATGCTTTTATTTATTATGGTTGGAACTGTGAAAGTGAAAGTCTACCATATGCTCACATCTGCTTATTTTTCTCCTTTCTGCACTTGTTTTTGTTATTGTTCTGCATGTTGGATACAATTAGGGTTCCCATCAGGGTAAAAGAAACAAGCCTTTTTTGTTGAACAAATTCTTAAAGTTGTTCCAGTGTCATAAAAATTATGTAAGGGTTTGATGCTGCTCTTGTGAGTCACAATAAGAACAATTAAAGATTAATGCTGAAGGGAAAATGTAAAAGGGAAAAAGTAGAATCTAAATTTGTTTGACTCCTGGATTCTACTATATTTCTCAGAAATGCCCTGGCCCCAGTTCTTCACAAAGAACACCTTAATGGAAAATAAAAATCAACTCTATGCTGATTTACAGTAACTTAGAAGAGTGCTACCTGCAGAATGACCAGTTTTTAGCATAAAGGTTTCTTACTAATGTGTCATAAAATAAATGGATGTCAATTAACATGTTTTTTTTTTGTTGTTGTCCAGCCGCTTCCTTTCCTTAAAACCTGATAGCTGATGACTCATTTCTGTTGTAGGTAAACCCCTTTTGAGAATGTGTCCAAAAACATGGATAATCAGTGATTTTACTATTTTATCTTTAACTCCTTCCTGATTACAGTCGTCTCTTATTATCAACAAACTTAAAACCTGGTCTATACTAAATTAGAATTTGTAGTCTTGGCTGGACTTCCTCAAAATATTTTTTGTTTTATTGTAAGATAAACTCTCTGTTTGGCATATAATTTGAACATGTTTCAGCTTTAACAATGTAGGATTGCTTACAAATATCAAGTTTAAATTAGTTTTTTTTACCCTATTAGATTGCTTAAATCAACCTGAGACTACCTGCAACAAATTTTACGACCTGTTACCCCCTCAGGGATGAGATCACCTAGATGTATACGACAGATTCAGCAGATTCCACTGCACCAGTGTTCATCTGTGTAATTAGTCTGATTTAATATTTGATCTCACTCAGTTGGTGATGAAATTACATGAAATGTTGGTTTGTATCAGAAAACCATAAGCTCTTTCCAGTGTAAGAATTATTACCTGTTATGTACCATGAACCATCAACCCAATAAATAGAAGCATACATTACTGACATGAATGTAATTTTATATCCAGTGTATTGAAATTGGTCAAACAATTATTTATGTAAATACAGATTAGAATCTCACAATGTAGAAAACCCATATACCATCATCACTTGCCCCTGTAAAGTGATATTTTACTGTTTTGTTTATGGCTGGCAGCACAATGGATTCGTGTAAAATACTGAAAATAACCCCCCACACATACACACCAAAAAAGCTGGTTGGTCACTAAAGGAACTTTTATGAAAATTGCTTTCAGCTCCTTGTTGAACTGAGTCCATGTTTTGGACTCAGTTGATGCTGTTTTCAAACTGAATGTATTATGCAAATATTAAAGTGACACTACTTATGAATCAAGTCTGCAGAGTTTCATTTAATACACCTAATGCGACCACATTTGGAAGTTTGATTTTCCTCTTCTTCAAGCTGTAAACAAATCACATTATGCGTTATTTCATTTAAATTTGCGTTTATACTACTTAATTTATTAATTTTAAATATGATCTTTGTCTCTGATAACATTTCATAGCTTTTCTAATCCTACATCATGTGCAAATAATGAATTGGCGTATATTTGATTTTAAAATACATTACCCACAATCCATCGTTCCGTCGCGCCAGACGTTTGGAAAAGACGGCGTTGCGCATGCGTCACGTCTATGTTGTTGTTTCTGGCGGTAAGATGGCGGCGCTCGGAGACACCTCAGCTCCGGGGGTGAACGGGTTAATTCAACAATTCACAGCAATAACAGGTAAATATAATATTTTATTTAGCTTTCTAAATATTAAGTTGGTTTGTGTGCTCATAGAGGACCGCCCATTTTGCCACAAAACACACGTAATGAGGGCGCAGGTAAAGAAAACGGGAGCACAGTCCTGCTCTTACGCTGTCAGTGCTTTGCAGAAGGGAAAAGCAGAGGTATCTTTTTTCTAAACTCTGACCAAACGCTCGGAATATGGCGCATAAATTCATAAGGCACACATATTGTCTTCAACCCAAACTCAATTCATTTTTATTGTCCTCGTGATGATAATTCCAAACACAATTTCGTTAGTATTTCATGTATTTTTGTTATTTTTTTCACACTGCTTGCTTTCTGGCTGTGTGGAACGGACGTCGTACAACATTCCCCTTCTTCATCAGCAGCCTCATGTTGGGTTACTGTCCCTCCGCTGTCACTTTGACACCAGCCTCTCCCGGATAGATAGTAGTTACCGTGTCAAATGTTGGTACGGAGGCACTAAATAGTTTATGAGCACTTTGATGCGATGGACGGTGTTTAAATTTAAAGTTATTTATCAGAATAGAGGAGAGTGGATTCAGCTCAGGGGATAGCAGACTTGGAAAGTGAAACGGTCATGCGCAGTAAAGGCGGAACGATCGTTCTTCCGAGGATATAAATCCTTTTAAAACGATGTAAACTTAACTTGTTTTACGTTTTTTTAAATATATATTTATTTTTTCACAGAAATTAAAAACATTAGATTTAATGGCGGCTGAGGGTTATTGTAAGGTGTTCTATGTTTTAACCAATCCAATCGATGCTCGATCGAAAATTGACTGAGGCACAAATGAATACAAAAAATAAAAATAAAAAGGATATTTACTTTATGAAAACTATTTGTTGCTTATTGAGCTTTAATTTGTCTTTTAATAAACATTCAGCATATCTACGATTTTTAACCAGTCCTGTCGTTATCGAGTATGATGCATAAATGCATACTGGTTGTAAATATTATTTCTAATTAGATTATTTTTCGAGTATTTTCAGTAATAAAACACGTTTAACATATTTTTTTACAATAAATATCTATATGAGAATTACATAATTTAAAAGCGCATTTCACAACACAATTGATTTAAAAAGGCAATTTAACATTAAAACAGAGAAGAAAAAATAAAACAAAGGACAGTCTACATAAACAACCAGCGTAGTATAAAAAAATAAAATACTACTAATTCTAACTGGACTTTCAATTCTTAAAAAAACAACATTTGACATATTAGTGTAATAATTGAACAATGATTTAATATTATTAGATAAAATTATTTCACTTTTGGCAAATGGGGAATTATTTTTTGCACCTGTAAGTAAGTAAGTAAATGTAGTTGGTGTTTAACATAAAACATTATTTACTTTTATATCTCACAGGAGAATGAAATCTAAGAAAAATGAAAAAAATTCTAAAAAGTGTGTTTAGCTAATACACAGAACATGTCTAAATATGTAATTAGAACAGATTTACCATGGTGGTGGTAAACAAATGGCACAAACATTTGCCCCTGAGCCATAAATAATAATGCTTTTTCCATCTACACCTTTTAATACAATTCAGATGCACAGCTGAAGTACCACAATCATTACATTTGTGAACAAAAAGTCCGTCAGACTCAGAACTTGTTCCGCAGCAAACAGTCTAGCATTACATACACAGCGCTGTTTACAATTGCTTGCCTATAAGCGCATTCTGGAGGCCACGGTTTAAAAAGAAAAACACTTTAGTTTTCTTACATTGAACTAAATAATTACACTGATTTCTTAATTTTACTGGACAAATTAGGAGTCAGACGTGAGCAGAAGTGTCATGGCCAACTGACCATTTGCTGGTCTCGGTTCAGTTTGCTGCGCCATGTTCTGCCAGGCTTTGATGTGAGGCTTATTGTGTTCCAAGAACAAAATAACTTACAATAAACTACTCCCACGCTTTGCTCTTTGCTAACCGCTTCATGTTTGAGCTCATTTGTTTGGTCATGTGACGAGCTCATTTCTTCTGCGGTTGCCCAGTAAACATACTTTGACAGCGGTGCTCTTGCGCCCTCTAATACATCCCTACTTTTTATAGTGAAATTAAAGACCGGGTTCACTGAAAAACGGTTTTTACTTGACCTATATGATCATTCACTCTTGAGTTTCACATGCAGGCTGAGCATGAGCCTTCTGCCTCATTTCCTGCATTAGCCTCCGTTAGAACAGAGACAGGGAAACAGTCAGCTCTGAAAAAGCTACTCAGATCTACATCATACTTTAAAATAAGCATTCATGGACTCACCCATCTGGGCTCGGTACCAAGGAAGGCTGATATGGATGTCTTGACTAGTAGAAGATATCCCTTAGCATTAGCAACTCCATAACATGGCAGAACTCCTTCAGGCTTGAGCTATTTGTGGAGATAAAACATCAACGTTGCATTTAACCCAAGAAAGAAAAGCAAACGAAAGCAGTGGAAGGGTGGCATTGTGTTAGCGAATCAGAGGAGAGATGTTCACATATGATAAATAACCTCCAAAATGCCCTACTCTACAGTTAGTGTGTTTACATGTGCATCAGAAGACCAAACTATTGCTCTAAATAGACAGACATTTTTTTAAAGTATGTAAATGTACTATGGGCTTGACACACAGGATGGGAGGCCATTTTGCCTCTCCAGTAATTTTTACTGAGCCATGCACGACAAAGCGATAATCACGGGTCTCCCTCCTGCTAAGCGACATGCGCGAAACGTACATGTGAAATTTTGCACTTAAGCATGTGTTGTGCACAGGTGAACCAGCGACGCAATCCCAGAAAGTTGAGGAAATTTCAACTTTTCGTCGCTGTCGCTCGGACAAGGACCAATCAGCGGAGGTTTCATTGACTGACCAATGTGCGGACAGGATGCTTCTCGGTACATCTCCGGGCAAACATGGAGGAAAAGTTAATACTTGTCATGTCAGATTTCCCAGAGCTTTACAACTTTTCAGCAAAAGAGTACAGAGATCTTTACAAAAAAAGCGGCATCATTAAATGATGGTGTTCACTGTTTCTTTTTCTGTTGTAATATGGGATGAACCCATTCACATATTTTTCTTTTTTAAACCAGAAGTAAGACTTCACTTAACTCTACCAAAACCTTGTGAGACCTTTCATCTACAGCTTTTTCAAATCTGAACTGCTTTAATAATTCAGCATTCCCTCCATTCTGATGGCCAATCAAAACAACGGAAGACTTGCTATTCGCCCTGGAATAGAGCACGTCGCTGGCTTTTGTCGCCTCCCGTGTGTCAGGTTATCAAAGCGATAGCTCTGAGATCATGGTCGTGCATCGAACCCATTGGTCTTGAGAAGGTGAACTGGTTCTAATCGAGCTGAGGCACCAAGATAATGTGGTTAAAACCCAACTTCATCTGCAGGTAAAGGGCTCAGTCACTCTGTAACGGTAACTTCCGGAAGTGACGAGAATGCAGAAGCGTTCTCCTGATAATATCGATGCCACAAAGTAACACACCGTCAAACAGTAGAGTACAATCCAAATAAGCTTTGCTGCAGCATTGTTGTTCATTCCTTCAGTCGTTATGCTTTTCCTGTTTTTACCCTGTCTGCTTCACTCCCACCAGCATGTGTTTACTATTTGTGTTGCTATAAGCTAACCGGAAGAATGCCGACATTTAAGGGAAGTCGGTTTTCTAACGTACGTGTAAACTAGGGTAGAAGCTCCCAGCTTATTATCGTAGATAAACCTAGATCGACTTAGACGTGCATGTAAACACACTGAGTGAATCATTCATTCATTCACATGCTGATGGTGATGAGCTACATCATAGCCACAGCTGCCCTGAGGCGCACGATCGACATATATACTGGACAATTCATTTCCATAGACTCCAATAACACATTTTTGTGCCAAAATGGGAGGTGGCCACCACCGCCATTTTGACTGTGTCACAGGTTCCGTCAAGCCCAGACAATTCCACAAAAGGGAAGAGGGTGGGGCTGAGGGTGGGGCTGTAAGGCTGGGATCAACTGACGACACCCGGTCGAACTAGCTACAAGCTAACCTGAAGCTAACCCAAAGCTAATGAGGAGGTGGGAGCTAAGCTAATGGAGGTAGCAACCTAGCTACAACCGGAGTTAACTGTGTACAACACCAGAGCTTCTGAGTCAGAGATACGCCGGGCTGACTGCTGGGTAAAACCGGGTGGAACACAGAGGTCTCCCGAAAGCTGCTGAAAGCCGGCAGACTGCACAGCAGACAGAAGCCGCGATCAGACAGAGATGCGCCGAGCTGCGGGGAGAACCGGGTGGAAAACATCGGTCTCCCAAGAGCTCCACAAGCCGATAGTCGGAACCCAGCTCCACCAACATGTTATATTTCAACCCATTTTCTAAAGTGCAGCATTATGTTAAATGCACTGGGTTTACCCTATTACATTTAAATTTCATGGTTAAACAGTACATGTTAAAATCTAAGCTCAGCTCGGCAGTGACCTAAAATACATAAATATAATTTTACTTACCGAAAAAAATGAAGTGGAGACTCCTTGGACGCTCTATTAGTGCAATTAATGCCACAGCAAGTCATTTTGTCCAACAATTGCACAAAAAATATCCAAAACAGAATACACAAATACAGAGACTCAAAATCCCGGAACAGTTTCCAAGCCAGACCGAGGCTCTACTGAGGCCTTTCCCCGGAGCTAGCTCTGTTGTCATGTGGGTCTGATGCTCATTAATTATACAGAATTTTAGGCTTTTACTACACTTAAACAGAAGAGTTAGAAAAAATTCACCCCCCTCAGAGTTGTCATGAGTGTAAACTAGATAATTTAAACCAAAAACTTGTTTTGGTACCAGGCTGTAAACATGTTTATTTCTGCTGTGAAATTGGCATTTTTAACATGGGAGTCAATGAGGATTTTCTCACTTCTGACACCAGCCCCCAGCGGATGAGGGTGGAACTGCAATTTTTGGTACTTCCGGGTTGGCCTCAATTTTTGAGCCGCATTGTGGGGGCTTGGGGCGCATTGACAGAAGAGAGCAGGCAAGGAGGGTTAAGTGTCTGTGTGTCTGGGTTCGAACCTGCAACCCACCGATTACAGGGCGCGCTCCTCACCCCTGAGCCACGTCACCCCACGATTTCCACTAATGTCACACAGATATGACTGCTAGATTTTCCAAATGTTGCCTCAAACAGAAGCAACCATACTGCTAATGGTTCCTTTTAAGCTAAGTATGACTGTCCAAATCAATGCATTTAATTAAGATTTATTTGTTAAAAATCTACAAAAGTTATATTTTACTTGTCTTTTCGTAAAAAGTTGCAGACTGGTTATTGAGATGTTTAAATGTCTGGCTTTGCAACCAAATCTATGGTGTTAATGTAAACATACGGGGTTGTGCTTCCCTGCAGTTTTTGTTTATGTTTAAATTGGGACATTTTACTTTGCACTGCTCTGGGGGCCGATTTGGAGTAATAATCTTTGAAGGGGTCTTAGCAACTCTGGCATTATGACGTCTGTGTTTCTTTTCTCATCCCTGTTCCAGGGGCTACAGAGAGCGTAGGCAAGCACATGCTGGAGGCATGCAACAATAACCTAGAGATGGCGGTGACCATGTTTCTGGATGGGGGTGGGATAGCAGAAGAGCCCAGCACCAGCTCCAGTTCCACAGCATCGAGCAGCAGGGCTCCCCCCACAGAGTGAGCTTACATTCGTCTCGGACAAAAGCAGAACAGACCTTGTTCCGTTTAAAGATCACGTGTGTTTTCATTGTTGTGCTGGGTCTTGGAACTGATGTGTGTTTGCAGACGGATGCTTTTCTCCGGAGTGTGTTTAAATAGTTTGTGTTTCATGTTTCAGCGAAGTGCGAGCACCCATTCCCCAGAAGCAGGACATATTGGTGGAACCAGAACCTCTTTTTGGAGGTATTATAAGACTTCTAATGTTCCTTCATCCCACCTGCTGCTGTTGAATCATGTGATGAAAGAGACTTTTTTTTATGTCTGTCATGCATTCAGTGCCAAAGCGAAGACGACCTGCTCGTTCAATATTCGATGGTTTCAGAGACTTCCAGACAGAAACAAGTCTGTATTTTGATGTTTTCCATCCTTAAAATATCCAACTTGTTGTAGAAATAATCTAATCTAATGCTTCTTGATGATGATAAACAAGAAAGGCTTTTTCTCCTAAAGTCCGCCAGGAACAGGAGCTGCGTAACGGAGCAACAGTGGATAAGAAACTCAGCACCCTGGCGGACCTTTTCCGTCCTCCCATTGAACTCATGCACAAAGGGAGCTTTGAGACGGTGAGAAGTCGCTCACTGGACATTCTACATGGAGATGTTTTATTAGGTTTAAAGCATTTTTCTGGTATTATTTTAACCAGACAATAGTGGGAATACAACATCCTTCAGACTGAATAAAACAAGAACTAAATCTTGTAAAATAATGAAAAATTTTCCTCCTTTTGACAAAAAGTTTGCAGATTTCAGATTTCTTCCAGCATTTTAGCAGTTTCATCATCTGATCTGCATAAAACCCTTGCTCACAAAGTTGTGATGTTTTTGTGGTTTTGTTCTAGGCTAAAGACAGTGGACAGCTGGAAAACAAGTGGCTAATGATCAACATTCAAAATGTCCAGGACTTCACGTGCCAGTGCCTCAACAGAGATGTGTGGAGTAACGACGCGGTGAAGAACATCATCCGAGAACACTTCATATTCTGGCAGGTTTGCGTTTTCAAAACTTTACCATTAACTAGAGGAAAAATGGCAACATTTTCATCATATTTTCTGTTGTGCTTTATTTCTGTTTGGTTTTCCACTTTTTCCCACAAATGTTCCAGTGTTTATGTTCACTTGCATGTGTGCAAGTTCATTTTGGGTCATTATAATCTGTGTATTACGGTGAATCTCCACTCTTGGCAGGTATATCACGACAGTGAAGAAGGGCAACGATACATCCAGTTCTATAAGCTGAACAAGTTTCCCTATATTTCCATCCTTGATCCGCGCACAGGTGAGAAGTTTACCAAAACAGTTGCTTTCACTTTCCTTTGTCATTAGCTGCTTCTGATCAGAAAGCCCCTTTACTGTTTTTTGAAGAGTCACAGAATGTTGTGCTCTATGACCACGTAAACACCAAAACTACCAAAAGACAGACTCACTTCTTACGTCAGGAAGAAGGAAGAATTGGCGTGTTTCTAGCTTTTCCTGTTCTTTCGCTATCCGCTTTCGAAGTGAGATGCAAAGGCTTTTCTGGTTTGTACCTCGCCTTTTTCACAGCAGCGTCCCAAAATTATCTCCTAATTCATGGATTTCTGCTTCCTGGTCTTGTGACATGTGACACACAAATGAAAATCAACTTTAGGGCCATGATATTATTGTTTACTCTCAAGGTGCGCAAGCTCGTTCCCAAGCCCGCAATTGACGACTTTAGTCGTCGATGGCAGTGGATGAGGTAATAAAAGTTAATTACAAAGACCAACATCAAGCTCAGTGAGATCTGTGCTCCACTTGTAAATCAAAGGTTAGCTAATTTTTGTAGAGAAATCGTCAAAAAATGCAACTCTAGTATCTGAAATGTGTTTTTGACCTAATAATTATAACTAGGACTGCATTTTGGCAAGAAGCTGGCAATATAATATTTTGTGATACTAAAAGCCAGACAATATTTTCAGTTTTTAAGACACATCCGTGTTACAGGGAGCCCAAGTATCCTCCAGTTCCGGTAGACTATTGGGTCCCTGGAACAAAGAGTAAATGTGCCCGAGTCACAAATGTGGTCTACTTCACTTTAAATGAAAAATTATTGTGTTTTTTGATTTTGTCTGTCACATACTTTGAGATTTGTTAGCTTGTAAAAATTTATAGTTAAAATACTACGACGCAGTCATCGCATTTATGACATCACAACAGAATCTCTGCTCTCTCGCGTAGCTGCTACTTTCCACTTGGCCAGATTTATAGTGGTTTTCTCCATGTTTAGTATTCCTTTTTGTCCTGAAGAGGGATTCGAAACGTGCAAAACTCACAGTCATTTTTCTTCTCCTCTTCTCTGTGTTTGGTTCAGTAGCGTCAATTTGGTGGGATGAGCATTTGTAGTCCTACACGTCTTTTCACACAAAACCTAAATTAACTTTTGGTCCTGTAGAAAATATGTGCTTTCCTGGCTTCAAGATGTTCCTTTAAATTCACGGACATCATATGTGAAATCCCTGGAACATATCAAACAGGATTAGAAAATAACTTTTACCCTCTCATAGACTCTCATTCATTATTATTATTAAATTTTTTTTGGCAGTTGGGGACTTACGGTCCGGAAGTAAATGGGCGTGACTCAAGCCAGGTGTACACTGTGCGATTTGTGGCTCGTTTTGAGTCGATTTTTCCTCTTGTGAGCGAATCTTTGAGGTTGGGGCGAGATACTGTCACCTCCTGCATCCATTTCTGCCAGAACAGCATCATACCATCACGCACAAGGGTGTGTAATAACAATGACAAAGCCTGGTTTACCCAAAACAGCTGTGGTTTGAAAAGAGACAAGCTTTTAAAAGTGGGGATAGTGACCTGTACAGAGATGCCAAGTACAGGTTCTGCAAAGAAGTGGTCATAGATCAACACCAGCACTATGACAACATACAGCAGCAGATATCCAAAAATCTCTCGGCCTCTAAAAACGGGAGAAACTAAAGGGAAAATACTGAGTTGTGCCTGTGGAAACTGGTCGGGCCGAGCTGCACAGGTCCGAGTTACTGAGTAGAGCTCCTGGAAAACTACCTTTTGGTTTCAGACATATGACCCTGTGTTGTGTTTGTACCTGTACTGTTCTGCTCTGATCAGTACCTACACTGTCTTGTATATACCGTAAATCCTCTAATATTGGCCTGTATTCAATTAACGGCCGGGTATCACATTTTGGCCGGTGTCGGAGTCGGCTGAGGTGAATAATGGCCGGTATTTTATTGTGGCCGGGTGGAATGTGGTAACAAGCAAGTACCACGGGGGGATTGTGTCATCCGTCTCACTTTTGATTTGCCAGTGATAGACCGTGAGGGTAACTTTAACCGTGCGGAGACGAAGAGGAGGCAAAAATTTGATATCAAGTTCAAAGAGAACGTGCTGATTATGCTGCAGAACACTCTGGGGAGCAGTAGCAGGGGTTGTATGAACTAGTCGACTTCACTATAGTGACTTTTTATGCCTGTCATCGACTAGTCGCTGTCACGTGATAATGACTGGCAAGATGCAGTCCTCGGAAAAGACAGCAGCCTGCTGTCAGCAGGTGACAAGCTCCTGCACGTCGGGAGGCAACGCGCTGTGCCAGAGCGTCGGTACTGACACCCGCCATAAAATGGACATTTAACCAAATTGTGACATTTACCCTCTTGCAATTTAACCTTCCCCTCACTCCCATCCTAACCTTAACCAGCTTGCGCATGCAAAGCTGTGATTGTTGACGCGCTCCAGACATCTGCGTCCTGAGCACGGCCACAGTAGCATTATCAAATCAGGTGTCACCACCTCAAAAACTAATTTAACACGCGATCGTTCATGTCGGCTCATTTCCTTTTATGTTTTCTATCTTTTATTTGTGCCTGATGCTTTTCGCTGCTGTGGAGTGAGGCGCATCACCTTGTCCTCGGTGACGCACCTAACTAATGTGGCCGGTGAGCAGCGCACACTCCGCTGTTTTTGCTGTCGGTAGATCTATTAGAACTGCAGTTCAATGGTAACTCATGAGGTGAATATATATGAACCCAGGTAGCAGTTTTTCTTTAGGATTGAGAGGAGATGCAGGAAGATAATAAACAGAGACAGGACAGAAAAATGGTCAAATAAAAACAAGTTAGTTTTTGTACCTGGTGGTTGCAACAAACAGACACCATTGAAGGTAATCAGAAGTGAGGAACAGAAAATGAAATAATTATTTTAATGTTTAGAGCAGCAGGAACTCTTGAGAGGCTGCAGGTGCATCAGTGAGTTTGCGGCCGCTGCGGGGGAGGGGGGAGAGGGCTGAAGCAGAAACTACCGTTGTTAAAAGAAACGTGTTTAACTTTGAAAATGTGGGCACAATTTTAATAGTCAAAAACTCCAGCGAACCATTAGTTCATTTTGCTCAAATAGAAATTTAGGCCTGCCTCTAATTCTGGTCCTCCTTCCAATAAAGGCCTGGAGCTTGATGAGCTTGAGTCAAATACAGGCCCGGGCCTGTATTAGAGGATTTACGGTAGTCGCCGTTTCTCTAAGTATTGCCCACTTTATATAGTTATTTTATCATGATTATATTCTTACTTCCTAAATTTGCTTATCTCTTATTTTTATGCTTTTTTTTGCACCAAGGACCGCAACAATTTCCTAATGTTGTGATTTTGCCCACATCTGACTCTGATTTTGCATTGTGTAGTATACAAGGAGTTACAAGAGGCGAGTAACACCTCACGAGCAGCAGTCATGTGTTTGCTTGAATATCAAACATGTTTGATATTTTGCTCGTCCCTCGTGAGGGTGTTTCTCTGCTGAAGCAGAGCTGCGACCCAAAGTAAAGCGCAGCACATGCGCCAACCCGGCTCCACAGTTATTTCTGGGTCAATACACATCATTTCTTTTTGTTTTTACACTTCTCTGTCAAGAAAACATGTTTTCCGTGTTCATATATAAAAAAAACAATACTTCCTTTCTTTCGTCTTCCTTCTCCAACCTCCATAAACCCCTGCGTTTCCTCCAACAGCAACACAACATCCTCCAGGTCTTCTGGGTTTTTGGACTCGAGAGGTCCGACATGTTGTGTAAAAACTAATATTTTTAGCATATTTTAACGTTCGACTTGTTGCTACCACATGTACAGTGGTAGCAGTAAGGTCGCATCCGAGCATTGGGTCGTACAGTGAGAGTATGACTCGTTGCTCATTGCACACTTTGAGATATGCTACGAGTAAAAAAGTCGCAGTGTACATCTCGCTTTAAGCTCCCTATTGCGAGATTTTCTAGTTACATCAGATTGAACTGCTGCCACCTAGTGGATGGGGTTTGAATTGCTCCACACAAAATAATACAGTAAATGTTTGCATGTAAATTCTCAATAAAAACTCGATACACAAATATTCTGTATCACAACATGAAATACTGTGATATTTTTATGTACCAATATTTTCTAACATCCCTAAGTATATTTGTATACTTTTATTCTTATTTTTTAAAATCAGTTCATTTTTAAATGCAAAATTAGTTTGTGACCTTTTATTTCAAATTGACTGATTTCAGGGCAAAAGATGGTGGAGTGGAACCAGCTGGATGTGGCGTCATTCCTAGAGCAGGCAACTGGTTTCCTGACCGAGCACGGGCAGCTGGACGGGCCGTCCTGCCACGCGCCGCCTGCCAAACGAGCTCGCTCAGTGAGTGTCATCTCACGTAGGAACTACTGACATCTCGTTTTGTGGCTTCTTACCTCCCATCAGTTTAACGTTTGTCTTCTACAGCTTATATAATTTGGCCATTTTCATTCTTATGTAAAAAAAATACTTAATTTTATTTAGTGTTGACAGCAAACGGCACAGAGAGAGGTTGTCTTTGTTTTGTCTTCTGCAGCTGCTCACTGTGTTTTCTGTTTTAGGAAAGTCTTATTGATGCCAGCGAAGACAGCCAGCTGGAGGCAGCAATCCGAGCCTCCCTACAGGAGACATACTACGAGTCCTCAAACGTCCCCGAAGCCCCCGACTCCCCTCGGTCAGAGGACGAATCAGACGCGGAGCCCTTTTCTGACAGCGAGGGACCCATCTCCGTTGACGGCTCGGACAGCGAAACACCCCACGAAGAGAAAAGTTCAGCCAGCAAACACCCACCGGCCTCTTCGACCACTGCGGCCCAGCAGCGACTCCATCCAGATAGTTCCACGTCTTCACACAGAAAGTCTCCATACAAAGAAAACAATCACAGTCACAAGAAAGAGGAGAGCAAAAAGAATCACCTGGAGCCCTCGTCTGCTGGTCCGAGTCGTCCTCAGCCTGAGGCAGACTCTGGCGGGAACCACTGCACGTCACAAGCCAAAAGCGCTGGAACATCCAGCATCAGCACCGCAACCTGTGACCTGGACTGTCTTGATGATAATGGTACGACCTTCAGATGCATGTGACAAATGTGATAATAGAAGGAATAGGCTCACATCACAGAAAAATAAATAAAAATATGGCCCAGAGAGTAAAATAATACAGTTTTAGCATTAAGCTTTGTTTTTGTTTATTATAAAGGTCCCAAAGCAAGGCTGATGCTCCGTTACCCAGATGGACAGAGAGAACAGGTCTCCCTGTCTTCAAAAGCAAAACTTTTGGTGAGTGTGCTACAGAACTTCTCGCTTTAACTCAAATGCAAACTTTTAAAAAATAATTTCTCAGAAATGAAATCTCACTTGTCTTTTTCTCTTCAAGGCTCTGGTGAGACACGTCCAGTCCAAGGGGTACCCTAACGAACGCTTTGAACTCGTCACCAACTTTCCCAGGAGGAAGCTGGCCCACTTGGACTATGACATCACGCTGCAGGAGGCGGGACTTTGTCCACAGGAAACTGTTTTTGTGCAGGAGAGGAACTAGCCTTCTCAGAAACACTTTCTGTTCATTTATATCTCTGGTAGACCTCACCAAGAACCCGGGTCAGTGAAATCGGCTTCGATCCCCAAATTCTCATCTTTGGAAACCAGTCTTGTATTTTCAGGACGGTTGTTAATGGACGGACTACTTTAACTGCTACTCCACTATTGTCTCATTACTGATGGCTTCACTGACAGCGCAATTCCTCTCTAGTGCTCTCCAGTTTGGCCAGTAAGGCGTTACAAATGTCAGCACTTGGTTAGTTTTTTTTATGTTTTATTTTATAGTAGTATCTAACTTGTTCTAATGCGGCCTTTTGAACATCTAGCGTCCCAACACGCACGTCTCCCGTTCATCAAACCTCAAATACCAGATCGTTAATTGGCGTTGGGTCACCAGGGACTTGTACAAAAATACTTTTACCTCCCAGGAAAAAATGTTAAATGTCAGAGTTTATTTTCTATATCTTTTTTTTTCTGTACATGGGAAAAGTTAAGGGAGGCTCATTCTTATTTTTGATTCAGTTTTTCTGACATTGTTTAACTGTTGTATTTACATAGAAGACAAGAAGACTCCAAAAAAAGGTCCAAGAGCTGTCTTGATGCAGAAGGGAATGAATTAAAACGTTGTACATCTCACCAGTTGGACCCACTGTACAGAAACCGATTCAGAGAAACTGATATTTACATGTAGGAATTGGGGTTTTTTTCTTCTTTTTTTATATTCTGACAAGAAAATATGCTGATGATGAAAAATATAACCACAAAAACGAGATTCTGCTTTTGTTAATGTTTTAAATTGTATGGGGACGGGGTGAGGGAAGGATTAAAATCTGAAACTCAAGCAGGAAATCTTACAGATTTGATCAAAATTCAAAAATAAACATGTTTATTTACAACAATGTGATAAGAGTAAACATAAAACACATTTTCCAGCTTATTAGATTTTTCTTTGTCTATGTTTTTATGTATGGGTTTTGTTTTTCCCAGTAATTCAGATTTACCTCATATATATTTATATTTTAGTACAGTTTGCTGCTTCTCAGTCACATTTACACCTGATAAGTAAATGTTTTAGTCGATCTCAAAACTTAGCAGCTGTGTTTCTCTTAATTTCCTCAGTTTTCTACATGAACAGCTGGTGGGGCTAAAGTGCCTTGGATGCCTGCAATTACTGTGGAGATCAGTAATTAGTGTAAAAAATACAGGTTTTAAAACATCCAACTATGTTTGCTTATGTTTTGACTGGTTTAAAAGCCTCACAGTCGATGTGTTTGTGGATTCACGCATTTGTCAACAAACAAATTCATGTTTTATTTCTAATCTGTTGCAGCGGTCCCGTGAATTTATGAGATTTTCCTGTATTTGTCCGTAGATTAGACCTCTGCACAGCTGGGTTGCTGTAAGAATATCTGTAGAGGGATTTCAGCCTAAGCTGTGGCTTTTCTCTCTCCAGAAGCCACCATAAACTGATTCCAGAAAGTGGTTTTAGTTTTTACAAATTAGATTTATTTTGTTGGCTAATTTAAAATAATCTTTGAACAGATCGATTCTGAATCAGATGAACTGAAATATACAGGCGTATTACACATTTAATAGGAAACTCAGGTGAAAATTATCATAGAAAATTGCTTTAGCGTGGCTTGGTACAAAAAAGTTCCAAGATTTGTTCCATGAACTTGTTGAAATTTAAGAAACGTATTAAATCTCTTCCTGATTGGTTTCTACTGCAAATTGAATGGAGGTTTTTGGGGTTTTGAAGCAGACTTCAAACAATAAAGTTGTAAACACATTGTTTTAGTTGTTTCCCTGCTTCAACACACCTGATTTTCATCAGCAGGTGATTAACAGGCAGCTTGATGAGCTGCTGAACAGTTGATTCAACCACTGATGAAGTGTGTTGGAGCAGCGAAACAACAAAAACATGCTGATACCGGTCCTCTAGATTTAGGATTGAGAACCCCTGATATAGATAATCAAACGTATTGAGTCTGTTGTGGATACTACAGATTCTGTCTGTATAATGAAGACCAAAGAGGACTCCAAAGCAGTCAGGAATAAAGACAAATAAATTGAGGTTGGGTTATAAAAAATAAACATTAAAGCACAACAACAATGCTTTAATTTAGCAAATAAGGTAAAAGTTTGTAGTTTGTTAAAAATGATCAAAAATGGTGCTCCTGCATCAAAGACCAGTGCTCTTTAATAAATTGTGTTAATGTGTAAACAAACCATTTCATTTAATCAAGACATTAATGTAAAACCCAATAAAAATATACAACTATTGAGTAATTAGACTTTAAAACAAATTTTAATATGTTGCTGCTGTTCACCAGCAAACTATCCTACAGGTGCTGCTCACAAACTTAGAATATCATGACAGTTATTTCTTTTGGTAATTCCATTCAAAACGTGAAACGTGTATACAGATTCATTTATTACACACGGACTGATATATTTCAAATTTTTATTTCTTTAATTTTGAAGTTTATAACTGAAAATGAATGAAAATCCTAAATTCTGTATCTCGGAAAATTAGAATATCAATTAAGACCAATGCAAATAAGGGCAAGACACAAAAGGTCATTGCTAATGAGGCTGGCCGTTCACAGAGCTCTGTTTCCAAGCACATCAACAGAGACGCGAAGGGAAGGACAAGATGTGGAAGAAAAAAAGTATACAAGCAATAGCGATAATCGCTCCCTGGAGAGGATTGTGAAACAGAGATTCATAAAGAGCGGACTGCAGCTGGAGTCGGTGCTTTGAGAACCACCACGCACAGATTTATGCAAGACCTGGTTTCAGCATTCCTTGTGTCAAGTCACTCTTGAAGAAGAGATAGCATCAGAAGTGTCTCGCTTGGCCTAAAGATAACAAGGACTGGACTGCTGCTGAGTGGTCCGTTATGTTCACTGATGAAAGAAAATTTGCATTTCCATTGGAAATCAAGGTCCCGGAGTCTGGAGGAAGAGAGGAGAGCCACATGAGGTTCGGTGTAAAGTTTCCAGTCAGTGATGGTTTGGGGTGCCATGTCATCTGCTGGTGTTGGTCCTTTATGTTTTCTGAGGTCCAAGGTCGGAGCAACTGTCTACCAGGAAGTTTTAGAGCACTTCATGTTTCCTGCTGCTGACCAACTTTGTGAAGATGCAGATTTCCTTTTCCAACAAGACTTGGCACCTGCACACAGTGCAAAAGCTACCAGTACCTGGTTTAAGGACCATTGTATGGCTGTCCTTGATTGGCCAGCAAACTCACCTGACCTTAACCCCACGTAAAATCTATGGGTTATTATGAAGAGGAAGATGCGGTACACCAGACCCAATAATTCAGAAGCGCTGAAGGCCACTCTCCGAGCTACATGGGCTCTCATAACACCTGAGCAGTGCTACAGACTGATCGACTCCATACCACGCTGCATTGCTGCAGTAATCCAGGCTAAAGGAGCCCCAACTAAATATTGAGTGCTGTACATGCTCAGACTTTTCATCATTACATTTTTCAGTTGGCCAACATTTCTAAAATACCTTTTATTGCATTTGTCTTAAGGAGCGTGCAATCCATCGCCACAGGCTGAACTCTCCCAAAGTCACCACAAGAACCTATTTGGTCAGTGCCACCCCCAAATTCCCTCTAGCCCCATCTGACCACCCTTAAGAAATTTTTCTGAGGTCACCACTGCAAACATAGGGTGTCATTTGAAGGCTTTTCTCATCTTTCTCTTTCAGATCTGCAGATATTTATCCTGATCAAATATGTTTGATCACATAGTGGTATAAAAGTTATCACTGAGGGGACTTCAAGGATGACCGGCTGCACACGTACTTGTGCAGAAGGACAAGAGAATTGTTCTTTAAGAAAAATGTGCAATGACATGATCAACATGTTTAATGGCCCTTGCTCGTTTCACGCTAAATCTGAATGAGGTAAATGTGACAGCAGCACTTGGAACGGGTTTGTTCAAGTTGCATAACAGGCTGTTACCCCTGTCGTCTGCTTGCCTTTCGTCTGGTTCTGAGAAACGATCAATAGAAGTTAATGTGTGAGCACTGAGCCATCTTGGATCTGAGTTCACAGGAGCACATCACCTGATTTTAGTAACCAAGGTAAACTACCTTCTCTCACTTTAATGGAGCTTGAAAAAATTTAGCATTTTAAATGCTGGTTTTTAAAATTAAAATAAAAACCCTTTCATTTAAAAGACGAAAATCTGAAGCTTAAACTGTAGAAATCAAGTAGGACGTCCCATCCTGCCGAGTCAGTCTTTGATTTACCACTTGGAAGCTCACACACAACATTTCTGACCCTTAACATGCCATGGATAACATTTGTGGTTGGAAAAATAATTTCAGTCCACCTTGTTAAAGGTGCAGGAATGATGTTCTGTTGAAACTTTTTTATCCCGGAGATGTAAAACCTTGTGGAAGTGACTTGAGATCTGCAATGAAATTCTAAAGGAGTATGAAGTGTGTGTTTGTCGTGTGTTTGTGTGTGGGGGTATTAGGTTGACTCATCTGGTGTCACAGGCCTGTGTGCCACATACAACTCTTTGCTCTCAGTGTAAATGTAAAATACCTGAGAATTGAATAATATTGATGAACTGCTCTTCCTAACAAAACGGCTTGTTTCTGAAATCTGAACCTTTTTTTGTCCAAATATTTTCATGAATAACAAAGCAATGTCTAAATATTTAAATGTAGATTCATATAATTATGTTAAAAATAAATATAAGTATGAATAAGTACAGAAATTTTATATTTCACCTACAAATATGCAGTTCTCAATATTATATTATATAACATGTTAATTCAGACTTGTTTCTCAGACACAGCTTTTCTAAAATAAAAGCAAGGCGAAGAGAGAGCTATACCTTCAAGTCCGTTTGATGGTAGGATAGTTTGAGTTAATTTAGCTGTCTATGTTCTATCTGCAAGAAATGATAAATGATCCATAATTCAATCGACTCACAATCTCATTAAGGGACTCTTAGACTTAGATGGAGGATCTCTTCAGCCAGCTTTTATTTTTGGGAGCGTACTTCAGTTTTAGAACAGTCTGAATTAGCATTTTGCTTAAACGTTTAGTTTAAAATCACCACATTTATATTCCATAGTGCCATTTTGATGTAACTTTATATATTTGGTAGGGGTGGGAATTTAACACGTTAATTACAATTGTTAGAAAAAACAGAACACATTAAAAAAATTACCCCTTTCAGCCAGAGCATTCACCAATTGAGAGCTTGGAAAGTGCAGCATCACAATTTATGGCCATCAATAAATATCATCAAGCTGCACACCTAACAAAACAGCAGAGCCTGGCTAAAAGACCGAAAAAAAAGAAAAGAGAAAAAAGAAAGAAAAAAGGAAAAAAGAAAGAAAAGAGAAAAAAGAATGAAAAAAGAAAACAGAAAATAAGAGAAAATAAGAAAGAAAAAGAAAAAAGAAAAAGAAGCAAAGAGATAAAAGAAAGAAAGAAAGAAAGAAAAAAGAAAAAATGAGAAAAAAATACATTTTATTTTTGCTTACTTGGGTGCAAATTGTCTTGAACGATTAAAATGTGATTAATCAAGATCAATTAATTACAAAGCCTCCAATTAATTAGATAATTTTTAACATTTTATCCCACCCCTACTATTTTAATTAGACCTTCAACATTGATTTACTTGAAGTCAAATGTGATCAAATGTTGCTTTTATTTTCTGAAAATAATCTTTTATACTAGATACTAGAAATTAACTTGCTTGAGCTGATTTAATACAGAATGAATGATCATCACTGTCAGACAAGTGTTCTGAACAACTTCTAACAATAATAATAATATTCTTTTATTTTTAAAAGTGAAATCCTATAAAATAAAATTGAATGCATTGCCAGATTTTGTCCCTTCTTGTGTAGTGTGTATTCCCCTTTTCGTTCAGCACAAGCTGGCTGTGAAATCAAGAAATGCTATCACGCTGCTGATCAAAATGTCAGTGCAGATTGACAACGAGAGCATCTGTAAGAAAGCAACATGCACAAACGACAAAAACACGTCTGAAGAGTCACAAAACACATGATTATAATCCAAAAGCTTCTTTAGAAGGACAAATATTTACTGAATGCTCTATAAACTGCTATCATAATCGGATTAAGAAGATTTAAAGAAATGAATTAGCTTTCTGGAGCAGCCATGTCCTGATTGTTGTCTGACAGATTATTTTTTTGTACAAACTTGCTGACGGACAGAAAATAATGAACTTACAACAACAGAAGGAGGGGGTTGGAAGAAAATGACCCAGACGAAGCTTTAAGACCGCCCCCAGTTGTCAGGGTCAAAGGTGAGCATTGGCCCTTTGGCTGTGCTGGATCGGATCAGCTGGAAATGGTTGGTTGCTACACGGTCGGCTGTGTCTGAACATACAAACAAGATCATCTGCAGACAAAAGCTGCAGATGCAGAGCATTGAAAACACTTTCAGTGTCTCAATATTTCAAACGTCACACAAATTTATTTTGTCCTCCCTATGATGCATATTCCTTTATTTTTCTTCAGCAACAAATTGCATTTTTAAATCAGATTTTTCAATATGTAATTGTAGAATCTGAGTTATGGTTTAATTAGTTGATACATTTTGATTCTTTCATCTTTTAATAGGGACATATTGTGCAAAAGTCACCTTCTGCATTCTTTTCTGCTGCAATGTGGATCTCTAGTAGCCTAGAAATCTAGACTGACAGCAGAGGCAAAATGATTCTGCTCTGTGTGTTGGTCTAGCCACGCTCAGTTAGAACATCCAGAGCCCTGGCCAGTCTGGTGACTT